CTGATTGGTCCATAGGAGAGGCTTAAAAGGGACATAACTCGTAATAACCATTGGTGGCCCTACGATCGAGCCAAGGAATTCAAGCCTAGTTCGGCAAGGGTGGAAACTGGACTTTCAAAGTCAGTTAACTCCTTGCCTCGGGAAGATGGCACAGACTACGACCTAAGTCAGCCACGTGGTCCTGTAGGGTTTGGAGTAAGTTCGTGATACCTTATGTGAAAAAACAAATACGAAAAAATATTCATGTGAGAGCACAGTCAGTAACACCATGTAGGTGAAATCCGCGAGAACGGTTACTTTGTTTGTTTTGTTTTTGTTTTTTTAACGCCGCACTCCAGCTATAATGACGCCGGTCTGTAAATAATCGAGTATGGACCAGAAAATCCAGTGATTGACATCATAAGCAACGATCCACGCAATTGGGACTGATGACATGCATCAACCAAGTCAGCGAGCCTGACCACCCGATCCCGTTAGTCGCCTCTCACGACAAGCATAGTCGCCTTTTACGACAAGCATGGGTTGTTGAAGACCTATTGCACCCCGGATCTTCGCAGGTTACTCGGTCTACTGTGCCACCCGTGATGCTTGCCTGTGGAGATGGTCAGTGAACGGATATACCGAGTACAGGTCTATATTTTAGCCAGGTCGAACACATAGTGCAATACTTCGAATTCCTGGGTCGTTACTGTCTGGGGTGCCGATGGAGCATGGGCGTGTTACGGACAATGTCTTTATTCAGCAAATTTGTAAAATGTCTCAAATCAACACCCACTCACTTTACAAAATTATGTTCAAATGTCACCTGTATTGTGTGGTTTCACCTGGTGGGTTGGTTGGTTTTGTTGTTTAACGCCGCACTCAGCAATATTCCAGCTATATGACGGCGGTCCTTAAATAATCGAGTCTGTACCAGACAATCCTGTGAATGATATCATGAGCATCGATCCACCCAATTGGATCGATGACATGCATCAACCGAGTCAGCGAGCCTGACCACCCGATCCCGTTAGTCGCCTTTTACGACAAGCATAGTCACCTTTTACGGCAAGCATGGGTTGCTGAAGACCTGTTCTACCCCGGAATCTTCGCGGGTCTCACCTGGTGGGAATTCCGGGTTATGACCGGTTGCCGCCAACCTGCGCTTGCCTTAGAGGCGACTTCATCGATCGGTGGTAAGGCTCGGTGACTCGACTGATGACGTGTCATCGCACCCCAATAGTCTGGGTCGTTCTCATAATATCAATCACTGGATTGTCGGGTCCAGCCTCGGTTATTTACAGGAAGCCGTTATATAGTGTTTTCACTGCGTACATAGTAAATGTTATATTGTTTACAACATATTTTTTACAGAAAGATAAAAATAAATGTTATTAAATCTCCATGTTGTAAATCATATTTACAGTTAATTTGTGAAAGTGACTGACAAATGTGGGATCTCGTAATTTGACAGAGTGTAGCAAAGATAGAAACACTTGAACATTGGACATGACCAAAAAACTGCAAACAAGAGGTCCAAAACACATCTATATATGATATCCGTATCAAATACATCACCATAAAAAAAAAACATTTCTTGTTTGTTTCATTTTTAGGCACCAAAAAATGGGCGTTTACTTTCTTTTGCATGACAGTTTAATCGCGATGTGTTACCTATGGTTACAGCGAGCCTGTTTAGCCATGGCTGGGTCTTGATCTGACCTGCACTCATCACAAAAAGCATGGTGTTTTATAACTCTGTTTAATTAACCACACATCTATGTGAGCGGATGACACGTGTGTCACATTCCCCATGTCGTGTTGTACGGGTGGAGCTGAATGTCTCTTCTGTTCCAAACATCCACTTGTCCAGCTTTCGATCTTTTTTTTACACATTTTGTCGACGTTGTTTCCTACACTGCAAATACTGCATTTTGTTAGACCAGGAAATGCTACGTTAAAGTTGAAATGAAATGAATAATACGAACGAGCATATTTATCGCCGGTTCTGATCACGTGACAAGGTAGGGTGCTATAAACCGGTCTGAGCCATAAACCGGTCTGACATTTTTACGACACACTTTACAGCTGCCATATTACGTGTAAAGATCCGGTCGGGAAGTAATACAACACGAACGAAAGGACCACAAAGTCTGTTCTGAATAAAATATATCCCGATAGTAGACATGCTTTTCGTGAGTATATAATGTTTCAGGCTTATAACTATGTCAAGCATTGCACCCAGAAACTTTGACATTGACCATAACGTTTGCACTTCATACATGTATATGCCCCTAGATTTGACATAGTACACTGTGAACTGAGCAAGTGGAAGCATATTCCACAATTACATTGAATGCGGAGTGAGAAACATCTCCAATCAAGAGTTACCCCAAATACCTGATGTATTCTCTCTAGTCCATCTGTACGCTCATGGTCTCTTTCGGGATCCGGCTTAGAAGTTTTTGTTTTGTTTGTTCGTTGTTTTACGCCGCACTCAGCAATATTCCAGCTGAGGTCTGTAAATAATCGAGTCTTGATCAGACAATCCAATGATTAATAGCATGAGCATCGATCCACACAATTGGGATACGATGACATGCATCAACCAAGTCAGCGAGCCTGACCACCCGATCCCGTTAGTCACCTCTTACGACAAGCATAGTCGCCTTTTACGTAAAAATACCGTAATGACACTGAATACGGTATGATGATGGATGAGTATGGTTTTACGCCGCTTTTAGCAATATTCCAGCAATATCACGGCGGGGGACACCAGAAATGGGCTTCACACATTGTACCCATGTCGGGAATCGAACCCGGGTCTTCGGCGTGACGAGCGAACGCTTTAACCACTAGGCTACCCGACCGCACCGAAGACCGTATAAAGACTTCATAAACTTTAAAGTTAATTTCGGTATAACAAAACGAATGATTATTCTTGACGAGGTCCAATGCTTAAACAAGGACCCGAGGACCCGTCTCCTGAGTTGGTCCACCAAGACCTCATAAGATCTAGTCAAGAGTAATTATTTGTATTGTGTGTTAAGAGTCAAAACTGCAGCTAACAAGCTTCAGTTATGTCACTTGATTGTGACGCCATGGCAACCGATGACGCCACAATTGTCTACAAAGCATTTGGATGCAGTTGTTAACAATGATATCGCCAAGGAGACATCGCTTGATCTCACCGACACGATATCTGCTGTGGAAGCCCTTGGGTGAGGGGGACACAATAAGGACTGGTCGACGCGGAGACAGTATGCTGTGTCTGAGTGGGTGAAAACTGCCGCATGGTATATTAGTTGTCTTGCACTACGAAAAAGTATTCGAGCAACCCATGCTTGTCATAAGAGGCGACAAACGGGATCGGGTGGTCAGGCTCGCTGACTTGGTTGATGCATCATCGTATCCAAATTGCGTGGATCGATGCTCATGATTTCAAATACTGGATTGTCTGGTCCAGACTCGATTATTTACAGACCGTCGTCATATAGATGGAATATTGTTGATTGCGGCGTTAAACAACAACCAAAACAAACAAACAAACAGACCGACATTAGTCTGGACGAGTACAAACAGCAACATAAAAAAACAGACAGACCAATAAACACACGTGCATGGACGTCTCTAGGCAAGTGTAATAACTTGAACGCGACGTTAAATCACGCGACGTTAAAATCTCATTTCTCCTCGCCTACGGATAAGCGTCATGCAAGCACCATACACATATGATGTAATAATTTCACGAGCTCTACAGTTATTTATTTGTTGACGTTCATCGGCCGATGAAGAGGGTGCTTCACGGGAGGTGCGCTTTATGGTACATTTTCTGATGAACGTCAACAAATACAACTTCAATCCTTATATAGACAAAAACATACTACCTAACAAAGCAATCAATTTTTACACCAAACTTTAATCAATTAAAGTTAACGCGGAGAGTGTGCTTTTTCGTGACGTCATCGTCCCCAAAATCCACTGGAATTTTCGTCCCTTGCTTTTACAAACGTCATAAAATGGCGGCTTCGGAAATGTCTTTCACCTAAAGTGATCTTAGTGATTTCGTTAAAATTTTGGTAAATATAGCATGTTCTGTTGTAGCTACGAATGGACGCTTCATTTTAATGACCCAACGTGTACAAGATCTTCAAAGCCTGCATCATTCGTAGCCTGAATTTATGTCGGGACATTTTTTTACACATTGGGGAATTCTTCTAAAGTAGTTCTGCATCTCGCCGCTGAACTGATGACGCAATCAAACGACATACTGACGTTCATCGGGAAATGAAAGACAGTCAGCTTAGTAGTGTTCATCTAGGCGAGGCTACTGTCAATGTTGTACAGTGACGTCACAACAGTAATGACGTCACAGCATATTATTGATGACAGGAGAGACACCTCTTCTCCTGGAATATAAGATTAGATAAATAGCTAACTGTGATTTTTATTTCATTCGTGTGTGCAAGAAATGTGATATTAGTGTCAGAATGTACAATATTTAAAGAATTGTCGTTTCGATAAAATATATGAACGCCCGCATTATGCAATAATGTCTATGTAATATGGGCTACTGATGTTCGTTCCATTTCGACTGGTTAAAGTTTCGGCGAGTTGTATTTTATATTTCAAAGACCATTCAAGGCATTTGAAGAATCCTGTGGTCGGAATTCAAGGCTTATATTATCTCAATTCATTTCTAAGAATGTGGTCTTGCACCGAAACCAAGTTATCTGAAGTAAGAGCCGCAATGGTTACTTGTCATCAAATAGCCACGCCCTTAAAGTCACGTGGTATTAAGGAAATCGCGTTTTATAACGCGTGAGTGTATTCAACTCCGAACTCTTGATATTTGGTAGCCTATTTTTAACCAATATTTATCATGACTTATTAAATTTGCATTTTCGGCATATCTTAATGTTCGTCAGTGGTTGTCGTATCCGTTTTATTGTCAAATCAACTGCCACAATTACTTAAAGTTTTATTAAACACTCAGTATCTCATCTAGACAGACAGGCATGTAGAGGAGATGGGGCGACACGTGTCAAAAACTGTGACGTCATCACAAGCTAGCTGAATCAATTCGCACGCCTGGATACCGGTAGTCCTGCTGTATTTGTTTTCGACCGGCGTATTTACGGATATCTTCAGAAACAAACAAGCCCTCAAGGGCTATGTGGATAGACAGATGAAGGGAGGAGAAAACAGCTCAGAGAAGAACAGTATTCGACCATATCTTCTCTCTTTCACTTTCGTTCAGCTGGCTCTGATATGTTCGTTTGGTGCGGGGTTTTATGTGCAATTTCTGGACGTTACCCGGCTTCGCGGACGAGTCGACAAGTTAGAAACTCTATGCAATTTCGCTATTCATAACAGGCATGAACGGGCAAAGGTACGTATTTTGAGTTTTGATTTTTGAAATGAAAGTGTCCATTCTTCAAATTCTGAATTTTTACCTTTAAAAAATACCGGATGCCAAATCGTTGTTTTGACATTTTGATTGTGACAAGTTTGGGCGAGGGATGGTTCTTTGTCTTGTACAGGTCCGTGCATGATTAATGTTACCTTATGACAGGCGCTACTTGTCAAATGTCTCCGAGGAATTTTGGTTGAAAAAAGCTGTGTTGCGGATTGGCTGCTGGAGGTGGGGTAGCCTAGTGGTTCAAGCGTTCGCTCGTCACGCCGAAGGCCGGGGTTCGATTCCTTGTGAAGGCCATTTCTGGTGTCCCCCGTCGTGATATTGCAGCAATATTGCTGAAAGCGGCTTAAAATCATACTCACTCGCTCACTCACAGACTCACTCACTCACTCACTACGTTGTAGACATTGCTGCAATGAAACTGCATCACAAAGCTTTGCAGACCATGGTGACGTCATTGTTACCATGACACAATCAAATGACATCACTAATAGCTCCGCTACTGAAGCTGTTAGCATTATTTTTTACACTCAAGACACATATTACTGTTTGCAAAGTGAAACAGTTGGAAGAATGTTGTTGGATGATAAAAAAAATCTCACCCTTGTGTCTTTTGATATCAATTATGTCAACACCCTTTGATAGAAGTGGAAAATCTTCTTCTTTTTCCCACTTTTATCAACTCCAGTTGGTATATTTGATATCAAAAGACACGCGGGTAATATTCTCTGTGTATCCGATGAAAAGATGTGTGATGTGTGAGATCTACCCTGTGATGTTTGAGATGTACGTCGTGATGTGTGAGATGTGTGTCGTGATGTGTGAGATGTGTGTCGTGATGTGTGAGATGATTGTCAGGATGTGTGAGATGATTGTCAGGATGTGTGAGATGTGCGCCATAATGTGTGAGATGACGTCATAATGTGTGAAATGTGCATCAGGATGTGTGAGATGTGCGCCATAATGTGTGAGATGACGTCATAATGTGTGAAATGTGCATCAGGATGTGTGAGATGTGCGCCATAATGTGTGAGATGACGTCATAATGTGTGAAATGTGCATCAGGATGTGTGAGATGTGCGCCATAATGTGTGAAATGTGCATCAGGATGTGTGAGATGTGCGCCATAATGTGTGAAATGTACATCAGGATGTGTGAGATGTGCGCCATAATGTGTGAGATGTGCATCAGGATGTGTGAGATGTGCGCCATAATGTGTGAGATGTGCATCAGGATGTGTGAGATGGCGTCAAAATGTATGATATGTACATCAGGATGTGACATGTGCGTCATTATTTGTAAGATGACGTCATAATGTGTAAGATATGCATCATGGTGTGTCAGATGTGCTTCATAATGTGTAAGATGACGTCATAATATATTAGATGACGTCATAATGTGTGAGGTGTGCATCATAATGTGTGAGATGTACGTCATGATGTGTTAGATGACGTCATAATGTGTGAGACATACCTAATGATGTGTGTGATTTCGTCAGGATGTGTGAGATGATTGTCAGGATGTGTGATATATGGTTATGTGTGAGGTTTCCAATGAGTGTGAGATGGATAAATGATGTGTGATATAGCATGTGAGATACGTTGGTTGGTTGATTGGTTTGTTGTTTAACGCCTCACCCAGCAATATTCCAGCTATATGACGGCGGTGTGTGAGATACGACATACCCTGGTACCCTGACTGCACATGACGTCATATGGTGTGACTCGGACTTGAACTGCAGGTCACGGTGTACGAATGTGACACTTTGGGACGGGAGGGCGCGACATCTGACATGGTAGTCTTCGTGACGTCCTACCCTAATTTTGGGCTGCTCATTATATCAATCACTGGTCTAGCGCCGATTCAATTACTGCTGACTGCGGCCAAAAACAACATTCAACCCCCCCTCATTATACCAACCTGACACAGCTAGACACAAACACCTTCATCTCTTTCCTTTTCAACAGGGGCGGTGGGGTAGCCTAGTGGTTAAAGCGTTCGCTCGACACGCCGAAAACCCGGGTTCGATTCCCGACATGGGTACAATGTGTGAAGCCCATTTCTGGTGTCCCCCGCCGTGATATTGCTGGAATATTGCTAAAGGCGGCGTAAAAACATACTCATTCACTCACTCACTCTATATGTTAAACATGATCGTACAAGATTGTTCGGGATTGCATCGTGTCGCCATGGCGTGTTGAGTGTCTGGAGTAATATGTGGGAAGAGTTGTGTGTTGGACCATCCGTATTACTTTTTGTGTAAACAGATCTACTTCTGGGGCAGCTGGCGATTGGAAGATTTTAAAAAGTACAAAATTTTCTCCTTGGTTGAAATTATGTTTAATATTTTGTATGTTTAATAATGGTAAAAAAATTCCAAAAAATATATATATTTGCACCCGAACTTAAACTAACAGCATCAGTATATATTGTGCTTTATTATGTGTTTATGATGAACTACTATAATTATCTGAAAATATAGAATTGATATTAACATTGAATTATCTCCTGGTAGTGGAACTACCGGACCCGTGAAGATCCGGGGTAGAATAGGTCTTTAGCAACCCATGCCTGCCGTAAAAGGCGACAATGGTTGTCGTAAGAGGCGACAAACGGGATCGGGTGATATTGCTGGAATATTGCTAAAAGCGGCGTAAAACCATACTCACTCCTTTTCAACAAAATGTTTCCTAAATTGTTCGACCGACTTCAGAGAAATGTCAAGGCGGAGACAACCCAGCCCCCAATGATGAGCAGTGACGTCATGCCCGAAACCTACACCAACCTTCCTTCCTATGCCAGCACCCCCGAGATGGCATACGTCACCCAGATAGCCGACAAGATCAATCTGACGGAAAACATGGCTAACATCGACTACGGCGGCGTGCCACTCTCCAACTACGGCGTCGAGATGGTCATCGACCAGGCCATCCAATACATCCTGGACGCTCAGGTCAGCAGCACATTTTAACACAATTTCTAGTTCCTCATCACTGACCATTCGTATTTTTTGCATGCTATATAAGATTTTTTTTTTTTTATTTAAAAAAAAATATATCTTTATTCACATTTCAAATAAAGTACAATGTGTAGAATTTCATCAATTATGCATTATTTAAAAAACAATCCCTTTACATCAAACTTTCAAAACCTTTTGCAAATATAGACAATCATAAAATATCATAACTAGTATTTTTTGTTAGGATTGAAAAGTCTGTGGAAGGAAGACCAGAACTGAAAGAAAGATGTAGAATTGCAATTTGAGAATGCAATTAACTTGGTCATATTGTAGTATCTAATAACTTCACGTTGAATATGTTAAGATTATGGTTTGTGAGGGACATGCTCGCGTTCTCGTGATCTCGAACCTAGGAAACATGCTAACTGTGCAAAAAGTGCGCGAATGCCACGTTCACAACAGCCCAATGCTAGCAGAACATACGAGGTAAATATGTCCTGGTCGGTGTGTTCCGACAGTGTCAGTGTCCCGTTACACAAGGCAATCTTTACCTGTGTAAGGCAACTGGTGTCACACGACTCTTGCCCAAGTGTTGCTTGATCAGGTGTACAACATACACGGCCTCAGTAAAGCGGTCTAAATGTTCACACATGTGGAGGACAGTGGTGTTTTTTTTCAGGTGAACATTTGACTTGTCTTTGCATGCGTTTGTGTCGGTTTCGTCCGATTGGGTAGGTTAGGCTAACCTTTTCTCGAACACCTGGTGTCATCACTATTTGATAGTGATTCATCAACATGTGCATATGATATAGTCAGAATTGTACAATGGATTACTTATGATTATGAAAATAATTTGTCACTTTTTTTTGTTTATCATCATCATCATCATCATCATCATCATCATCATCATCATCATCAATATAATCATCATCATCATTATTATCATCATCATCATCATCATCATCATCATCATCATCATCATTATTATTATTATTATTATTATTATTATTATTATTATCATCATCATCATCATCATCATCATCATCATCATCATTATCATCATCATTATCATTCTTATCATTATTGTTATTATCCTGGCCACTTCTGTAAATGTGTCCATCAGCAAAAATGTATTACTTGTAATACTCTCTACAATATTGAAATATTTCGATCAACGCTTTCCAGGCAGAGGCACTCGCAGTTCATTGTTCGGCCGCGCACAGCATTTGCCTCTCAGGTAGGTCACCCGTTAATATTAACATCCTGGTGGCTGTGGTATCGTCCGGATTGATGAGGGCATTAGTTTATCAAATAATAAGTCTGTCATTAAAATTCTGTTTATCATCTCCTTTCCAAACCATGTCTGTATATATGCATTAAAATACGTTTATTGCTTCACTACCCGTTTTTAACAACGTAGCAGTTTGTAGATATGCTCTGGGAAAACACACGTTAGCGAAATCTGCTCTACCAGAAGTACTCATAAAATCTCCAACATCGTGTTGTGTTGAAATTGGATTTTACGTCGCGTCCGATATTATTGCACTTATATGGCGACGCTTTTAGCAATATTCTAGCAATATCACGGCGGGGGACACCAGAAATGAGCCTCACACATTGTACCCATGTCGGGAATCGAACCCGGGTCTTCGGCGTGACCAGCGAACGCTTTAACCACTAGGCTACCCGACCGCCCATTTCCCGATGGAGCGAGTTTAACCTTGTAATGATGATGATATATTATTTGTTGAAATCATTACAGTTTTGGAGTAGTTTTTACTCTTCACATTATATGCAGAAAATAGTTAAATATCAATGCTGACAGTAACTAATGTTTGGTGTCTGTCGCAGTGGACATTTTAAACGGTTGACTGCATACCCAGGTGAGCTACAGTGCCATGGCCTATTTAGGTTTTTCTATTCATTAATTCAAGCTAAACGATTAGACACATATTCCTCAACTAGTACTTCAGAAAGTTGTGGTGTAAGTTGTTTGTAGTCAGTGTATGTTAAAAGGTCACCTGACGTCTACTGATATGTGTGTCCCTTGAAGATTCCGGGGTAGAATAGGTCTTCAGCAACCCATGCTTGCCGTAAAAGGCGACTACGCTTGCCGTAAGAGGCGACAAACGGGATCCCGTGGTCAGGCTCGCTGACTTGGTTAATGCATGTCCTCGTATCCATTTTGCGTAGATCGATGCTCATGATGTCATTCAAAGTATTGTCTGGTCCAGACCCGACTATTTAAAGACCGTCGTTATATAGCTGGAATATTGCTGAGTGCGTCGTTAAACAATAAACAAACCGGTGTATGTTTCCTGTGTGTTTGTTCATATGCCATGTGACCTCTGCTGATGTATATTTGTAGTGTGTTTTTTCATATGCCATGTGACCTCTGCTGATGTATATTTGTAGTGTGTTTGTTCAAATGTCACGTGACATGTACTTATGCATGTTTGTAGTGGGTGTGTTCATATGTCACGTGACATGTACTAATGTATGTTTGTAGGTCCAAAGGGTCAACCTGGTTTCGACGGCTACCCAGGTAAGTATCCCGCTACACTACATACACAGTGCATGACATGTAGTATATTATGTGTATCCCGCTACACTACATACACAGTGCATGACCTGTAGTATATATTGTATATCCCGCTACACTGCATACACCGTGCATAACATGTAGTATATTATGTATATCCCGCTACACTGCATACACCGTGCATGACCTGTAGTATATTATGTATATCCCGCTACACTGCATACACAGTGCATGACCTGTAGTATATTATGTATATCCCGCTACACTGCATACATCGTGCATGACCTGTAGTATATTGTGTATATCCCGCTACACTGCATACATCGTGCATGACCTGTAGTATATTGTGTATATCCCGCTACACTACATACACCGTGCATGACCTGTAGTATATTATGTATATCCCGCTACACTACATACACAGTGCATGACCTGTAGTATATTGTGTATATCCCGCTACATTGCATACATCGTGCATGACCTGTAGTACATTATGTGTATCCCACTACACTGCATACATCGTGCATGACATGTTGTATATTATGGGTATCCCACTACACTGCATACATCGTGCATGACATGTAGTATATTATGTTTATCCCGCTACACTGCATAAATCGTGCATGACCTGTAGTACATTATGTGTATCCCACTACACTGCATACATCGTGCATGACATGTAGTATATTATGGGTATCCCACTACACTGCATACATCGTGCTTGAACTGTAGTATATTATGTATATCCCACTACACTGCATGCATCGTGCATGACATGTAGTATATCATATATATCCCGCTACACTGCATACATCGTGCATGACATGTAGTATTTTATGTATAACCCGCTACACTGCATACATCGTGCATGACATGTTGTATATTATGTATATCCCGCTACACTGCATACACCGTGCATGTGTGTGTCTATGTGCGTGTGTGTGTGTGTGTGTGTGTGTGTTTCTGTGCCTGTGTGTGTCTATGTGTATGTATGTCTGTGTGCATGTGTGTGTCTATGTGCCTGTGTGTGTCTTTGGGTCTCTGTATGAGTGTATCTGTCTGTGTGTGTCTATGTGTAAGTGTGTATGTGTGTGTATGTATGTGTGTATGTATGTCTGTGTGTATGAGTGTATGTCTGTGTGCATGTGTGTGTCTATGTGCCTGTGTGTGTCTTTGGGTATCTGTGTGAGTGTATCTGTCTGTGTGTGTGTATGTGTAAGTGTGTATGTGTAAGTATGTATGTGTGTATGTATGTCTGTGTGCATGTGTGTGTCTATGTGCCTGTGTGTGTCTTTGGGTATCTGTGTGAGTGTATCTGTGTGTATGTGTGTATGTCTGTGTGCATGTGTGTGTATATGTGCCTGTTTGTGTGTGTGTGTGTGTGTGTGTGTGTGTGTGTGTGTGTGTGTGTGTGTTTCTGTGCCTGTGTGTGTCTATGTGTAAGTATGTATGTGTGTATGTATGTCTGTGTGTATGTATGCCTGTGTGCATGTGTGTGTCTATGTGCCTGTGTGTGTCTTTGGGTCTCTGTGTGAGTGTATCTGTCTGTCTGTGTCTATGTGTAAGTGTGTATGTGTGTGTATGTATGTGTGTATGTATGTCTGTGTGTATGTGTGTGTGTCTGTGCGTGAGTGTGTCTGTGTATGTGTGTCTGTGTGTGTGTTACATCGCCCCCAGACAGTAAGGAGTCACATTGTGTTCCAGGTCCGGAGGGGCCAGTGGGTCCGGCTGGGAAAGATGGTGAGAAACACTTGTCTTGTTCTACAGTAAAACCTCTCTAATCTGGACAACACCGACTCAGAGAAACTGACGGTGTTAATAAAATTACTGATAAACTAATAATAGGCAATGATATGATATCGTTGAGTATATTGTAAGGTGTGATATGATATACTTGTACATACGTGAAGGCGTTTTCAACAATAATCTTCCGAAAGGCGAGGTTTTCGAACAAAGGGGGGTCCAGTTTAACGGTTTTACGTGATCTATATTTAATAGAAGAGCGAAATCATGAATCTATTCTAGTTCCAACTTGAGTAGTTTTAATTAGGTTATAAAAGTGGATATTTGCATGTATTTATCTGCCCATCTACTGACTGGTATCCGATCACGTTCAGGCTAAGTGGGTCAGTCAATATCTACCAGAGTTTACCAAGAGTATGGGGAAGACAAATTTTAATTTAATAATAATAATAAGTAGCGACTGTCTGAACGACCACTGCGTCGAGGATATGTGCAGTATGTTGAGAGGTTCAGCAACCCCGCAGAGTCGTTCGCCTTGATGAAGTCGGCTGGCTTGAAAAGTGAAACAGAATTCGAAGGGCTTTCTGTTTGCTTCTCTTGACCAGTCACTTCCCACTCGAAACCGTCCAAATGTGACTATGAAATGTAGATTATGCAGTGAGTTTAATGATACTGCTTTGGCACAAACACTGTATCTTAAGCGACATGATGGACATGGAGAGTCTCTGCCATGCTTGTGGTTTTGACACACAGGTCCACCCTTATGGTACGACCCGGAATATGTAGAGGGCGTCATGGAAAATGATGAATACAAAATTCTTTGGAATAGGCCCGTATACAGCCCCAGACGTATCCAGGCCAACAAACCTGATCTTGTCCTTTTTGATAAATCCAATGAAATCCTTTTATATCATTGAATTTCCTGTTCCTTTTGACACTAATGTGATTGACAAGATTCATGAAAAACATGGCAAATGTGCAGACCTCGCTTTCGGAAGTCACGCTTGCATCCCAAGTACCAAGTTGTCCAACTCCCCATTGTTCTCGGTGCCTTAGGTTTGGTACCTGACAATTTGTTGACTGACATTGGGAGAGTACCCGGGTTTGCTACCAGGAATACAGCCCCTCTGACAATCTGGGTAATGCAGAAGGCTGCAGTGTTGGGGAGTCTTCACATTCTCCGAAAAGTTCTGGGCGGGTTTGATTAGGTAGCGCTTTCTGGGAGAAGTCCCATTTCGCTGTCTGGGCTGCGTGTAGAGGGGGCAAGGGCCCTGAGCTGATGATGAGCCTAACCAGCCTGACTGTGCCAGGATCACCCAAACCCTCTTTGCTGCATTTTTATAATTTTAATCTGTGCATAATATTAATAAGACGAGAAATTGTGCATTTGTACCCACGATCATAGGATCCTTACACGCTTAACGGATGCAACTCTGCGGTGATGTCATCGAAGTGATAATCGAAGACAATGATTTGATCTTATTGTGAACGCCGGAGAGTATGTTTTAAGAAAACGTATGTTATTGTGATACCAAAATTTTATTTTTATTTTGTTGAACAGGTTCCCAAGGACCTCCCGGCAACCCAGGTGAGTTAAGACCACACATTTTATAATTTCGGGAAGAATTCAGTATTTCGGTAATTTTCAAAACGCTAAGTTGGACCCTATTGGAAGCTTTTTTTAAAAGCAGAATTGAAAAAAATAATTTTCCTGCCCGACAGGTTTAATAATATCCCCTAAAACGTATTTAAAAACAAACAATTCGTTTTTATGTCGACCATTGAACACATGGTCTTGGAAAGGAATCTGTGAAACAACGGATAAACATGAGGGCTTATGAAACAAAGTAAACGATTGTGTCTGTACCGTCGAAGAGGCGATGCGGTAGCCAAGTGGCTAAATCGTTCGCTCGTCACGCCGAAGTCCCGTGTTCGATTCCCAACATGGGAATGTTGAATTCTGGTGTTCCCTGCCGTAATATTGATAAAATATTGCTAAGAGAGTCGTAAAGCCATATACTCACTCACTCACTCACTCACTGTATCGCTCTATCTAGCTGTACGTGACGTACACCACTGCACCGCCGACATGACATGTGTTGGCGTTGGACGTAGCTTCAACACAGGCGATACTAGTTCATTCATACAAGTTTTGTGTTCTCGTAATGTACTGTTATTTGTTTTATAGGAGCGACAAAATTGATTGATTGATTGATTGATTGATTGATTGATTGATTGATTGATTGATTGATTGATTGATCGATCGATCGATCGATCGATCGGTCGGTCGGTCGGTCGGTCGGTCGGTCGGTCGGTCGGTCGGTCGGCTGGCTGGTTGGTTGGCTGGTTAATAAAACCGAGCTTTCTATGTCATTGTTAAATGATTTCTGTCGCGTATCCTTAACTTATGGATGTTGTTTTATGCAGGTGCGGATGGACTTCCGGGGCAGAAAGGTAGGTTGTTTGTTGTCGATTACATATTCTGCAAAAAAAACAATTGCTGTATATACTTTCTCACCATATAAAATATTCAAAGTAAAGATGTCGAATATTTGCGGTTTTCTTAAAGACCTACGGCTGCTCTCCGGCAAACAAGCTCATGAATGAAATAATAAATATTGTTTCCAACAATCAACGAATGGATACGTTCTCCGGGGAGGGGTTAATGTTAATTGAGAACAGCAACGAATATTTGTTTGCAAGTCTAAAGCAAAATCAACAGTTATTAATTGTATCTGGAGTAGTTGTTTCGTTGTATTCCCATCGCAACAATCCAACAGAATTTGACTTTTTCAAATCTGACCTTGTGAATATATCGTTGTATGTTTGAATGATACATTATGGGTTTTTTAAAAAGAGCAAATAGACGTTAATCTATGCAGGTGTTGTTTTCGATTAAAGATTTGAAAACAACCCATCTTACTACAGAGACCCGTGAAAATCCGGGGTAGAATAGATCTTCAGCAACCCATGCATGCTTGCCGTAAAAGGGAACTATGCTTGTCGCAAGAGGTGACTAACGGGATTGGGTGGTCACGCTCGCTGACTTAGTTGCGTGGGCCGATGCTCATGATGTCAATCAGTGGATTGTCTGGTTCCGACTCGATTATTAACAGACCGCCGCTGTATAGTAAGAATATTGCTGAGTGCGGCGTTAAACAACAAATAAATAAACAAACACTACTACAGATAAGATGTTACTACGATACAAAACAATCAAACTTTAGCTGATGTCGAATATTACCTATTTAAATATGGACCAACATTTGTCACTGTTTCCACGGCAAATATGTTTATGAATAACACAATCAACTTTACATTGTGTCCAACGATTTACGAATGAATACATAATTCAAGGAGGACTTAATGCTTCGTATCAACTTGGCAGGTCATTCTAAAGCAAGGTCGATGGCAATTAAATAAATTCCTCTCTCGAGGAGCTGTTTCACGTTTCAGAACACTGTAAACAATCCGCTCGGAATATTTGAAATCTCAATGAATCACATTGCTGTGTGTTTGTACGACATATCTATGTTTTTCATCAAAAGACAACAAATGTCTTTTTATGCAGGAGCGGATGGTCTCCCGGGGCCGAAAGGTACGTTGTTTGTTTTCAATAAAATATTATGATTATTAAGTGTACTTACTGACGAAAATAGGTCAAATTTCATGTTTAATGCTATATTATAGTTAATGTATATATTTATGTATTCAGTAACGCTTTTCTTAGGCAGCATACCCGTGAAGAACCGGGGTAGAATAGGTCTTCAGCAACCCATGCTTGCCGTAAAAGGAGACTATGCTTGTCGTAAGAGGCGACTGACGGGATCGGGTGGTCAGGCTCGCTGACTTGGTTGATGCGTCATTGATCCCAGTTGCGTAGATCGATGCTCTTGATGTCAATCACTAGATTGTCTGGTCCAGACTCGAATATTTACAGACCGCAGCGATATAGCTGGAATATTGAGAGGCGTTAAACAACAAACAAACAAACAAATCATAAGGCGGCACATTCTATTTCTCTATTTTCCGAGTCAAGCAGATAATCACCTTGGTGGTGACGGAACCCTACGAGTGGTGCCGAATGCACTGATTCTACAATTCTTTGTTTTATATGTAATATCTAAGTTGCGGAGACTGGGACACACTTACGCTCTCCTTATCCCACCCTCACAGAAGAAATGGCATGATGTTAATATACATTTCAAATTATATGAGTCTGTATGCTTTATTTATGAAGGATGCGATATTATTAACAGCTCAGAGTGACGCCTTTGGTTTCTATGTAGCGATAGTGAGTGAGTTTGGTTTAACGCCGCTTTAAACAGTATTCCAGTTATATGACGGCGTGTGAGCTCAATGTGGGAGGAAAGCCCCAAGTGATGCGTCTTAGACGTTTACCACGAAACCCACGAACACGGTGCTGACAAACCTAGAAACATAATCGGGGCGAACCGGGATTCGAACCCACAATCATAGGTTTCTGGAGTGCCCAAGGGATGCAACTCTGCACAGCGAATCGCGGCGCCTTAGACGGCCCGGCCACCCGTTCCTCCATGTAGCGATAGAGACCTCAAGGCTACCCACGGTCTCTGTAGCGACAGTGGTAGCCTAGAGGTTAAAACGCCCGCTCGTCACGACGAGGGCCCGGGATCGATTCCCCACATGGGTACAATGTGTGAACCCATGTCGGATGTCAACTCCCCCTCCCCCCCCCCCTTCTCCCCCCCTTCTCTCCCTCCCCCCGTCGTAATGTTGCTGGAATGTTGATACTAGCTGCTTGACTTTCTACTCACTATATAACCATAGTGTCTGACCTCTGTGACCTGTGTGACCTTTGTGACCTCTGTGACCTTTCGTTTATGTTCTTCAGGTGATGAGGGTCCGCGGGGAGAACGAGGTATGTTCAACAAAGTAAGCTCAACATTCAATATTTGAAAACAAGATATATATTTAACATCCTAGATTCGTTTGAAATATTGTTAAAAAACGATCACCTTCTACAAAAAAACATGACACTGACGTTCTCTACTCACCACTACATCTCCTAACAGCCTCCGTGGTCTAGTGGTAGAGCATCCGCCGGAGAGCGGAAGGTCCGGGGTTCGAACCTCGGCCGCTTCATACCAAAAGACGTTAAACTATGGTACTTGTTGTTACCCTGCCTGGCGCTCGGCATTAAGGGGTCAAAACAAGGACTGGTCGGCTCGGAGTCAGTATACTGTGTCTGAGTGGTGTATTCATGTTAAACTGCGGCATGGTATCTCAGTGAGCTAGCACTATAAATCAGCATCAGTCCGGACAAGTACAAGCAGCCACACACACACACACACACACACACACACACACACACACACACACACACACACACAAGCATGCACGTCGCTATATAGGTGAAATAATCTTGAACGCGACGTTATATCTCACTTCCTCATAAATGAATACAGTATGTTTTATATGAGTGGAACATTGTTTTTATTCGGTTCTGTATTTCTATAGAGATTAAAATGTGGAGTATCATAAATAATTTCTAAAACATTAACATCATGAACAAGGAGATATAGTTCTATGGATATACAGCTTCTTTATAACAATAACGGCAACGTATTGGTGTTGATATAACACTGTTATAAAGCAATTCTCATCACTTGCTTTATAACGGTGTCAGTGTATTAGTTGATATATATATATATATATACAATTGAGTCATGAATTCAAAGATATATTTAAAAACAAATGTGTCGAACATATTTCGGCACAACGTTAAAATAAAGAAGTTGTATCTCCATAGAATTATCTCCCTTGTTCATGACACCAACTTCTGACACTTAAAGAAGTCAGTACCATTAAGTTAGTCCTCACCTCTTTAATCCGGAAGATATTGACGTGAACGTGTTCAACACTGCACATGATTCGTTCGTCCGAATCTTGTTAATACGGACGATTTCATATATATTATTTAATCATCTTAGGGGTAGGATTGGGGGTCCTGTTCCTGAAAATAGTAATTTGAGTTGGTGATGTAGGTGTAAGTGACTCAATTGATGATGATGATAATGATGGTGATGATGATGATGAAAAAGTTTATATTTACATTGGTATATCTTGTTTCAGGCTGGCGAGGTTGGGTTGGCATCAAGGGAGAGCCGGGTAACGTACAGATGTCTACATAGACTGAATATAACACCCGGTGTCTTCAACTGTCAGGGTGTTGGGGTAACGTACAGATGTCTACATAGACTGGATATAACACCCGGTGTCTTCAACTGTCAGGGTGTTGGGGTAACGTACAGATGTCTACATAGACTGGATATAACGACCGGTGTCTTCAACTGACAGGGCGGCGGGGTAACGTATAGATGTCTTCACAGACTGGCTATAACACCCGGTGTCTCCAACAGATAGGGTTGGGTAACGTATAGATGTCTTCGCAGACTGAATATAACACCCGGTGTCTTCAACTGACAGGGCGGTGGGGTAACGTATATATGTCTACACAGACTGGCTATAACACCCGGTGTCTTCAACAGATGGGGCGGTGGGGTTACGTATAGATGTCTACACAGACTGAATATAACATATGTTCGATGACTTGACATATTGCCAAAAGGCGTGAAAATTAGCTCCCTCACTCACCCATCGGCTCTCGTATCAACATGAACCTGTTATAGTGTTACAGGACTCGCATAATCGAACTTTTCATCTTGATATATATATGATATTTGAAATGTGAATTTTCAAAGATAGAGAATAACCAGTCTCAATTAGCCGCCGAAACAGGCTCCATTGGGCACAAAAGGCAAATGCATGGTGATATTTGCAAAGACTTCCAATGTTTATCCCTTGCATAATATATTTCCAGCGATTCGTATAATACAATGTTTACTGCTTACATGGTAATTACAATACGGAAACCATTTTGTGATGATCTTACGTCTTACGTTTTTATAAATGTCAACAGGCGATGGCGGATCCGCTGCTGGTCTGAAAGGAGACAAGGGTAGGTTCTCTTCATAGCGAAGTGACCCGTGAAGATACGGGGTAGAATAAGTCTTCAGCAAACCATGCTTGCCGTAAAAGGCGACAATGCATGTCGTTGGAGGCGACTAACGGGATCGGGTGGTCAGGCTCGGTGACTTGGTTGAAGCATGTCACCGATCCCAATTGCGTCGATCGATGCTCATAATGTCAATCACTGTATTGTCTGGTCCAGACTCGATTATTTACAGAACGCCGTCACATAGCTGGAATATTGCTGAGTGCGGCGTTAAACAACAAACCAACCAACCAACCAATCATAGCGACGTCCACAGATTACACGAGCCTCGCTGTCGAAGTGCTCCACCTTCTATACTATCCCACATCATAACGTTCTACCGAAGTCCGATGCTGATTCTTGGTATGTCAGACTTTATATTTCATGCGTGACATGTAATCGAGGACAGACGAGTTGTTGTAACGATTTCAAAACATTATTATTTTTATCATTTCAGGAGATCCCGGAGTGCCCGGAATTGTTGGACCCAAAGGTTGGTGTAAACTTCAGAACAATATTTTAATATCATAATCATCATTTCGTATACAAATAAACCCAGCATAATAATGTGATGTATTCGTTATTCTACCATGACATTCGGAATCCTGCCTTCTGATTGGTCCGCCAGAGGTATCGAATCTACGTCATCTTGCTGATGACCGCTTCACTGCGAAGGAAAATATTCATTCAGAAGACCTATTTTCACAAACCCGCTCGTTGGACAATTCCTGACACTGGTCTTACTTCATTAACGTTGCTAAATAACGTAGTGTTGTCCCATCATAATCTCCAGCATGTGTGGCTTATTTTCCGGCGGACAACTTGACGAACAAAAACTCAGAGAGTGTGTTGTAAAAGTCAGCAACATGAATATAGCTTGACTTTTAGCGCTACTCTCACACGTTCTGTGACGTCATGACCACCGCATCACGATTCTAAGACTTACCATCTGAGAAGTTAATGACACATAATAGTGTCGCGTTCTTTTGAACAAAACTTGACAAAGGTCGAGTCTTTTTCTGAAGGCAAGTGAATTTTGAATAATCCTTTCGGGATATCTGCCTAAATGATGTTTTTGTGTCTTATTGAAGTAGTTCAAGCATTATGGTGAAAAATACGGTTTGGGTACATGAAGCAAACACGTGTAGATTAAAGCTGATCTCCATTGATCCCTGGATTCGCCCTTTCAACCTGCTGAAAATATTAGGCTACACCGATGCCGCTTCAGTAATCCTCCGCTATAACAATATAGTTCCCGTTTGTTTTGTCATTGTGTCACGGACGTATGGAGATAAACCTATTGTGATTTCAACTTAGAGATTTCAAACAACAGGTGTAACGTTTATTAATTTGAAACCTCATGCTCTCGCGTACGGTGTCCAATCAAATTTACAGGTATCTAATCTACGTTGGAGACCTCTGAAGTGAAAATACACCAGACTTAGCTAATGGGGTAGCTTTGTTACAGAAAATGAGTCTTTAAAATGCTGGACGTGGATGAAATATACTGATGGACTTGTGATATTACGTAATATGTACATATTTCCATTTTCCTTCAAGTCATTCGATGAGCTCAAATAATATGTTGGTTTGTCCAGATCTTGTTACTGACGGACTCACTCAGTCACGCTGTCACTGACTCACCCATTTAATCCACCCGTAGAGATCCGGGTAGAGAGTAGGTCTTCAGCAGCTCATGTTTGCCGTAAAAGGCGACTACGCTTGTCGTAAGAGGCGACTAACGGGATCGAGTGATCAGGCTCGCTGACTCGGTTGATGCATGTCATCGTATCCCAATTGCGTGGATCGATGCTCATGATATTAATCACTGGATTGTCAGGTCCATACTCGATTATTTACAGACCGCCGTCATATAGCTGGGATATTGCTGAGTGCGGCGTTAAAGAACACATTAACAATAAAAAAGCACTCATTTAATCAATGTTGTTTTTTTCAGGAGACATGGGATTCCCTGGGTCGGCTGGTGAACCAGGTATGCGTGCGAGATAAAAAGTGGAATTGATATTAACAAATGAGGGTTGATAAATGATTTTGGGGGCTTAATGGCACATTTCAAACGACGAAATTTTGTTTTAAATTGTCAAGAATATTTATAGGAATTCCTAGGACTGACAAAAAAATGTCTTTCGCTTGCCTTCAGCTTCTCATATAACGAAGTACATATATAATATTCACCTGGAATATTGCGGCCACAGTCCCGAAAGAAGAGATTGTAGTGTGTCCATGTTTCAAGTCTAAATACATTTCTGGTGTCCCCCGCCGTGATATTGCTGGTATATTGCTAAAAGCGGCGTAAAACCATACTCACTCACTCACTCAAGTAAACCACTCAAATAAACCACTGTGACCACAGTCCCACTGTGGTGACTGCGGGTTAGAAGTGGTCCCCAGCAACCTATGCTTGTACGAGGCGGCTGAACGGATCCCGTGATATCGTAACCCGACGGCGCGGAACGTTGCGCATAATATCAATCACCGGATGGTCTGGTCCAGCCTCGATAATGCACTAGCCATATACAGTAACTACGTTTATCACGAAATGACGGATACAACGAAATTATTTTCCCCCATCCATTTGTTGTATATATGTTTATATCGAACTACGGTTATAACGAACTAACATCAGTGGCCCTTTGAGTTCGTTATAACCGTAGTTTATTGCAGCTGGAAGCTGATACGTTGAACAAGTAAGCAAAGAACATGAAAACGTAGTCTTAGTGTTGTGGCTCTGGTGAGATTTGGAGAGCCTTTTTTTAACCACCTTAACCTTTACCTTGGAATTGAACAATGTTTACAACTGAGGGTAAAAATATGTCATTTAAATCTGGGGACTCTATATACTCTGTATGGTCTCTCTAGCGATCTGTACTTGGTGATTGCTTGCAGGTGCTGTTGGTCTGCAGGGGCCGAGAGGTCTTCCAGGGGCTAAAGGTATTATTGTCGTCATTGTTTGTAGAGGTCGGATAATGTGTTATTAAGGATATGTTTCCAGTTTTGTCAGCACTATACCCCCGTTCTCGTGGTAAACATCTGAGATCTACATTTCTCACTTACTGATTTTTATTTGGGGGGGGGGGGGAATCAACCATTTTGGACGAGGTGGGGAGAGGGGCAACATTACCCCCTTGCCTCAAACTGCGACACCTCTGACAACTTACTAAATACCATGGTCACTCACTCACCCTAAGCCCCGTGAAGATCCGGGGTAGAATAGGTCTTCAGCAACCCATGCTTGTCGTAAAAAGGCGACTATGCTTGTCGTAAGAGGCGACTTACGGGATCGGGTGGTCAGGCTCGCTGACTTGGTTGATGCTCGTCATCGTATCCCAGTTGCGTGGATCGATGCTCATGATATCTTGTGGACAGAACGTCTTTCCGGAGAGCGGAAGGTCGGTGGTTCGAACCCCGGACGCGTCATGCCAACAAGACGTTAAAAGATGGTAACTGTTGGTACAGCATACTGTGTCTCTATAGTCTTGAGCCTCACTTCACCCATCTTCCCGAGGCAAGGGAATTAACTGACTATAAAAGTCCAGTTTCCACCCTTGCCGAATTAGGCTGGTATTATGGACTTACATTTTGGCTGGACTAACGCGTCTATGCATAGTCCAATCAAAATCGCGCAACGAAATCGAAATCCGGTTCGTAAACTGACGCAGATTTCGGTCGATTGCAGGAGTTGCAAACGTGTTCACCGCCAACTCGTTGTCAACAGATCTTTTCTAAATCTTTTCATGTTTTTAATCAAGGTTCTCTGATTTGATGCACTTCGCGATGTAAGGCCCGTTTTATGTCAATAAAGATCTTGATTATCGATCAGATCGTCTTGACTGGGAGCCGCCATTATGTTTGAAGCAAATGCAAGTGATACGAGTGGTAGAATCCAATTGGTCCATAGGATAGGCTTAGAAGGGACACAACTCGTAATAGCCACTGGTGGCGCTACGATTTCAGCAAAGGTGGAAACAGGACTTTTAAAGTCAGTTAACTCTTGGCTCGGGAAGATGCACTTCACTCCCTACCTCACGCTAACCACACGTTCACCTGTGTTAATATGATAAAATGTAGGAGGAGCGCTTGAATCCATTGCATGATCAGTCCAATTTGTGAATAGCAGTAATGAATCGACTGTCAACTTTTCAGGTGACAACGGGCTGCCTGGCCCCCAAGGCGTGCAAGGTAATAATCCGGTCAGCTTTCTGTTAGCTCACCAGAGCTTAGCCGGTTCGTTAACGTTCGACGTCTTCCTCCTACTGAAGGTGGATGTAGTAGGATTCAAGTTGGCGTTAGTATAAATACATTAGAGTTTTTGTTTTTAATTAACGTTGTGCAACTGCAAAGAAACATAAAGAAAATTTATTCTCTGACACAGTAGTCTAAATTTGAAACATTTCATGCACAGAAACACAGCGGGATCAAGATTTGTTTAAAGTAGTAGTATGTCCTCTATGTCCTTTTTTCAGACCGCCTCGGTGGTCTAGTGGTAGAGCGTCCGCCCGGAGAGCGGAGGGTCCGGGGTTCGATCCCCGGCCGCGTCATGCCAAAAGACGTTAAAAGTTGGTACTTGTTCTTACCCTGTCTGGCGCTCGGCATTAAGGGGCTAAAACAAGGACTGGTCGGCTGGGAGTCAGTATACTGTGTCTGAGTGGGGTATTCATGTTAAACTGCGGCATGGTATCTCAGTGAGCTAGCACTATAAATCGGCATCAGTCCGGACTAGTACAAGCAGACTCACACGTGCATGCACGTTGCTATATATGTGCAATAATCTTGGACGCGACGTTAAACCCCATTTCACCTCACCTCACCTCACCTTTTTTCAGAAACCACAGGTAATAGAGATGTGTAGGATCTCTTGTAACAGGCTAGTCAGGACATGAATGGAACTGACAAATTAAGTTATATGTATATTAAGTTATTCAACATATTATTCTTCGACATTGGAAAATGTAATGCGTCATCTCCTAAGAAACGAAAAAAAATCAAACAGCTGATGTGAAAAATTGTGCATGATTGTAATCCGTAAATGACTGTTTTGGAGTAATGACCGAAGAAAACTCATCGCGTCGCCAACAGAATCTTCGGGCGTTGGGGTAGCCTAGTGGTTAAAGCGTTTGCTCGTCCCGCCAAAAGCCCGAGTTCGATTCTCCACATGGGTACAATATTTGAAGCCCATTTTTGGTGTCAGTCATCGTAATATTGCTGGATTATTGCTAAAAGCGGCGTAAAACCATATATCTGGCCTGTGTGTGATGTTGAAAACCGCTGTGTCGAACATTAATATGTCGAATTCTCGGTTGTGTCAAACTCGGATTTGAATCTCTCCATTTTCTATCATTTGATCACTAATAAGTCTATTCGGACAGGTCGAAATTTTGTGACTCAAACTTATTATTTGTCAAGCACAGTGTTGTCCTGAAAGCCGAACTGTACTTTCTTTTGTGAAATAAATCATCAAAGGCTTGTTGCAGTGACGTAACATAATCTTGGAGGTAAAGGGCACTGACATTTTATATAGTTTAACACATACTCGAGATAGACAAAATAACAAACATATACCTTTTTCTTGTTTTTTACGTCGTTAATGCCATCACAACATTATTGCAGGTGTCCCGGGTCAGCGGGGAGAAATGGGATACGACGGATTCAAGGGTGTGTTATGTGTTTGTAATATATGTTCTAAAAATAAAGATACCCACAAAATCATGTAAGTAATTAGGTGAGTTGAGGTGGAATTGAGTTTAACGTCGCGTCCAAGATTATTTCACTTATATAGGGACGTGTGTGTGTGTGTGTGTGTGTGTGTGCGTGTGCGTGTGCGTGTACGCGCTTGTGTACGCGCGCGCGTGTGTTTGTGTGTGCGTGCGTGCGTGCGTGTGTGTGTGTGGCTGCTTGTACTAGTCCGGAGTGATGCAGATTTATAGTGCCAGCACACCATGCCACAGTGTAACAGGAATACACAGTATACTGACTTAGAGCAGACCAGTCCTTGTTTAAGCCCCATAATGCCGAGCGCAGTGGACGAGTGTCAGCCCGGAGAGCGGAAGGTCCGGGGTTCGATCCCCGGCCGCGTCAGACCAAAAGACGTTTAAAGATGGTACTTGTTGTTATCCTGTCTTGCGCTGGTAATAAAGTGTACACTGTGTCTACACTGTGTCTGAATTGGGTATCTATGTTAAATCTTGGCATGGAATCTCAGTAGGCAAACACTGGCATCAGTCCAGAGTAGTACGAGCAACGACACACTCACTCACAAGCGCATGTACGTCGCTGAAAAGGGCAATAATCTTGGACGCGACGTTAAACTCCATTTCACTTCGTCTTACCTCGTTGCCGAAGACCCTTGTTCCGTTCCCAAACGGTCCAATTTTGTAGAACTTATTGGCGATGTCCTCCCGAGTGAAATTGCTAGAATACAACTAAAACGGGACAGAACATTACTCATTTACTCACTGATATGTGCATGATCAAGTTTGCAGCATTTCACACACTGGATATATACTGAGGGCAAGAAGAAACCATACATCTCAGCTGATTTTATCATGTTTGATTTTCAATTGACAATATCTTAATTAGCGATATTATATCCAAACAAGCACCGTATAGGCGCTTAGTAATCTCTCAAAGAATATTTCTACATAGTTTATATACTTTAAAATATAATTTGACTTAAAACGTTTAAAAAATGAAATATAAATTGCATAATACACAACAGCTGATGGGTATCTTAGACATGTTATCTTTTAAAAATATTCAATTTGATTTTTTCGGCACAACTTTACAACATTTTAAACATGGATGGGGTAAGCCAAATTCATTTTTGACACCAGTGTTCATTGGACCAATTTATTTTCACACAAAATTACTTTTTACAAAGTGTTTCAGGAACGAGTGATGGTAAAATAGACAAAATCAAATTCAACAGTTAATTTTCAACTGCACGAAAATCGAATACTTTTTTTTGCCCCTCAGTATATATCCCGGGAATCATGTCCTTGTTTTCTCTGATTCATAAACAGGTGATGCGGGCCAACCAGGACCGAGAGGAGACTCAGGTAGGGTAGGCAGGCATCGCTAGGGACATGGCTGGAACAGAATCACGCCCATAACCCATAACATCGCCCCGAACTCATCGGTCGATGTCAATGAGGACGTGAACGTACACTTAAAGGGGTGAAACAGTAAGGCAGTGCAACTCGCTGTATTGGAGTTACGTCCCTTAGATGTACCAGAATCACATGGTCGTAGGTTCGAATTCCAGATTGGCCCTGATTTGACCCAACCATACATTGCTTAATAGACTCTCGTGGATCACTAACTCCCAATTAACCCAACTTTTCCCTATAATAAATAATTATCGTAGTCATGATATTTTAACCTGGGAAGATCCGGGGTAGAATAGGTCTTCAGCAGCCCATGCTTGCCGTAAAAGGTGACTATGCTTGTCGTAAAAGGCGACTAACGGAATCAGGTTGTCAGGCTCGCTGACTTGGTTGATGCATGTCATCGTACCCCAATTGCGTAGAATGATGCTCATGATGTCAATCATTGAATTGTCTGGTCCAGACTCGATTATTTAAAGACCGCAGTCATATATTGGCATGCATGACTGTCATATCAAAATAAAAATATTTGATAATTTGTTGCTTAAAGCCGCAATTAGCTATGTGTCTACGGGTTGGAAATAATGGAGCCATATTCCAGTGGTTGATAGTATGAGCAACTATGCCGTCGGAGGTACACCGGATCCGATTATTCTATTTGTAAAACTTCACGCCTTGTTTCAGGCAACGCATCACCATCTGCAGGTGTAAAGGGAGAGACAGGTAAGAAATGATATCATCCAAAACAGGAGCTTTCTGCTGAGAAATAACGCTCCAATGAAATTACATCACAATTCTTTGGAAAAAATAAGTCGCGGTTTGGATGAAATAACGCCGATGCGACCTTATCTTCTAACTCACTCACTCACGTGTAGATCATTGTGACGTCATCGGACACCATGACGTCACAATCACTGGTTTACATTCAGGACACTCTTAATTCTGTTTACAAACTAAAAACAAGTTTAAAAAATGATTATTTTTTATCTCTATTCATGTAGTGTCCTAGCTTGCTGGTTATTTTGTTTTAACTGTTTGGACTCGAACTTGTACACATCCATAATTGTATGATATAGAACCTATTCTATTGTTGTTTAATATGTTTATTTTTAACTCAGAGTAAATTCTTCAAAGTTGTACTGTTTTTCGAACACCAAGTGATTATAAAGACAATGTCGTGCTTTTAACAGAAATGTCTTATACTTGAGGAAAGGTTTTTTTTAATTTATATACTTTTAACCATCAACCATGGTTTTGGTTGAAGGTGCTCCTGGCCCCCCGGGTCCTGCCGGTCCCCCGGGCCCTGCCGGATATGATGGCTTCAAGGGTAGGTTGTCTACAAAACACGACACTGCGTAAACCCCGGGCATTCAGCATCACTAGACAAAACCAGGAATCCAACTATTCCGGAAAATACGGAACTATTGAAAACTATAACTCTACACTGTTTCTAATTGTAATGACCTTTTATGAAATGTGGGGAGATGATTTAGCCTAGTAGTTAAAGTGTTCGCTCGTGGTATTCAGGGTTCGATTTCCTATTGGTAAAACGTTTGAAGCCTATTTCTTGTGTCCCCTGCCTTGCATTGCCGTGGATTGCCTCTTGCTTAAGATGGCGTAAAACTCACTCATAATTGTCTCATTGCAAAGACCTCGATATTCAAAACACAACTGTACCATGTCATCCGAAATTGGACTGATGCCATCACCTCATGTTGCAGGCGAAGCTGGCGTCCCCGGAGCGGCTGGTGCTGCAGGTGATGTATATGATGTTGTTTGAAACGGAGAAATGGAGACGATGCACGGACAACACGTTAATGCAGTATTACCTTTTTCGGCGTTAAAAAACCAAAACAACAAGTTTATCTTATTTAATAAATCTTAATTTCTCTGACAAAATACCTCTCTGCGTGATGACCTAACAACACCTCCATAGAAGGTGACCGCCTCGGTGGCCTAGTGGTAGAGCGTCCGCCCGGAGAGCAGAAGGTCCGGGGTTCGATCCCCGGCCGCGTCATACCAAAAGACGTTAAAAGATGGTACTTGTTGTTATCCTGTCTGGCGCTCGGCATTAAGGGGCTAAAACAAGGACTGGTCGGCTGGGAGTCAGTATACTGTGTCTGAGTGGGGTATTCATGTTAAACTGCGGCATGGTATCTCAGTGAGCTAGCACTATAAATCGGCATCAGTCCGGACTAGTACAAGCAGCCACACACACACACACACGTACATGCACGTCGCTATATAAGTGCAATAATCTTTGACGCGACGTTAAACCCCATTTCACCTCACCTCACCAGGAGGTCGAGGCAGGTAAACTCTGAGTGAACGTGACCGCCTAATCCTGATTCGTGGATGCGTGGGTTCTTGAGCCAATCACATGCCGCCTGTGGTAGCACGTGGTCCTGAACACAGCGCACAGGTCACAAATCAGGTGAAGGTGCCTCGGTGGCGGAGAGCCCTTGGATGGGTGACCGCCTTTCGGCAGTTTTGCTCCTGTGTGTTTCCAGGGCTTCAGTCCTGCCCCACACTGAAGCACATGTAACGCATGTGGTGTCTCCTTGGGCAGGTGACTCTGTTAGAAATGTGCCTCTGTTCACCCAGCAGCGAATGGGTACCCGGTAGGATGAGATGACAATGTGGTTTAATAGGCAGTTTGGGTAGTTGACTCCCCAGGGAGCTGAGAATTATTGTTGAGTGCACACTGATCCAGTCACCGGGGTAATAAAAGCGCTTTGAGCATGGCCCTGAGTGGCGTGGAAATATGCGCAATATAAATGGCCTAATATTAATCTTAAATTAGGGGGGGTCGGGTGGCCAAGTGGTTAAAGCGTTCGCTCGTAACGCCGAAGACCCGGGTTCGATTCCCGACATGGGTATAATGTGTGAAGCCCATTTCTGGTGTCCCCCGCCGTGATATTGCTGGAATATTGCTAAAAGCGGCGTAAAACCATGCTCACCCACTCACTCACTATTCTTAAATGATTTGGCTTCATTTCCTAACCATCTAGGTTGCACTGTTTTTATTTGCCTGAAAAAAACACACCACAGGGCACAAATATACCCTCGATAGTACACCGCGTTGAGTGCAGATGGCGCCCAGGCAGGATGTGAGGGGCGTTTGGGGCTTGTGGTTAAAGTGTTAACTCGTCACACCGAAGACCCGGGTTCGATTCCCCACATGGGTACAATATGCGAAAACCATTTATGGTTTCTCCTGAGGTCATATTGCAGGAATATTGCTAAAAGTGGGTAAAACAATACTTCGTCACTCACTCACTCACAAACTCACTCAGACAGGATGTATAACATACCCACAACAATATAATAGCGCGGCTTTATGTCTTTGCATTCGGAATTCCTCGATTATATTCGTTTTTGAGATGCCGACATCAGATAAATCTGTTTGAATGCTTCGTACCGAGGGGTTAAATTTGGTTTAACCTGTACCCTGAAGGGGTGTCCCCGGGTCTTCACGCAGAGACGATTGTAAGGTGTCGGAATATCTTATTTGAATGAGATAGGAATATCACTAAGTTTGCTTCTTCCTCACAGGCCCCCCAGGAGGGCCAGGCCCTGAGGGTGCCCCCGGCCAGAGAGGATGGAGAGGTGAGGTGTTCTCAATAGGAGATGTTTTTTTCCAGATCTGGGTTAGAATTGGTCTTCAGCAACCCATGTGTGTCTCCCCCGTGAAGACCTGGGTTAGAATTGGTCTTCAGCAACCCATGCTTGTCTCCCCCGTGAAGATCTCGGTTAGAACTGGTCTGAGTTAGAATTGGTCTTCAGCAATACATGCTTGTGTCCCCTGTGAAGATCTCGGTTAGAATTGGTCTTTAGCAATCCATGCTTGTCTCCCCTGTGAAGATCTCGGTTAGAATTGGTCTTTAGCAATCCATGCTTGTCTCCCCCGTGAAGATCTCGGTTAGAGTTGGTCTTTAGCAATCCATGCTTGTCTCCCCTGTGAAGATCTCGGTTAGAATTGGTCTTTAGCAATCCATGCTTGTCTCCCCCGTGAAGATTTCGGTTAGAATTGGTCTTTAGCAATCCATGCTTGTCTCCCCTGTGAAGATCTCGGTTAGAATTGGTCTTTAGCAATCCATGCTTGTCTCCCCTGTGAAGATCTCGGTTAGAATTGGTCTTTAGCAATCCATGCTTGTCTCCCCCGTGAAGATCTCGGTTAGAATTGGTCTTTAGCAATCCATGCTTGTCTCCCCTGTGAAGATCTCGGTTAGAATTGGCCTTCAGCAATCCATGCTTGTCTCCCCTGTGAAGATCTCGGTTAGAATTGGTCTTCAGCAATCCATGCTTGTCTCCCCTGTGAAGATCTCGGTTAGAATTGGTCTTCAGCAACCCATGCTTGTCTCTCCCGTGAAGATCTCGGTTAGAATTGGTCTTCAGCAAACCCATGCTTGTCGAAGGAGGCGACTAACGGGATCGGGCGGTCACATTGGCGGAAGTGGGTGATGCATGTCATCATATCCCAACTGCGCAGTTCGATGCTTATGATGCCAATCGCTGGATTGTCTTGCCCCGACACGACTATTTACAGACCGCCATCATATAGCTGGAATATTGCTTGTCAAATAACGGATTGTGTTGAGGATGCGATAAACCAATCCGATAAAAATCACGTTCTGATAAATATGCCACCGTGGACACTTAGCTTTTAATATGTTTTTCAAATTGATGCTTACTTGGTAAACTGTAGCGGTCGGGTAGCCTAGTGATTAAAGCAATCGCTCGTCACGGCTAAGACCCGGGTTCGATTCCCGACATGGGTACAATGTGTGAAGCCCATTTCTGGTGTTCCCCGCCGTGATATTGCTGGAATATTGCTAAAAGCGGCGTAAAATCAAACTCACTCACTCACTCTTGCTAATTTACCTACCGGCAGCATGTCTCGAGAGAGGTTTCCTGCTTATATCATCACACATGGCTGCAAATGATAACTCTGATCACTCAGGCATTGTGTTCAAAGTTTCTAAAGTTACTTCATTTAATGAAATCGTCTCTTACACATTATTATTTTAAAAATGAAATTATATTATAAAGATATATTTACCCTTTTATGCTTCCGTATCGGGGATATCATATATAATGATTTACAAATTATACGAACCGTGAAGATATCCGGGGTAGAATAGGTCTTCAGCAACCCATGCTTGCCGAAAAAGGCGACTGTACTCGTCGTAATAGGCGACTAACGGGATCGGGTGGTCAGGCTCAATGACTTGCTTGATGCATGTCATCGTATCCCAGTTACGTGGATCGATGTCAATCACTGGATTGTCTGATCCAGATCGGATTATTTACTGACCGCCGTCATTTAGAGTGAATATTGCTGAGTGCGACGATAAACAACAAACAATCAAACAAATTTGCAAATATGTATTTTACTAGCCGAAGTTTATTTTGCATTCCATAATTATGATTAATATCTATGTATGTTCTCGTGTTGCAGGATGGCGGGGGCAGCAGGGTTTGAACGGACCCCCCGGGCCTAGAGGTATGTGAGGATTCAGCCGTCTCCATGTCCCCACAGGGCACATGCCGCTCAACTGTTGATAGGGACACTGAGACCGTTCATACTATATACATATATCACGTGTCACAGAATAATATGAATGTCCCTATCGAACGTTGAGCGTTATAGAATCATAAGCAACTCCCTAATTTAAAACGCTGCTGTCAAATGCCCAATGAAGTGAACATGTTCGTTTTTTGATAAAACCCAGAGCTCCAGATAAGCTTTTGGTGTTGTGGGTATTTTACCCATGCATTTTAAAATCATTGGGTTTCAGTAATTCTATCTGCGTATTCAAATTTCTGTTACCCACTAGTTTTTACACATGTGGGTATTTAAGTTAAATATTAAAAAACACTATTCATCTAGTCCCTGCAAACTGGTGTCGTGTGGGTCCGAGAGCTTTATAGGACTCAAAAATACCACGATACTTCCACAAGAAAGTGTGATGGCAAACGTTTTTTTCAAAATAGGATGCTGATTTGCTAATCGAATACGCAGGGTTACTTCACAATATGTTGATGATACGCACACGTTTTATTTTTGTAGCGTATCTGTAATGTTCGTTGCGTATTTGATACGTTTGGATTATATTTTACAGTGTATTTCTGCATTTCTGATGCGTATTTTACGCAGATACGCAGCTTATCTGGAGCTTTGAAAACCTGTATTCCATGCCAAGAAAATACGCCTAAGAGGTAACGTGGTCGATTGCAGTCACGTACAGGGTATGAGTTCGATTCTTGACGTGAGTTCAAATCTGTCATCGATATTGGAGAAACAGTGTGTACGGTAGGGCTGCAACGAATAACCTATGAGGCGAATACGATTCGTATCATAAATATAGGGTAATGAATACGAATATTAATTCACGAATACAATAATAAGTCAGCAGTTGATGTATTATTTGTCATATTCAGCATGTTCAGTGAGGCAACATCAACATAAATCATTTGACATGGTTTGTTAATTATCCATATCATACATTTATATACTGGACTTGTCCAGGTACTTAGACTTAGTATCTGCTCAAATGCTACAATGACCAGTGACCAAATTCCTGTCAAATTAAATATTATAAGAGTGTTGTCTTTAAAGAAACCTATGCATATCATACGTCCTTATGGACATTTTAGGTACAGGGTATTTAAATGCACATGATTGCATATACATAAATATTCGATTCTAGTGGCAACGAATAACGAATTCAATTCATGAATGGATACGGTTCGATTTACCGAATACGCTTGTGAATCGTAACGGCCCTAGTGTACGGTCGGATAAAACGAATTTGATACCTGAATTGAGATAGATAATGACATGAGGTCATTTATAACTTCCGGTTACTTTGGGTCATCACATCCTGCACTAACCCCTTGATCCATGCCCGTGGTTCTCGCGATATCAAATTATCTGCCCTTGATTTTCATCAACATTTTACCGACAAATCAAACGTCGAGTTGAGAAAACATGTAATGGGTAAGAGAAGACTTGACACTTCCACTTCTAATGTACATGAAGACATCCTTTCCAACTGTAAGAATCAAATTGGCATTTATATTGCGTGTAAGTCAGTTTTTCAATGTTGAATGTTTCGCAAACACCATCGTAATGAATGGGACTGGCCGCCATGTTGTTCTTCATATCGCTGGTTTGTAACTCGCGTTCTGATTGGTCCGTTAGACTGAGTAGGGTAGCAATTCAAACTGGCCAATGGAAATCAAGGACGGGTAATTTGATATCGCAATAACCAGTGTGATCTATCCAGGTGTTAGTGTAGGTTTACCGAAATGCGAATACCCATGTTGAACTGTGGCATGGTATCTCAGTGGGCTATCACTATAAAATCGGCATCAGTCCGGACTAGTACAAACACACACACACATGCACGTCGCTAGATAAGTGTAATAATTTTGGACGCGACCTTAAACCCCCTTTTCATCTCACCTCACTCTATATGTGCTGGTGTGGTGTATACAAACCCGTGAATATTGATGATGATGATGATGATGATGATGATGATGATGATGGTGGTGGTGGTGGTGATGATGATGATGATGATGATGATGCAACTGATTCTGTTTCCAGGGTTACCAGGCCCTTCAGGTGGTCCCCAAGGAGAACCAGGTCAGTACGTGAACTTACTGGGTTGACCCGAGGACCCAATGAGAATAGGAAGGTGTCAATGTAAGGTAGACACAGTGTGAGGAAAATAGGAAAATTATCGACAAAAGGAAAATACGCTATCATTTCCGGGTTTGACAGAAATTATGTCTGGCGCAGTTCCTTGTTTTAACTTGTACTGTTCCCGTGTTTAGGTGATCGAATGGATTTGCATGTGTTTGTGACGGGTGACACGGATGGGGCCGGATACGCCCACCTTTTGGCGAGCACCTGTATCATCACTATTTGATAGACAAGTGATTCATATACGCCTACATATATATTGTCGTGAGATGGACCTGCTTTTATTAGTAGCAGAGATTGCAATAATAATTATTATGGAAATGATTTTGTCGCTTTTATTGAGGAGTATTTCTTTTTATGGTTGTGGTTGATGTTTGTTCACCACCATGTGCTTTCACCCCCAGGACTGCCCGGCCCCCCAGGCCCCCAGGGAATACAAGGCCTGACAGGTAGGGCAATCCGTGAATCCCGTGAGTGGTGCATGTATAGTGGCAGGACAATATGCTTTCCTTTGGTGCACAGCCTCATAAACATTAATTGACAGACTTCTAACCAGATCAGGCCCGTGATAATCCGGGGTAGAATAGATCTTCAGCAACCCATACTTGCCGTAAAAGGCGACTATGCTTGTCGTAAGAAACGACTAACGGGATGGGGTGGTCAGGCTCACAGACTTGGTTGATGCATGTCATGGTAACTCAATTGCATGGATCGATACTTATGATGTAAATCACTGGATTGTCTGGTCCATACTCGATTATTTCCAGACCGCCGTCATAAAGCTAGAATATTGCTGATTGCGGCGTTAAACAACAAACGAAACAGACAAATCTTACTGATCAACATGATTGCTGTCATGAATATAATTTGGTAAATAGTTTCTGTACCAATCCATGATAGCTGCTTGTACACAAGGCAGGCTAGATGCACACCAGTCAGTGAGTTTGATTTTACGCCGCTTCTAGCAATATTCCAGCAACATCACGGCGGGGGACACCAGAAATGGGCTTCACACATTGTACCCATGTTGGGAATCGAACCCGGGTCTTCGGCGTGACGAGCGAACGCTTTAACCACTAGGCTACCCGACCGCCCCAGATGCTCATCAAATTACGGTTATATGTATCATAGGCCAGTGACCTAAATTCTGAATAAAGTCCGTCTATCTGTCTGTCTGTCTATCTGTCTGACTGCGCCTGCCTGTGTGTCTGTGCCTGTCTGTCTGTCTGTGTCTGCCTGTGTGTAACGTTATAGACCTGTTGTGACACGTGTGTTTCAGGCCCGCAAGGCCCGACTGGAGGCCCGAAGGGAGACAAAGGTAGGAACACGGACAAGAAAAAATAAAAAACAAATATGTTCTTTCACCAAAATGTTCGAAATTGAAAAAAGACAAGTACTGGTAGTGGTAGGGGTCGTTCATGGGAAAAGGTTCGCAAATTCTAATCCTTCACTACTTGTGTCTCTCGGCACATCAGAGGTCATCCCTACCTGATGTTGTCAGAGCTTACTGGGGGTTACATGGTGTGTGGTACCCGCTTTATTATCATGTCAGAATGATGAGATCTGATTGGTCCACATCTTACCTTACACTTGAATGTCCGACTCTGATTGGCTGAGTCCCATTCTATTATTTTCAATGGACACTCACATTTCCCCGCTCGAATTGTGGAAATGTGGGCGTTTCATATGTGCAAATATTAACGATGTAAACAGATATTTTACGATATTTCCCGAATTAAATAATTCTAGGGGAATAACTCTAAGTTTATTTTCTGTCTGCAGTTTGTCGATAAATGTGAAAAATGAACGAAGTTGATAAATGCCTAACTGTGGTATTCTTACTGACTCGGACCAAATCGTGAATGTATAAGATATACCTGCAATGTAATCAAATCATTGTCCATCCACACAATCCAACCCCCTCCCCCTACCCCGAGACAAGTGGACAATTTATAATAACTTCACAAAGTGTGTATGTTTCTGAGCATCACGTTGTTAAGTAACCGGAACAAGTCAACATGTTAAGTTCTGATGTCAGTAAAAACTACCTTTATTATCAAAATTATCAGGTTACTATATATCGTGTAATGTATCGTATCGTGAACAAATTTTATCGACAAAAATCGCATCGTCCACTGTGATCTACTGCAACGCCATGTTTTAACTGAATGACTCACGTGATGTGTTCTGTTGCTAGGCGACACTGGACAGCCCGGCTTTGACGGTATGACAGGCCCCCAAGGGCCTGAAGGGATGCCAGGTAAGTCCTCCACGGGGGGTGACTATGACGGGTATTTTACTGTTGCAGAAGGGGGACATTTTTTTAATATGTCGGTTTATGGATTCTACCTACCTCATTAAAAAAACAATGAAAGCATGTCGTATGTCACTAGTGTTTCGTGGCAATGCTACAGTTAAAATCACTAATGCAATTAACTTGTAATAGTTGCATTTAATTTATTGTTAGTACAGGTGCGTGCGTGCGTGCGTGCGAGTGTGTGTGTGCGCGTGCGTGCGTGCGTGCGTGTGTGTGTGTGTGTGTGTGTGTGTGTGTGTCTGTGTGTGTCTGTGTGTGTCTGTGTGTGTCTGTGTGTGTGTCTTATGATTCTAGTCCGGACTGATGCCGATTTATAGTGCTAGCCCACTGAGACACCATGCCGCAGTTTAACATGAATACCCCACCCAGACACAGTATACTGACTCCGAGCCGACCAGTTTTAGACCCTTAATGCCGAGCCCCAAACAGGGTAACAACAAGTACCATCTTTTTACGTCTTTTATATGACGCGGCCGGGGATCGAACCCCGGACCATCCGCTCTCCGGATGGATCCTCAACCACTAGGCCACGGAGGCGGTCTGAATTGTTATGAGCTATTAACAGCCTTAGTTTCATGTTCTCTGACGTGATGCTTTGTTCGTTTAGGTCTCCCGGGTCAAAAAGGTTCATCTGGCTTGAACGGTATGTAAAAGAGGAGATGCTCTGGAAGTTTTACTATTTATATATTTGCTTTTTTGTCAGTTAATAAATTCTGAATTGCAAAACAAATGGGCAAGAAAAGTAGGCTGGGAAGCAAGTTGATATTTGTGTATTTCATGAAGAAAGAATTTCAGATAATACGAATATCGCGGCGTGTCAGCTTAATGTGGGAGGAAAGCCCGAAGTGATGCAGGTCTCAGACGTTTACCACTTCGGTGAAACCCACGAGCACGGGTATGGTGCTGACAAACCTAGAAACATCATCGGGGCGAACCGGGATTCGAACCCACAATTATAGGTTTCTGGCTCACTCATGATCACCTCCCCACAACCACCCCACCACACCACCATATCACCTCACCGTCCCACAACCACCATACCACCCGACCTCTCAGAACCATCGCACCACATCACCCAACCTTCCCACAACCACCCAAATACATCACCCCACCTCCCCATGACCACACAACCACCCCACCTTCCCATAACCACCCCACTGCTCCACCTCCCCCAAAACACCACATCACGCCAACTCCCCACAAACACCACATCACGCCACCTCCCCAGAACCACCACATCACGCCACCTCCCCACAACCACCACATCACGCCACCTCCCTACAACCACCACATCACGCCACCTCCCCACTACCACACCGCCTCCCTACAGACATCGAACGCATCAGGGAAATTTCCTGTTGCCAGTTCCGACTACATTATCCGCATGTGTTGATGACCTGTTTCAGGTCCTCCGGGCTCCCCAGGTCCAGCAGGTGTAGACGGAGCTCAGGGCGCTGTTGGCTACGACGGAATGGACGGTACATAGACGATTTGTAGATTAATTTATTTATTTCTTCCCATGCCGTCAAACTTGCTTCAAGTATATGATTCCGCCACACAGTAGTGATCCCTGAACTTCTCTGTAATAAAGCACCCGCTGTCGCGATCTAGTCGATGTTACATATGCCATAATACGAGTTATTAAGATTATTCTCGTTGTTTCTTTTTGTAGGAAAACCGGGCCCGCCAGGTAGGTTTGAGTGAGTGAGTGAGTGAGTGAGTGAGGCACGACCGCAGTGTACAGGTTTATATCACGGCATGTCAGCTTGATGTTGGAGGGGCGGTCGGGTAGCCTAGAGGTTAAAGCGTTCGCTCGTCACGCCGAAGACCCGGGTTCGATTCCCGACATGGGTACAATGTGTGAAGCCCATTTCTGGTGTCCCCCGCCGTGATATTGCTGGAATATTGCTAAAAGCGGCGTAAAACCATACTCACTCACTCACTTGATGTTGGGGGATACCTCAAGGGGTGTGGCTGTGGGTGTGGCTGTGGGTGTGGCTGTGGGTGTGGACGTGTACCCAGGCATGGTGTCATGTCCGGTGGCCCATATGGGACATGGAGTCTGTTTTTCAACATTTTTATGTTTCACTTACTTTAATCGTAACCTTTTGCAAATTAACACAATTTGTCATACAAATATGTGATAAATCATGTATAAAAACAACCGAAAACATGGAAAATGTACATTCAAGTAGCTATTCAGTCGCTGAAATGTGAAGCGAACATGTCTAAAACTAAAATGGAAATGTCAAAAACCAAAACGAAAATGTCTAAAACAAAAGCGAAAATGTCAAAAAATAAAATAAAACCACAGAAAACTATTTTCACCGCTGTGATAATATTTCCACAGCGGTGTAAATAGTTTTCACCGCAGTTGAAATATTATCACCGCGTTGGAAATATTATCACCGCGGTGGAAATAGTTTTCTGTGGTTTCATTTTAGTTTTTGACATTTGCGTTTTTGTTTTTTGACATTTTCATTTTAGTTTTTGCCATTTTCGTTTCACTTTTCAGCGATTCAATATCTTCTTTACACATGATTTATCACATGTGTGTAAGACAAATTGTGTTAATTTGCAAAAGGTAACGATAAAAGTAAGTGAAATATCAAAATATTGAAAAAAAGACTCCATGTCCCTTATGGGCCACCGTAGTCATGGTTAACCAACGATCACAGGAGTCGTTATGGGTCGGTTGTCGAGGCAGCGCTTCCTGGGAGAATTCCCATTCGCTGTCTGGGCTACGTATAGAGGGGGCAAGGACCCTGAGCTGATGATGAGCCTAACCAGCCTGTCTGCCAGGATCACCCAAACCCTCTTTGCTACCTTTTAATCTGCACATAACATTGATGTCAGAGCAGGAATGAATTACGTGACGTCAAGTATTAGTACTCAAGTACAGTAAGTGCCTCAATATTTATCTACTTTTGATTCAAATATTCTATGATTTCTGTATAGGCAAGCTACACTGTACATGCTTTTAAGCAGAAATGTCAAATTTTCTCTGTTGTTTTTTTATTAGGCCCAGCCGGAGAAAGAGGCTTGCAGGGATATGATGGTAAGAATAATAATAATAAACATAATATATTACTCTAATTGTGATGGGGAATATCCGTTGTGTCAAATATATTTAAATATACACTTGCTATATTATCAGAATAAGTTTAATGTGTTATGGAAACATGAACATATCCATATCAAAGATGAAATAGTTTTGTCTTACTTCTTAGTGGACCAATGAAGATCCGGGGTAGAATAGATCTTCAGGAACCCATGCTTGCCGTAAAAGGCGACTATGCCTCTCGTAAGAGGCGCCCAACGTGATCGGGTGGTCAGGCTCGCTGACTTGGTTGATGTATGTCATCGATCCCAATTGCGTGGATCGATGCTCAAGATGTCAATCACTGGATTGTCTTGTCCAGATTCGATTATTTCCAGACCGCCGTCGTACAGCTGGAATATTGCTGAGTGCGGCGTTAAACAACAAACAAACAAAACAAACAAAACAAACTTGTTAGTGATGGGTTTTCGGCGCTGTGAATAGGATTGTTATAGTGCGGTGTATCAGGTTGATATGAGAGGGGGCGGGGGTGCGGGGGTGCGCACCCCCCCCCCCCCTTTTTATTTCGAAAAAAATCTTTATTTCTGTATAAATTACCACCAAAGACAATAAATAGACCTTAATTGTGCACCCCCTTTTCAAAAAAGCTGTATCCGCCAATGACATCTATGGGGAACAACTCACGAGACACTTCCCTCTCCAAAGTAACGTCGCCCAGTACATTAAGTCATCAAGTTGCGAGCGCATATTCGCCTCTCCAGAAATGACTCCATGAAAGAGCAATTTTGTATCGTGAAATACGCCACGTTTCGTTCACCATTGCTCTTTGCGATTTATCGCGTATCTTTCTTATCTCAACTAGTCTAATGTGTACTGCAATGTTTCAGATAAACGTTTCCTCATCTGACGTTTGTGTTTTTCAGGATTACCTGGACCAGATGGTCTCCCAGGTGAGAACGTCCAGCCCTGTGTTGTCACCTGTCCATTGTGTTTGTTTACTGGACCTATCCTTTGATGTTGGCGCGGCGAACAGGTGGAAACAAACATCAACATGCATGTTGATTGTTGACACGAATTCGATGTACAGTCCACTATGCTGGACACTGTCCGGATCAGGAAGCTGGACATGGGGATAAATGATAATTGCTTTACAATGTGGAGTTTGGTTTAACACTGCTTTGAACAGTATTCTAGTTATATCACGGCGTGTCGGCTTCATGTGGGAGGAAAGCCCCAAGTGATGCAGGTCTCGGACATTTACCACTTTGGCGAATTCCTTTGGAATCGTGCTGACAAACCAATAACCATTATCAGGGCGAATCGGTGCCATCGGTGCCACTATCTATGTCGGTCAGATATTAGACATTCCAGTTTGTTCAGTTTTTAATGAGAACTTTGTCTGAATATATTTCAAGCGTAGCCTGTAATGGAAGTCGCCATTTTGAAATTCGTGCCGAAAAGCTCGATAAAGCTGCTTTGTTATTGGCTGTCGACTCCCTATCATTGGTCGGTAAACGTTCGCGAAAGATCGTTCTGACGTGTCCTGTAATTGAATGACCTGAGATCTTGGGTGATGGGGACGCGAACTCTAAGATCTGCTTTTAACCAGATTGTCACCCTTTTCAATTAGTATCAACCGGAAGTCTATGATCTGGATCTTACTCTATGGTATATATGAAGGAATCAAGCAGGTGTCTCATGTTTAATATTTTCTTGTTCCAGGGCTGAAGGGACAGAAAGGTGAACCAGGTAGGCATTTATGATTTTTCCGATTTCCTCGAGATTGGTTTGTTTCTTACATTTCCTTTTCAATTTCGGACTCAGCAATACTCCAGCTGTGTGACGACGGTCTGTAAATAATCGAGTCTGGACCAGACAAATCAGTAGTGGACGTTCTGGGCAACACCCCAACTTCAGGGGTTTTATGACACCGAGGAGACGTAGGACAGCCAAGTGGTTAAAGCGTTCGCTCGTCGCCGAAGACCCGGGTTCGATTCCAGACATGGGTACAATGTGAGAAGCCCATTTTTGGTGTCCCCCGCTGTGATATTGCTGGAATATTGCTAAAGGCGGCGTAAAACCATACTCACTCACTCACTATTTCACCGGGCAGGGCCCACTGATCAAGCTTATACCATTTCTTTGTAAAAAGCAATGGTGCGCTAGGACCCAGTAGGTGGGAGAGTGATTTCATCTGAGGCCTTCATTTGGAAAAAATAACTTTTCCAAAGTGAATATTAACCTTTCGGTTCGTCTTAGGATATATTTGTTCAAGCTTTTGGAATTACCAACATCGTCTATAAAAAAACATTTCTTTCAAGACATACAAACGAGGTAAACGGGTGTAGAGAATGAAAGGTAGATTCCATCAGGAGCCGTGCCGGCTTGAGTACCAGATGTTTATAGAATGTGTCTGTATCATTGTTTTCATGTTGAAGTGGTAGTGGGTTAGCCCAGAGGCGTTCGCTCGTAACGTCGAAAGCCTGGGTTCGATTCCCCATATGGGTACATTGGGATATTGCTTGAATATTGCTTAAAGCGCCGTAAAGCCACAACCACTCACTCACTCATTTCTTGTTTCCAGGAACCGAAGGACTACAAGGACCAAGAGGCTATGATGGCTATCAAGGTACGAAAGGGTTTTATACCTCAAATCCAGTTATTATGATCTTAGGGGGCACGGGTGGCCCAGTCGTCTAAGGCGCCGCAATTCGCTGTGCAGAGTTGCGTCCCTTGGGCACGCCAGAAACCTATGATTGTGGGTTCGAATCCCGGTTCGCCACGATTATTTTTCTAGGTATGTCAGCACCATACCCGAAGTGGTAAACGTCTAAGACCTGCATCACTTATGGCTTTCCTCTCACATTAAGCTGACACGCCGTGATATAACTGGAATAATGTTAAAAGTGGCGTTAAACACACCTCACTCACTCACTCACTCACTGTTATAATCAGATTATGTAAGTGGTATAAACCCCCGGGATGCTTTGGTTGTGGGTTCGAACCCAAGACTGCTCCAATGATGATCCTGGATCTATCAGCTCTATACCAGCGATCGTAGTCTTTCACCATCTGAACATCTGCTTCCACCCGTGAAGATCCGGGGTAGAATAGGTCTTCAGCAACCCATGCTTGTCGTAAAAGGCGACAATGCTTGTCGTAAGAGTCGACTATCGGGATCGGGTGGTCAGGCTCGCTGACTAACTTGATGCATGTCATCGTATCCCAATAGCGTAGATCGATGATCAAGATGTCAATCACTGGATTGTCTGGTCCAGATACGATTATTTCCAGACCGCCGTCATATAGCTGGAATATTGCTGAGTGCGGCGTTAAACAACAAATAAACAAACAAACAAACAAACAAACAAACAAACATCTGCTTCCAGCTTTTCAGCCATGCCACGCGGAAGCGTGTTGATATGACGACAACACTCATAAGGAAGCGTTAATCCCAGCTCTCTGGAGGAAGGCGGCGATAAGTGATGCACTTGTTCCCAATACCTTTGTCTTTTTGGACAATAAAATATGTTTAATAAAACTATCTGTTTGTTGCAGGTCCTCCCGGGTTGTCGGTGAAGGGAGATGCGGGTAACTACACCAACTATAACTCATTCAATCACTGCAAAGTCCCTTGTGTCAAATTTACATCAGATATTTGAAAGCGCTTTTGTCGCTTAAAAACACCTTAAGATGAACTGTATTTATGTACGTGCATATAAGCGTCACGCACTCCTGGTTAGGTATATACTGGTTGTTGTCACGCTCTTGTTTTTATTAACTTAAGAACTAAGAAACGAATTTTTCAACTCAAACTCCCGTCTTCTGTTGATACTCTGCCATTCATTATGTAGGGAACATTACTTTCTCACTAAGTCATATATTTATTAATATAACATACGTGAATATTTATGGTATAAAACATGTACTATGGTGTTCACATAGCTCAGATGTTTACGTGCATGTATGTATCGGCTCTGTATCAGTGTCTTAATCCCGATCTCACATCTTTGTTAACTCAAGGTACACCTGGCCCACAAGGATTTGCAGGTAAATATAAATTGTCAATGCAAGAAAATAACCAGTCTAGATTATCCGCCGATAGAATCCATTTGGCGTAGAGAGCGAAATAGCGACACTATAAAACTGGTGACACCATGATGACACCAGGTATTTGTGAAAAGGGTATCCCTGTCCTGCCCTACTGGTAGCACCCGCCATTTACAATTTGCATAAAAAATAAGTTTATATTGTCTGACGCCTCTCAGCTGTAAAAACTTCCGAATCTTGCTCTGACTTAGTACATGCAGGTAATGCAAACTCAATGAGACCCTCAGAATTCGTGCGTTTTATCGTAGATCGTTATCGTTGTACCAAACAGGCAGTTCTCATTCCTGGGATTGGAACGGTACTTGTAATAGCCTTCGTTTTATCCGGAGTAGGAAGATGAAATAGTTAAATTGGCGTTCTTGAAGAGAGACTCTGTTGTTCCGTATGGTGCTTATTCCTGTCATATGCCAGTCCTAAGTTCCATGTGTGAAGCTGGCAAACGATGTTTCAGTGTATAAGAGTGAGTGAGTGAGGTTTTACGCCGCTTTTAGCAATATTCCAGCAATATCACGGCGGGGGACACTAGAAATGGGCATCACACATTGTACCCATGTCGGAAAAAACGAACCCGGGTCTTCGGCGTGACCTAGGAGGTGAGGTGAAATTGGGTTTAACGTCGCGTCCAAGATTATTGCACTTATATAGCGACGTGCGTGCACGTGTATTTGTGTGTGTGGCTGCTTGTACTAGTCCGGACTGATGCCGATTTATAGTGCTAGCTCACTGAGATACCATGCCGCAGTTTAACATGAATACCCCACTCAGACACAGTATACTGACTCCGAGCCGACCAGTCCTTGTTTCAGCCCCTTAATGCCGAGCGCCAGACAGGGTAACAACAAGTACAATCTTTTAACGTCTTTTTGTATGACGCGGCCCGGGATCGAACCCTGGACCTTCCGCTCTCCGGGCGGACGCTCTACCACAAGACCACGGAGGCGGTCTATAAGCCTAGGAACTAATTGCTAAATTGATATAACATTGAACCAATAGAAAATCAAAGCGTTGTTATTAAGGACTTGAAACACCTTTATGGGGACTGTCAAATAGCAGAGCCCAGTCTTCCTTTAAGGATCAGTTTTCTTTTATCAGTACATAAAGATCGTCAATATTATTAATAGAGTTTCAAGTTGTTTTGTTGCAACGTAATAATGAAATATGTATTTCTCATTTCAGGTCCTGCCGGACCCATTGGGCCGCCGGGTATGTGTTGTTTACAAATCATCTCTATATTGTTGTTTGTTTATTGTTTATTGTTTATTTGTTTGTTTTTATTTGACGTCTTCATATTCCAGCTGTGCTAAGGCGGTCTATAAATACTCGAACTTGGATATATTGCATTACGTTGAGGCTAACGTCTGTATGAATCAAGGAACGGATTCAGAATCGGTCGCCAAAACGAATAAAGTGTTGCAAGTGTTTAGCAATGCAACTGCAGCCTTAAACCAGTCTACGAATATGAGTTAGTGAGTGTGATTTAACGCCGCTTTGAACAGTATTCCTGTCTTAGCACGGCGAGTCAGCTTGCTGTGGGAGTATTTCTGTTATGTCACAGTGTGTCAGCTTGATGTGGGAGTATTTCTGTTATGTCACAGTGTGTCAGCTTGATGTACGAGTATTTCTGTTATGTCACAGTGTGTCAGCTTGATCTAGGAGTATTTCAGTTATATCACGGTGTGTCAGCTTGCTGTGAGAGTATTTCAGTTATATCATGGTGTGTCAGCTTGATGTGGGAGTATTTCAGTTATATCACGGTGTGTCAGCTTGATGTGGGAGTATTTCAGTTATATCACGGTTTGTCAGCTTGATGTGGGAGTATTTCAGTTATATCACAGTGTGTCAGTTTGATGTGGGAGTATTTCAGTTATATCACGTTGTGTCAGTTTGATGTGGGAGTATTTCAGTTATATCACGGTTTGTCAGCTTGATGTGGGAGTATTTCAGTTATATCACGGTGTGTCAGCTTGATGGAGTATTTCAGTTATATCACGTTGTGTCAGTTTGATGTGGGAGTATTTCAGTTATATCACGGGATGTCAGCTTGATGTGGGAGTATTTCAGTTATATCACGGTTTGTCAGCTTGATGTGGGAGTATTTCAGTTATATCACGGTGTGTCAGCTTGATGTAGGAGTATTTCAGTTATATCACAGTGTGTCAGCTTGATGTGGGAGTATTTCAGTTATATCACGGTGTGTCAGCTTGATGTGGGAGTATTTCAGTTATATCAAGGTATGTCAGCTTGATGTAGGAGTATTTCAGTTATATCACGGTGTGTCTAGTTGATGTGGGAATATTTCAGTTATATCACGGTGTGTCAGCTTGATGTGGGAGTATTTCAGTTATATCACGGTGTGTCAGTTTGATGTAGGAGTATTTCAGTTATATCACGGTTTGTCAGCTTGATGTGGGAGTATTTCAGTTATATCACGGCGTGTCAGCTTGATGTAGGAGTATTTCAGTTATATCACGGTGTGTCAGCTTGATGTGGGAGTATTTCAGTTATATCACGTTGTGTCAGTTTGATGTAGGAGTATTTCAGTTATATCACGTTGTGTCAGCTTGATGTGTGAGTATTTCAGTTATATCACGGCGTGTCAGCTTGATGTGGGAGTATTTCAGTTATATCACGGTGTGTCAGCTTGATGTGGGAGAAAAGCCCGAAGTGATGCAGGACGTCGACACCTTGAGTCAGCTCGTTATATTCCTGCATTCATTAAATCACTGTATTTCAGGCCCTCCTGGAGGGCTGGGGCCTCTTGGTCCACAGGGCGACAAGGGACCACTAGGTAGGTTCATTGCTTTGTAAACAAATACAAATTCCAAGCTTTATATTAGGTAATACACAAAGACGTCCGCTCCATTATTCATCCCATACGGTGGCCACCGTAAAGTTTTCTGTAGTGGGACATTAAAAGTGTGGTTTGACTGGTGGTATGTGAATTGTGATAGTCACTGAATGACTCCCTGGTATTTCAGGCGGAGAAGGACCCCAGGGGCCCAGAGGATGGAGAGGATTTGCTGGTGAGTATTAGCTATCCACTAACTTCATCACCTGTAACGAAATCTAAATAAGGGATGCTAATTGGGATTGTTCACTAGCCAATATTTTAGCAAATATCGCCGTAGGCGCTTATTAGAGCGGGGCGCTTATTACGTCGAATACGGTATATCGTATTTGCAGAACTCAGGCAAAGATTGTAAAGACATTAAAAAATTACAATTGCAAGACATCCATAGGTAATGATACAAAAGGGACCTACTATTTCTTTTATTTTTTTATTGGGGTGCTGAAATGTTTTTAGGGAGGGGCAAGTTGTCCTGAAACACTGTTCCTTCCTTCACAGTAAAACATGTCTGTATTATCAATGGGCGCGGTACTCTCCTACTTACTTAGCAACATGACCACTCACTGGGGAACTACAAGAAGGGAACTCGTAAATTACAGGTGAAGCCCTTGTCTAAACTGTTCAATATTAAACGGTGAGGTGAAATGGGGTTTAACCTCGCGTCCAAGATCATTGCATTATATTGCGACGTGCATGCACGTGTGTGTGTGTGTGTGTGTGTGTGTGTTGGGGTGGGGTGTGGGGGGTGGGGTGGGTTGGGGTGGGGTGGGGTGTGCGTGTCTGCTTGTACTGGTCCGGACTCATGCCGATTTATACTGCTAGCCCACTGAGATACCATGCCACAGTTTAACATGAATACCCAACTCAGACACAGTATACTGACTCCGAGCCGACCAGTCCTTGTTTTAACCCCTTAATGCCGAGTGCCAGGCAGCGTAACAACAAGTACCATCTTTGAACTAGTCTTTTTTAACCGTCATTCATTATGCAAGTTTGTAAAGAGTAATCTGTGCCTGGGTAATTTTGTGTAAAATATACTGGTTCAATCCAGACTGGGTTAAGAAATGAATTTGCAACCACATGACCCTGACGATGTTTGAAGTTGTGTAAATGTATTCCAAAAAAAGCAAACAAATTGATTTCAAAGTTAAGTTGTCTGAGACACCCAACAGCAGTAGTGTATTATTCGGATTTTTTAATTTAATTTATATATATTTAAAAAAAAAATTAAATAAATTATATTTAAAAAAAATGAAGCCTTGTAGATGTGTTCTTTGAGTGACCAGTAGAACCAGTAGAGTTCAATGTTTGGACATAATATCAGTAACTTGAGATATTTTCAACTGAAATATATGATAAAAACAACTGCGAGTTGTAGTTTCTTTTGCCCCTCAGTATAATTAGAGTATTCTATTAATAAATTTGTTAATTTGTTTTTAGGATAGTCATTTAATATTTTTATTTGGTCTAAGCGTAAACTATATTTGGGACAGACCCGTAAAAGATTTCTCATCGCTTAGCTTGTCATGATAATCGTTAATGGCAGAGGTTTACACTACGCTGACACGTGCGTCCAGAACGCACAAATGTACAGAATGGACGCAGATAAACTATATTGTGTCCAAGAGTCGTTCAATGACTGCAGTTGCACCTAATTATTAACAAGAAATATAAATGTCCTGTTACAAAAATAATGATCAAACCTCACAGAACAGTACGGACACTCTTATTTCCTATAAGAACTGTAATAATTAATTATTGGGGATACCTTGGACGCCGAGTTTTGTAACTCAAGGTAAACCGTCATGAGCGTTAAACCGCAAATTCACACTTCTGCTATTGCATATAGCGGCAAGACTGGCGTCTCTTTGACATTGCAGTATTATAGTGAGTGAGTGAGTGAGTGAGTTGGGTTTAACGCCGCTTTTAACGGTATTCCAGTTATATCACGGCGTGTCAGATTAATGTGGGAGGAAAGCCATACAGATGCAAGTCTCAGACATTTACCACTTCGTTGAAACCCACGAGCACGGGTATGGTGCTGACAAATCTAGACACATAATCGGGGCGAACCGGGATTCGAACCCACAATCATAGGTTTCTGGCGTGCCCAAGGGACGCAACTCTGCACAGCGAATCGCGGTGCCTTAGACAACTGGGCCACCCGTGCCCCCTGCAGTATTATACGATTCAAATATTAATAGTTAAGTTTCTCAGTGAGGCGGTGCAATATGAAATACTATGTTTAAGTGCAGTTCACACGATATATGGCATTTCCATTGGACGAGAGGTAGTTCACATGGTTGCGAAATTGGCGCTCATAAGTGTATGAACGACACAATTTGACGTTCATACGTTTTTTCACGAGACCTTATTCTTCAAATGACGTAAACACAGACGGACAACATTCCCGGGGGAACCCCTGTGAAATCTAGAGCACGAATGCACACAGAAGCGTTGTTTCTGATAATTTAGACCCTTTAATCTTAAACTTTAGTATACGTTGAGAGACTACGACTGCATTATTGTTCATGAATATCCTCGCTACGACCCGTCCTTATGAACAAAACGAAGAAATGCACATCGAAACTATCGCAGTATTGACTTGATCCGTGTCTAGATTTACAGCGATAGTCTACATCAATCTATAAATATATCTTAGTATCTATTTGGCACCTTTCACATGTAACCGCCACAGGTCCATGAACAACATCGGAAATCTATCCCGTCACGGTTGTCGTGTCGGCCATTTTGACATCTTGTACTTTATGTAAAATGTATTACGACGCGCGGTACTTGTGCCGGACATACTGAGGTAGTTCCTGATAGACGTTTCTCATCCAATGATGATATTATTTGAATACATTTGCTGTGAACAACTACAACAGATGTTCCTATAAAGCAAGTTGAGCTCATGTCACCTCTCAATTTGAGTTCCGCGATACAGCTGGTTGTATGACTGTCAGTGAAAACATGAAGTCACATGTACCCTTTAAATACAATTGTGTACAGACACATCCTTCGAGGTAAAAACTAGTGACATAAAAAAATATCAGAATTGACTTTCACTTTGTGTGAGTCCATTGGAGTATGAACCTTCATAGAATGAGGGCCATATGTTCTAATGAACTCCTACAAAGCGCAAGTCAGATCTTAAATAATACCAAGAACGTGAAATACATAGTCAACTTAGACAGCTTAGAGTAAAAGACTGAACACGAATGAATGACAAATTCTCATCTCCTTGTAATGACTAATTTCATCAGAGGCCCATTTTCCAGGGTCTGGACAACTGGATAAACGGCACGGAGCCAGACCACCGATTGTCTCCCCTTGGAGGAAGTACAATAGCCAAGTGTATCGCCAACCGCCACAACCTCCACGACGACCACAACCACCACCACCCCCACCGCCGACATCAACAACCACTACTCCAAAGCCAACAACAACAACACCAAAATTAATTGACTCTCATGTAAGAATACGTCTAGTTTCCGAGCCTAAGCAATCAGAATCATCCATTTCAGGAACACTATATGGAAATGTTAGATCTGATCCGAGCTGGAGCAAAGATCCATTACCATCGGACGCACCGTATGGAGCAGGAGATGCGGGGATGGACGTCCCTGTAGGTGCAGACACATTCTATGGTCCAACTCCTCCTCCGTATCAGCAGGACATCACAAGGAGGCCATATGTAAACAATGGCCCAAACGACCCTGGTGCAGGAGCACAATATGAACCACGACCCCAGACTGGCCTCGGTCAGGAAATGACTAGACCACTTTACCAAAGAAACGGTCCAGTTGGTCATCCTGATAATGCAGGGACGTCTGGATCAAAGACATTTTTAAATTCGGCCCAACCAGGTACGGAGCAGATGTATCCTCCAAAAGGCCCAGCCGGTCAACCCAAGAATGGGGTACCAGGTGCTGGTAACATAGAGGCAGTGTTTCCAAGAGGTATGTCCAGTGTTCCTCTGCGTAAAGAACCTAGGGTGTCAGGGCCACGAATAAAGGTAGTGGAATCTCTGTCACCAGCAGAGTTCTCTGTCCTTGAGAAAGACGCCAGCGGAGTGGCTGGAAAAAAGCTTGGCGGTGGTACTTTCCCTCCGGGAATGTCTTTATCTAATGACTTGAGGGTTCCAATCCAAACAACGCCGAGTCCAGTTAATACATTCAGGAAAAATGTACCCAATAAAATCCCTTTGAAGCGGATGGTAGACCCGGCTCAGTATCTTGAAAAGTCGAAAGCAAATCTTGGTCAAACAGGCACGTCTGTGTCTGTGAATAACAGACCTAATGCTGACCCTAACTATGCGTCAGGGTATACAAAACCTGCTGAAGAGCCACAGTCTCAGATCAAACATGTTGTAGTTTCCCTGGCAGCCTCTTCCTCGTCCCGTCTATCCAGTTCCCCATTACGTCTTAGACATAATGAGAAAGGGGAGATAATCCACCCTTCAACATCAGGATCCAACACTCAGCAGAAGTTTCTGGGTAACAATGCACCAAATATCAACACGGCACAGAACCAAGGACCTGCTCAGAACCAACAGCAAGGCTATGATATAAACAGGCAACACATCACAACTGCAGCACCATACATAAGGGTTCACACAAAATCCTTTTCTAAACCCATTATTAGATTTTCTGGTTTGAAGACTCAAACACCACGGCCAAGTTTCAGATCCAGATCGGTGACTGTGAGGGCTCCTCTTTCAAGACCGGGTTTTAAGAAAGCTCCTTTGTTTAGGGTGAGGCAGACCAACACATCCTCATTACCTTATCGACCACGGTTTTTACGCAGGAGGGGCCCAACAGCTACTGAGAATGATAGATCCAGTACCATGCCTGCATCCTCAGCTGCACAATCACCTGCCCGGGTCCAGTCACGTGTGCCAACACCTCAAACTGCAGCCACATCCCCGAAGACCCATTTGCCTAATTACCGCCCCAGAAGTCCTGTTCCCCGTGTTGGTACCAATGTTGGGAATCAGCCTCCTCTGCCACAGACACCAACAGACAGCATGAGAGAGTACCGAAAAACACCAAACCTCAATATCAAACCTGAACCCCAAAGTCCACCATCCAACCAGGGCATCCATGCACCATCACAGGATAGCCCTGGTTATCAGCAAGCACAGGGTACACAATCAAGTTATCAGTCGAGGTTACAGAACAATCAACAACAAGCAAACACAAAACCTTCAGTTCAAACACTTGGCCCACAACCTCCACGAAAAATTACTTTCACACTGAGACGATTTTCAGGAGGCTTTAACACGAAGAAAAATTCTCACCCCATAAACAATAAGCCCTCTGTTCCCCAGAGTTCATATAACAACCCATCACTTCAAAAACCGCAAAATCCTCCACCTGAAATTAACGCCTATAATTCTCAATCAAATCCCCAAACTTCAAACACCTACGACAATCCACAGAAGACCCAACAGAATGTTCCTTCGAATATTCAGCAACCGTCTTCATATCAACAGTCGCAGTCATTAAGTAACCAACAACAGCAGCCAAGTTCCTACAACAAACAAGCAATAGCACCAACTCCTAAACAAGTTGTGTTGCCAAAGCCTTCTCAAAGCTCAGGGTATCAAACTAACAACAATCCGGACCCACCACAGCAGTCTCAAAACTTCAACACGCAAGGACAAAATGTACAGTCTTCAATCCCTGCCTTTCAACAAGCACCTGGTTCAGTTCCTCAGAGTAAAAGCTGGAAACCAGAAACCGGACAGGGTAGTAACATAAACATGCCAGCTGCAAGCCTGACCTCATATCAAAGTGGTTCAGGTACATCGTATCAGGCCCCAAAGCATCCTACTCCGCCCCAAAAGCAACAGGTTGGATATCAACAACAGCCTCAGCAGCAGCAGCAGCAACAACAGCAACAGGGGGGATATCAGCATCAGTCACAACAACAAATGCCAGGTCAACAGCAGTTATCACATCAGCCACAGCAGAAGCAGGGGTATCAAAAACAATCACAGCAACAACAGCAGCATGGTGGATATCAGCAACAGCAGCAACAAAATCAAGAGTCCTATCAGTCAAAGAGTCGGCCAACACCACAGCAAAATCAGCACACAGGGAGTAACAATGGACTAGGGCAACCAGCCTTTATGCAGGTCAATACAAATACAAACAACAATGTCCGAAGTGGGAATCAGGGAACAGGCTACGGTAGTGCCGGTGGATTAGTTCAAACACAGAACAGTCAAACTAATCAAGCCAGGTCTATGAGTCAGGGTGCACTGAAAGAGGTGGTGAGCATCTTTAACCAACAGGGACAACAGCTTCATGGCCAGGTGAAGCCACAAGGCCAGACAGGAGCTACAGCATATGGTCAGTCTGCAAATAATCAACCAGGAATGCAGAACCAAAATAGCTTGGCTACAAACACAGGGGCGACTCGGTCATCAGGTTACAGTAATACTGGATCTCAAGGACAAGGTCTCGCTCAGTCTGTAAATACACAGCCCTCAATGCAGAACCAGAGTCCGATAAATAGCGCAAGGGCAATCTCATATGGTGGACAACAGGGTCAAATGCCCATACAGTCATCAGCTGGTGGATCAGGCCAAAAGCTGAGTCAGAGTCTAGGACAGCCAAATATCGGCCCGAATAACCAGGCAGGTGTATCGACCTCCTACCACATCCAGGGGCAAAGTCAAATTGCTGTGAAGCCAGGGTCAACTGGTCAAAGTGGTCAGGGACAGGGTGTCAGTATACAAGGAACTGTCCAGCACGGAAGTCAAGGTCAAAACCCTCAAACAGGAATTGGATCTAACTTAGGTGGTTCACCGCTAAACCAAGGTGCAATTAACTACCCTGGACTATCGCAAGCCAATACAGGACAGGTGGGGAATTCCATGTCAACACAGACGAATCAAGGAATGCAAAATGGAGTCAATCAAGGAATGCAAAATGGAGTCAATCAAGGAATGCAAAATGGAGTCAATCAAGGAATGCAAAATGGAGTTAATCAAGGAATGCAAAATGGGGTTAATCAAGGAATGCTAAATGGAGCCAATCAAGGAATGCAAAACGGAGTCAATCAAGGAATGCAAAATGGAGCCAATCAAGGAATGCAAAATGGAATCAATCAAGGAATGCAAAATGGAGTCAATCAAGGAATGCAAAATGGAGTCAATCAAGGAATGCAAAATGGAGCCAATCAAGGAATGCAAAATGGAATCAATCAAGGAATGCAAAGTGGTGTCAATCAAGGAATGCAAAATGGAGTCAATCAAGGAATGCAAAATGGAGTCAATCAAGGAATGCAAAATGGAGCCAATCAAGGATTGCAAAGTGGTGTCAATCAAGGAATGCAAAATGGAGCCAATCAAGGAATGCAAAATGGAATCAATCAAGGAATGCATAATGGTGTCAATCAAGGGATCCAAAGTGGTGTCAATCAAGGGATACAAAATGGAGCTAAACAGGTTCAGAATGGGATTAATCAAGGGGTATCAGGTGGAACCGTTCAGAGCTTCACTGGTGGAACTCAGCTAAACACTGCCGGTGGAACTCTTCAGGGCGGTGTTGGCACAGTCGGTGTGGGTGGACAGATGAACATTGGTACTCAAGGAGGGGTTGCCCAAAATAGTATGAGTGCCACACAGCACCTGGGGGGAGGTAATACCGTGATGACGGGAGCGGGAGGAGGAGGAGGAGGAGGGATGGCAACTGGGGGGACGATGACGGGTCCAGGCAGAGTCAGGGATCTTGTCCTTCCCTACAGGAACAAAGGAGCAGCGATGCTGGGGGCTGAACCGATTTCATTTGAGGTGGGTGTAGGTGGGAGGATGGTGATGGATCCAACAGATGCACTGAGGTACAAGGCTCAAGGAGGACTGCTGCCTATTAATGGAATGCCTGGGTCACAAGGGGCCAATGCACAGCAGGTCATTCACCTTGAAGGACAACCAGTAGGGAACATGTTCGCTCAGCCAGCTAATGGTGTGGCTCAGCGAGCAACTGCTGGAAATGTTGGGGTGATCGGCACTGTTCGTAGTCAGGCGACTGTTAATCTTCCCTCGCCACCAGGAACCGTTGTCGTTGCTGGGCAGCAAAACAATCAACAACAAATTATCACCAACCAGAAACCAGCCACTCAGATCACCTTCCGAGGGAAACGATCAACGAACACAGAATTCTTTTCCAAATACAATCTAAAACCAACACGCGCCTGAGAAAAGTGCATATGCACTAGAAGTAGTAATGACATATATATCATATATATCACGTATAAGTCTTAAGTCTGTACATGAATCTACAGATGTTTGAGCATCCCCTGTCTTTGTTTAAAGTTTAAAGCCTGTATCGTTGATTATTGAGTTAACTAGATGGCCTGTCATATCCGATTCTCATAGTCCACCTCTTCAACTTTAGTCACAAGGGATATCTCTTCTGCTTACATGTTCAATACAAATGGTAACCTTTAATTCAGTTGAGATCAAATGTTGAACGACGATACACAGGATAAAGAATGCCTCACATATTATGAACTTGGATTGCGATATAGTGTATATAACAATATGACAATTCCAAGCTTCTACTCCAAGCTTTATCACTTGGGACAAATGAATCGTGATACAAAGACAGATACAATAGCATATTTTATAACCTTTTATTTGAAACTTTATTACTAAATCGTATGTATCCGTTGCTGATTTTCCAGAGTATCATGTTATCTTTAAACCTACCTTGTGTAAATTTACGTATCAGACACGCGTATACTTTCTTAAATATACATTCATTTTGCAACCCACCTGAAAATGAAACACTATTCATAAAAACTAATCATGTAAAGTTTATATATATGTTTATATGTGTATCTCGAAAAAAATACAATAAAACTCTTTTGTAATCGTTTTGTTTCTTTCGCATTTCTGTCGATCGATAATGATAGAAAAGGGTGATACTTTTCCCAGAAGCAAGAAAAATGGCTGACAATTGCTATCTCCAACCAGATAGTCCATCTTCCTGACATTACTCTGTGGTATTACTTATTAACTTTTGTTATTACTGTAATATTACTCAACACTTTCCGACATTACTGTGTGATATTACTCGTTACTTTCTAACATTACTCTGTAATATTACTCATTACTTTCCGACATTACTGTGTGATATTACTAGTTAATTTCCGACATTACTCTGTAATATTACTCTTTACTTTCCGACATTACTGTGTGGTATTACTCGTTACTTTCCGACATTACTCTGTAATATTACTCAACACTTTCCGACATTACTATGTGATATTACTCGTTACTTTTAACATTACTCTGTGATATTACTCATTACTTTCTGGCATTACTCTGTGATATTACTCATTACTTTCTGACATTACTCTATGATATTATTCATTCCTTTCTGACTTTACTGTGTGATATTACGCATTACTTTCTGACATTACTCTGAGGTATTACTCATTCCTCTCTGACTTTGATGTGTGATATTACTCATTAACTTCTGGCATTACTCTATGATATTATTCATTCCTTTCTGGCTTTACCGTGTGATATTACTCATTACTTTCTGACATTACTCTGTGATATTACTCATTCCTTTCTGACTTTACTGTGTGATATTACTCATTCCTTTCTGACATTACTCTGTGATATTACTCATTACTTTCTGACATTACTTCGTGATGTAACTCATTACTTTCTGACATTACCCTGCGATATAACTCATTACTTTCTGACATAACTGATATTACTCATTCCTTTCTGACTTTACCGTCTGATATTACTCATTACCTTCTTACATTACTGTGTGATGCCTTCCGGACCAGTGTAGCTTTCTCTCATGACACCACCTGAGTGTGTGTCCTCACTCACTCACTCTTTCAGTCTCGAGATAATTGTAATCTGTTGTGTTGCAATGTCCTTTATGACAATAAGTTCCACTGATGTTCAGTGGGCTTTAGCGCTGTCTACTCAAATAGTGCTAAACCAGTCGGTGTCTTGCAATATTCCCAAGAATATATTAGTAGAATTTCACATTTTTTTAAGGGGTCCACTGAACAATATACTCTGGGGGGTTAAATCGGAGGGCAAAGTATGTTTCACGGTTTTATAGAGCAAAATATTCTTTTCGCAAAAAATCTCAGCCCCGACCAGAATACCACATGGTTATTCCCTAAACAGGTTGAGCTAAGCTACAAACTTTATTGTCTTTAATCATGGCGCAGAAAACAATACAGCTGGCCTGTACGGATGTCATGACGTCATAATGTTTGATATGACGGCACTGTTACCATATTTGGTACTGTTCTGAAAATCGGATGGCGGTCATGATACAGACCTTATTGTAATATAAATATATATCACCGGAAATACGTCTTGCAACTTGTGAACTCTCAATGTTAAATCCGTTACACGTGTCACAAGCTGGGCATACTGGGTTTAATGAGCTGAACGTTCGTGTTTACCCTCGTGGTGTACAATCCCATTGGCATATGTTACTTTGATGCCATTGCACCTTTGTTGTCCTATCCCACTATTGGGGCTATGGGGTAGCCTAGTGGTTAAAGCGTTCGCTCGTCACGCTGATGGCACGGGTTCGATTACCAATATGGATACAAGTGTGAAACCCATTTCCAGTGTCCCCCGCCGTGATATTGCAGGAATATTGCTAAAAGCGGCGTAAAACCATACTCACTCACCCTATCCCACTACTATTGATGCTGAAGTTGATCCTACAGGGTACAAATAGGATCATTATTTCATTTAAAGGTCTACCTGGGCCGCCTGGTAAAGATGGTCTCCCAGGTGAGTACGCATGTCTTTTTTCTTGTTTCACAATTCCAAAGGACAGACATATTTCTAAACTTGGTTTACGAATCCACCGACTCCAAAAAAATGAAATAAAAAATATGCAGTAGGAGTTTTATTCCGATGACCAGAAATCAGTAAAATGTTAAAACATATATTTAACTGTCGCTATCAACATAATACATTTTCTAAAATACAAAAAATAGAACTTATTGAAACTTTACCTTAAAACCTTCCGGGGTTTTTTTCAAATTATATTTTTCTCCCAAAATATTTAGTACCTTAATAAAAAAGCCTCCAAAATACCTTTCTTCCGACCTACCGACCTGAACGTTCAGACGAAAGATCCGTAAACCAAACACACATTCTGACCTAATTTACTTTGTCATTGTTATGAATTTGAGATGATATTTATATTTTTTTCACTTCCTTTGTGAAGACAGCATCAGTACTTTTGACAAATTTAATTTGTGGCCCGGTAGTGTACGGTGTCGAAGTCTGCTTACCTTTGCCAAGGCAGGATGCGATCGATGATCTTGGGTTCTAATCACAGGTTGTCCCTGATAATGATATCATATAACACGACGCCAGAACAACTCACTGACTTTTTCACTCACTGGGGCCACGGGTGGCCTAGTCGTCTAAGGCTCCGCAATTCAGTGTGCAGAGTTGCGTCCCTTGGGCACGCCAGAAACCTATGATTGTGGGTTCGAATTCCGGTTTGCCCCGATTATGTTTCCAGGTTTGTCAGCACCATACCCGTGCTCGTGGGTTCCACTGAAGTGGTAAACGTCTGAGATTTGTATCACTTCGGGCTTTCATCAAGCTGACATGCCGTGATATAACTGGAATATCGTTCAAGGCGGCGTTAAACCCAACTCTCTCTCACTCACTCACTCACTCACTCACTCATTGTGGTTCAATAAGACAATATTTCCCCAGGTTCGCCGGGCACACCAGGAACACAGAGCGCCCCAAGACCAACTGGACAAGCAACTACGTTCAGACAGGGCCACAATCATAACAGCATAGTGATGACAGGCCAACCAGTACTCCGACAGTCGATGAACACTGCTCAAACACGCGTCAACCCGATTTATCGAGCTATACCCCCAGACCCCCCAGCCTCACAGCAATACCCCCGACAATTTGCCCAATCCCACTCAAGTACCCGAGCCCAGACTGTGTCCATCCGACAGCCCCGCTACCCCCCAGGATCTTTCCCTCAATCTGCGGCAGCAGCCTCCGGACCCGGAGCGTCAGCGGCTGTACCCAGATCTCTGGGCGCTAGGTTTATCGGTTCAGGTGGTTCCGGTGCGGCTAAAAATTCAGTTTCAGTTAACAGACCAAGCCCTGATAGCGGTTCCATCAACACAATAAAGATAAAGACAGGCATCTCTTCCCTGGATTCCAACCCCTCGGGAAAGGACATCCAAGCTAGTGGGACAAGCCAAAACACACCTGGAAACACCAAGTCTACTCTTCCTGTTTCCAACGCTATTCTTCAAGCATTGTCATCCTCTTCTAGTTCATCTTCAAGTCGTTCTGCATCTATAGCAGCATCTAAACCCGCAACAGCAACTGTGACCCTAAAACGTCCTCCAGCCTCCTCACTAACCTCTTCATCTTCCAAAGCATCTGTTGTAATCTCCCGATCTTCGGATTCCCCTTCTCCAAGGCCTTCAGTGACCATATCCCGGTCTGTTGTTAACAAGGCTCCTGAAGCGAATCCCCGACCCACTGCCTCAATAACGATCTCCAGGCCCCCCCATGCTGGAGCAATCCGCTCAAGCTCCCAGTCGCGTCCTGATCCCATCATGGTATCCAGTTCAGCCCAGTCGACATCTGAGGCCATAGCTCGGTCCTCAGACAATTTGTCCCGCCGCAACCAATCACCTTCAATCTCAAGCCCAGCTCGAGCTTTAGTCTCAGCCTCCCGCCCGGCTTCTGCAGCCTCCGTCACCATCTCCCGACAATCTCAATCTGGTTCAAACCCCTCCCCATCTCGACCCTCAATCTCAATCTCTCGCCCTTCTTCGTCAGCCTCCATCACAATCTCCCGACAATCTCAATCTGGTTCAAACCCCTCCCCATCTCGACCCTCAATCTCAATCTCCCGCCCTGCTTCGCCAGCCTCCGTCACAATCTCGCGACAATCTCAACCAGGTTCAAACCCCTCCCCATCTCGACCCACAATCTCAATCTCCCGCCCTGCTTCGCCAGCCTCCGTCACAATCTCCCGACAATCTCAATCTGGTTCAAACCCCTCCCCATCTCGACCCACACTCTCAATCTCCCGCCCGGCTTCGCCAGCCTCCGTCACAATCTCGCGACAATCTCAACCAGGTTCAAACCCCTCCCCATCTCGACACTCAATCTCAATCTCTCGTCCTGCTTCATCCGCCACCATCACAATCTCCCAACCTTTCAAGTCAGCCTCAGTTTCTTCACCCAAAAGAGCTTCAGCCACGGTCTCCCGCCCCGTTCCCTCTATCACAATCTCCCGACAATCTCAACCAGTCTCCTCCCCCTTCTCACCTCAAATCTCACAGACAATCTCCCGACAATCTCAATCAGCCTCCTCCCCCTCCTCACCTCAATCCTCACAGACAATCTCCCGACAATCTCAGACAGCTTCAATCTTTCCCCCACAAAAATCTTCAACCTCAGTCTCTCGTCCTGCTTCATCCGCCTTCCTTAATCTAGTCCGGCCTCTTCAGTCAGCATCAGTCTCCTCCCCGTCTCGACCCTCAGTCTCAGTCTCCCGTCCCATACCTTCAGCTGTAGTCCCATCTTCCCGTCCCATACCTTCAGCTGCAGTCTCAGTCTCCCGCGGACCGTCAGTCTTCCTGAATCGACCTTCCGCGAATTTGCAAAGCCCTTCTACAGGAGGATTATTCCTGCTCAGACAGAGGCAGAGGCAGGCAGCAAGTGATGCAGCAGCCTCATCTGTTGTAGCAAGCCAAGACAAGGGACCACTTCCGCGCCGTCGACCAAGTTTCCTGACCTACCGCATGGCCACCAACCACCGCTCCTCGAGCCCCGGGACCAACATCGCCAGTAGCATCGTCAAGCGTCCACAGCCGTCCCTAGGCGGAGCAGGGGGGTCAACGCAGATACGAACACGTGAGTAGAGTACACTGAGATCTGTTTCTGAGAGAGAGAGAGAGAGAGAGAGAGAGAGAGAGAGAGAGAGAGAGAGGGAGAGAGAGAGAGAGAGAGAGAGAGAGAGAGAGAGCCTGTTTTTAGTGAGAAACAATCAATAACATTAACGCCATAAGGATTATTTTACTCATCATAGATTAAAGGTTGTCAATTACGAATATCTTACAAAAGATTCTGAGTGGCAATGTGATCTTGTGGCTCAACCATTTGCTCGGCAGGCCGTAGTGGATTTGGCTGACTTTTTTAAGATGCATCTATATATCCGAGGGTAGATAGATAGATAGATAGATAGATAGATATAATTATTTCTATTATTATTTTTCAGCATTCATGCGTTACCAAAGCAACAGACCTAACGCCTTAAGAAGCAGCATGTCATCTGTGCGTATTATCCGGCATGGTAACCAAGCAACAAGGGCAGGTAACCCACCAGGGCATGGTGCTGGGGGCGGGGCTGGAGGCGGAGCAGGAGGTGCTGGAGGCGGGGCAGGAGGCGGGGCAGGAGGCGCTGGGGGCGGAGCAGAAGGCGCTGGGGGCGGGGCAGAAGGTGGAGCTGGAGCTGCGGCCCCGGTCTCTATAGAAATTGAAACAGAATAACCGCCATAACAGAGACCTCGTGACCCGATGACTGACCAGGTGGATCTGTGACAAACTTGCTGATGGAATCCTCGAAATCTTTGACAGGCATTTAGGCGTCGGAAGAACATAAATACATGACACTTTTCTATGGATAACACCTTTTATACACCCTATTAAAAGACAAGAAGTAGCCCTGAAACGTCGTTACAAAGAATAAAAGAAGTTGTTATCCGTGCAATGTGTAATGCATTGATGGATATCTCAAATAATAACACCATCAGTATCTGATTATACACACGGTGGAGAGTATCTGTTTATAGTGACACTATGTTCCAGGGTCTGTAGCCCATGGTCTGCCAAGGTCTCGAAGCTGTTGTTAATGCCTTGTATAACACTCACACATTGTCTCTGTGAATTCAGTGGACGTGAATCCAATTGTTAGTACTAGCCGGACCTAGCCCCCTGTCTTACACTTGCCTAACCCTTGCCTGACCCTTGCCTAGCCCTTGCCTGGCCCTTGCCTGGCCCTTGCCTAACCCTTGCCTGACCTTTGCCTAGCCCTTACCTGGCCCTTGCCTGACCCTTGCCTGACCCTTGCCTAGCCCTTGCCTAGCCCTTGCCTAACCCTTGCCTGACCCTTGCCTAGCCCTTGCCTGACCCTTGCCTAGCCCTTGCCTGACCCTTCCCTAGCCCTTGACTGACCCTTGCCTGACCCTTGCCTAGCCCTTGCCTGACCCTTGCCTAGCCCTTGCCTGACCCTTCCCTAGCCCTTGCCTAACCCTTGCCTGACCCTTGCCTAGCCCTTGCCTGACCCTTCCCTAGCCCTTGACTGACCCTTGCCTGACCCTTGCCTAGCCCTTGCCTGACCCTTGCCTAGCCCTTGACTGACCCTTCCCTAGCCCTTGCCTGACCCTTCCCTAGCCCTTGACTGACCCTTGCCTTACCCTTCCCTAGCCCTTGCCTGACCCTTCCCTAGCCCTTGCCTGACCCTTCCCTAGCCCTTGCCTGACCCTTGCCTGACCCTTCCCTAGCCCTTGCCTGAACCTTCCCTAGCCCTTGACTGACCCTTGCCTTACCCTTGCCTAGCCCTTGCCTGACCCTTGCCTGACCCTTGCCTAGCCCTAACCCTTGCCTGACCTTTGCCTAGCCCTTGCCGGACCCTTGCCTGACCCTTGCCTAGCCCTAACCCTTGCCTGACCTTTGCCTAGCCCTTGCCTAGCCCTTGCCTAGCCCTTGCCTGTCCCTTGCCTGACCCTTGCCTAGCCTTTGCCTGACCCTTGCCTGACCCTTATAACCGTAGTTCGTTATAAGCATACATACAGCATAACTACAGCAAAAAGTCGGGACCAAAAAAGTAAGTTCGTTATATCCGTCAGTTCGTTTTAAGCGTGTCCGTTATAACCGTAGTACACACACACCCATCTCCCAACCCCCCCCCCCCCCCCCCCCCCCCCCTTCTCCATTTTAATTCTTTCCGGCATCCGCCCCTGCATCCCATTGTGGGGAATAGTGTGTTTTGTCATACAGTTTAGTCATGGCCTTTGGCAGGTTTTAAACAGTCCACAAAACCCCGGTGAGGCACGTGATCTGGTTGGAAGTTAATTAGTTGTAAAAAAGAAAATGTAGAAATAGAACAAAATAAAATTGGGAGAACCTTTTCTGTTGTTGTGTCTACGATTTGATGTCGCCTGTGGTGTATATCTTCCCGGTGAAATAATCAATGTTACTGATACCTGACACCGTGAACTGAAGATCCTCTTGAGAGTTCTATATCCTATGTTAGGGAGCTTGAGTTTCATGTACAAATTATTAACACACCTCAGAAAATGGACCATGTAACGATAGAGCGAATATCAGAAGCTGTGTCCAGGTAATGTCTACTAAGCCTGTACATAATAAATATATCATCATCATCATCATCATCATCATCATCATCATAATAATAATGATAATAATAATACTGATAATAATAATAATATGGGGCTCTTCGTGATAGGATTGTTTTGTGCACGTTTGCACACATTTATTTGTCTGATGATCCTCTTGTGAAGCATGTCAAGATTCATGATGAAAACAAGGCATTCCACAGTTTTCGTAAACGAGCCAAGGATGTGGGATATAACCTCAATGTGAGTGTTGATTTTGTTGGTGGTCATGTAGTGCCGGACGATACATAAATGGGTGTCAACCAAGTGAAGTGCCATATCAAATCGGCCCACACTCAAGGAGAGGCTATCTGAACGCCCACTGCATCGAGTTTATGTACAGTGTGTTGAGAAGGCTAGCAGCCCTGCACAGTCCTTGGCTTGGATGAGGTCGGCTGGCCTGAAGAGTGAAACAGAAGGCTTGGTACCTCCCAATCTGTTGACTGACATTGGGAGAGTACCCGGGTTTGCTGCTAGGAATACAGCCCTTCTGCCAATCTGGGTAATGCAGAAGCCCGGAGTGTTGAGGTGTCTTCACATTTTCAGAAAGTTCTGGGTGGGTTTGACAAGGCAGCGCTTCCTGGGATAGGCCCCATTCGCTGCGTGTAGAGCGGGAAAGGGCCCTGAGCTGATGATGAGCCTAACAAGCCTGACTGTGCCAGGATCACCCAGACCCTCTTTGCTGCATTTTTTATTTTAATCTGTAAATAATTTGTACGATAGCAAAATACATGACTCATTCTCCCACTCCTGGCAGCCATTTAGGAGAAAAAAAATTGTTTTGAAATTTGACGTGGTCCCACTGTAAAGTAGATACTTCTAATTTCATTTTGGAACCGAGCGAATTTTGTGACCGCCTCCGTGGCCTAGTGGTAGAGCGGAAGGTCCGGGGTTCGATCCCCGACCGCGTCATACCAAAAGACGTTAAAAGATGGTACTTGTTGTTACCCTGTCTGGCGCTCGGCATTAAGGGGCTAAAACAAGGACTGGTCGGCTGGGAGTCAGTATACTGTGTCTGAGTGGGGTATTTATATTAAACTGGTATCTCAGTGAGCTAGCACTATAAATCGGAATCAGTCCGGAGTAGAACATCCACACAAACACACACACATACATGCACGTCGCTGTATAAGTGCAATAATCTTGGACGTGACGTTAAACCCCATTTCACCTTACCTCGCCGCTTTGAATTTCGTGGACCCGTTAAACCGGCGTGTATTATGGGCCGCGCGTAATGGAGATCCATCATCTAATAGAGGAAATACGGCTTACATTTGTGATGGGTTATCGGCAGCTATTTTATTGATCGATATGTATTTTATCGCTGTATATACGCACAGATTTTGTGTGAAAAGGCATAATTTAAAAGAGTTTTCAGTAGACAAAAGGATTTTCAACCAATCAAAAGCAAGCATTTTTTCAATGCCGTGGGTAGAATTTGTATTATATTCTGAGGTTGAAGTTCATGCGTAACATTTCGGCACTGTCCTATGTTATTCTTGGGTAACACTGGTTAACTCTGGTTGAATGTGAATCAGGCGACAAGCCATTCGTGACCAACTCGTGTTATTCCGGGACAAGCCGAATAGCGACTCGTGCCCCTCTCGTGGCCATTTTTGCGACTGGGTTCCGTCTTACCTTAAACAATTGTCAACTCGTTGCGTAATGGTTCACATATATTTTCCCATATATTATATATATTTCAGATGCAATTTAAAGCACTTCGGGACGTGCGGAATTATACAGTATGATTGAACACATTTAACTGTGTCTTGGGTATATTTTTAGGTGCAAGACATATGTAAAATCAAAAATTATTTCTGAAGGATTCTTTGACAAAGAACTCGAAATCATATGCGCATTCTGATTGGTTTGTCGTATTTTCGCAAATAACATTCATCGATAGGAGGACGAGTCTTCTTACAGGTTACGGAAAGGGGCGAGTGGTGACGAATGGCCACAAGCTTATGAATTGTGCGTTGTCGTGACTTCCACGTGCAGATCATGCCATGTGGACTGTGGCGCCATCACAAATATGTTCATGGGAAGTGAAACAGCACGTGAGAACCCGGTTCTGTAGTACAGGGCAAACACAAAGTAACAACAATGTGTTCGATTATCACACAAACGACAAACGTCCACGACCTGGTTCACTTTGGCTCAAAGGCGCCACAATTCGCCGTGCAGAGTTGCGTCCCTTGGGAGTACCAGCAAACTATTTTCGTGAGTTGTTCAGATGACATGCAGTTAAGTATTGTTCCACGGAGCGGAAAGTCTCAAAACTCCGTCTCCCCTCCCTCATCAGCAACATACAACACGACCACGGTACCCATGCTCATGCTGTCAATCACTGGATTGTCTAGTCAAGACTCGATTATTTACAGACGCTGTCATATAGCTGGAACATTGCTGAGTGTGGCGTTAAACAACAAACAAACAAATATAACACAGAGTGAGTGAGTATTGAAGACAGTTGTAAAGTATCATGGGGGCCAAACAAACCAGTGACTGATATTATGAGCTCGAACAACACCGCAAAGTTTGATTTGGAATATAAAAGTTAAAACAAACTGTTCTGCTCATGTTATTTAAGGCGAGAGCAGTTTTACTTCACAAACAAACTTCATTCGATACTGAGGACCATTGACTGCTATGTTTTGTGTCGTCCAATCACAGCCTACGAGACATCGACCACCGTCTGTCTACTCATTTAGGAATGAACTGTAAGGCAATAATAGCAGCGCAAAGCAGAAAGTTCTGCAGTTTCGCAAAAAATCACTGCGAATGTTCCGCCAGCTTGTACACAACTGACCCCTGTTGGGCAACGATCTGCAAAATCTCTAAAAAAATGGCTGCCGCTCTTCAAACATTACCAGGGGGCGGTCGGGTAGCCTCGTGGTTAAAGCGTTCGCTTGTCACGCCGTAGAGCCATGTTCGATTCCCGACATGGGTACAATGTGTGAAGCCCATTTCCGGTGACCACCGCCGTGATATTGCTGGAATATTACTAAGAGCGGCGTAAAACCATACTCACTCACTCACTCACTCACTCACTCAAACATTACCATATGTTTGTTTGTTTGTTTAACGCCGCACTCAGCAATATTCCAGCTATATGACGGCGGTCTGGAAAGAAATGAGTCTGGGCAGGACAACCCAGTGATTGATATCATGAGCATCGATCCACGCAATTGGGATACGATGACATGCATCAACCAAGTCAGCGAGCCTGACCACCCGATCCCGTTAGCTGCCTCTTACGACAAGCATAGTCGCCTTTTACAGCAAGCATACATTAACCATATAGACGAATGGTCCTCTATCTCATGCCTACGGTATTCTCCCACTACCACATGTCACTCTCCCACCTTATCTCCACCGTCCTTCGTGCACCAGGGTCAGGTCGTTGGCGGAGGAACTTCACAAAGTATGAGTGTCAAATCTCAGCCTCAAAACCACAACCTCAAGACATGGGCGGCTGCCGTCCTTGGCGTGACGGCGTTGGTGGTGTTGGGGGTGTTCGCCTACTACCAGAACAGTCAGCTGTCTCTCCTGGAAGCCAGGATTATCAGCGTGGAGAGACAAGCAGATCGTGAGAAGTCAAGAATGAGGGTAAGACCTTATCTATGTCAGTACAAGTGTCATGTTGAATATCGACTACACAAAATTGCGTTAATTTTTAAAGCCGGACTTTCATGGGTGAGTGAGTATGGTTTTACGCCGCTATTGCAGCAATATCACGGTGGGCGACACCAGAAATGGGCTTCACACTTTACCCATGTGGGGAATCGAACCCGGTTTTAGGCGTGACGAGCGCATGCGTTAACCACTGGGCTACTCCACCGCTCCTAATCTCTCATGACCAGAGTAGAGCAGAAGTTATAGTAACGTCAAAAATCCTATTGTTTTATACCGACACTATGATCCGGGGTAGAATAGGTCTTCAGCAACCCATGCTTGCCGTAAAAGGCGACTATGCTTGTCGTAAAAGGCGACTAACGGGATCGGGTGGTCAGGCTCGCTGACTTGGTGATGCAGGTCATCGATCCCAATTGCGTGGATCGATGCTCATGATATCAATCACTGGATTGTCTGGTCCAGACTTGATTATTTTACAGACCGCCGTCATATAGCTGTAATATTGCTGAGTGCGGCGTAAAACAACCAACCAACCAACCAACTGACGCTATGATAACGCATACTTGTGGTTTGAATCGTCATCCAAGATGTGTTATTGTGCTCACTCGAACCCTAACGTTGTTGTGTTTTATTATCTCATGGCTGACTACCCAGAACATGTTAGTTACAAAATATTACAAAAAGTCAATGTGCATTTTCAAAGTGTATCCGTACATATACACATTCAAAAAAGTTAAGCACCCCCAGATTTTTTTTGTTAAGCAAAAACGAATCACGAGGTGAGGTGAGGTGAAATGGGGTTTAACGTCGCGTTAAGATTATTGCACTTATCTAGCGACGTGCATGCACGTGTATGTGTGTGTGTGTGTGTGTGGCTGCTTGTACTTGTCCGGACTGATGCCGATTAAAAGTGCTAGCACACTGAGATACCATGAAGCAGTTTAACATGAATACCCCACTCAGACACAGTATACTGACTCCGAGCCGACCAGTCCTTGTTTTAGCCCCTTAATGCCGAGCGCCAGACAGGGTAACAACAAGTCTTTTGGTATGACGCGGTCGGGGATCGAAACCCGGACCTTCCGCTCTCCGGGCGGACGCTCTACCATTAGACGACGGAGTCGGTCAATATAAGAATCACGAACATGATTTGAGCCAAATTCATGGGATTTTCGCAACAAATAATGTTAAAATAGAATTAAGGTCAGTGTTGGTTAGAAGGCCAAGATTACATTAGCAACTCAGAGTAGTAACATACAGAGTAGCAGAAAAAACATATTATGTACGTCCGGATGAAGGTTTCATTATCCAATGTTGGAAAGGATGGCCAAGTCGAAAAAGCGCCGCAATTCGCTGTGCAGAGTTGCGCCCCTTGGGCGTGCCAGGAACCAGTGATTGTGGGTTTGAAGATTAGCCCAGATAATTTGTTTCAAGGGTTACCGACAAACTTACCCCGCACGCGGGTTTCACCACAATGGCAAATATCCTGCACCACTTTGGCCGTTGCTCGCACATCAAGCTGACAAGCCGTGATATAACTGAAATACTCCTACATCAAGCTGACACACCGCGATATAATTGGAATACTCCAACATCAAGCTGACACACCGTGATATAACTGAAATACTTCCACATCAACCTGACACGCCGTGATATAACTGAAATACTCCATCAAACTGACACGCCGTGATATAACTGAAATACTCCCACATCAAGCTGACACACCGTGATATAACTGAAATACTCTATCAAGCTGACACACCGTGATATAACTGGAATACTCCCACATCAAGCTGACACACCGTGTTATAACTGAAATACTCAATCAAGCTGACACGCCGTGATATAACTGAAATACTCCATCAAACTGACACGCCGTGATATAACTGAAATACTCCCACATCAAGCTGACACACCGTGATATAACTGAAATACTCCCACATCAAGCTGACACACCGTGATATAACTGAAATACTCAATCAAGCTGACACGCCGTGATATAACTGAAATACTCCCACATCAAGCTGACACACCGTGATATAACTGAAATACTCCCACATCAAGCTGACACACCGTGATATAACTGAAAGACTCCCACATCAAGCTCACACGCCGTGATATAACTTGAATACTCCCACATCAAGCTGACACACCGCGATATAACTGGAATACTCCCACATCAAGCTGACACACTGATATAACTGAAACACTCCCACATCAAGCTGACACACCATGAGATAACTGAAATATTCCCACATCAAGCTGACACACCATGAGATAACTGAAATACTCCTACATCACGCTGACACACCGTGGTATAACTGAAATACTCCCACATCAAGCTGACACACCGTGATAGAACTGAAATACTCCCACATCAAGCTGACACACCGTGATATAACTGAAATACTCAATCAAGCTGACACGCCGTGATATAACTGAAATACTCCCACATCAAGCTGACACACCGTGATATAACTGAAATACTGCCACATCAAGCTGACACACCGTGATATAACTGAAATACTCAATCAAGCTGACACGCCGTGATATAACTGAAATACTCCCACATCAAGCTGACACACCGTGATATAACTGAAATACTCCCACATCAAGCTGACACACCGTGATATAACTGAAAGACTCCCACATCAAGCTCACACGCCGTGATATAACTGAAATACTCCCACATCAAGCTGACACACCGTGATATAACTGGAATACTCCCACATCAAGCTGACACACTGATATAACTGAAACACTCCCACATCAAGTTGACACACCATGAGATAACTGAAATACTCCCACATCAAGCTGACACACCGTGGTATAACTGGAACACTCCCACATCAAGCTGACACACTGATATAACTGAAACACTCCCACATCAAGTTGACACACCATGAGATAACTGAAATACTCCCACATCAACTAGACACACCGTGATATAACTGAAATACTCCCACATCAAGCTGACACACCGTGATATAACTGAAATACTCCCACATCAAGCTGACAAACCGTGATATAACTGAAAGACTCCCACATCAAGCTCACACGCCGTGATATAACTGAAATACTCCCACATCAAGCTGACACACCGTGATATAACTGGAATACTCCCACATCAAGCTGACACACTGATATAACTGAAACACTCCCACATCAAGTTGACACACCATGAGATAACTGAAATACTCCCACATCAAGCTGACACACCGTGGTATAACTGGAACACTCCCACATCAAGCTGACACACTGATATAACTGAAACACTCCCACATCAAGTTGACACACCATGAGATAACTGAAATACTCCCACATCAAGCTGACACACCATGAGATAACTGAAATACTCCCACATCACGCTGACACACCGTGGTATAACTGAAATACTCCCACATCAAGCCGACACACCGTGATAGAACTGAAATACTCCCACATCAAGCTGAAACACCGTGATAGAACTGAAATACTCCCACATCAAGTTGATATACCGTGACATAACTGAAATACTCCCACATCAAGCTGATATACCGTGATAGAACTGAAATACTCCCACATCAAGTTGATATACCGTGACATAACTGAAATACTCCCACATCAAGCTGACACACCGTGATATAACTGAAACATTCCCACATCAAGCTGACACACCATGATATAACTGAAATATCCCCACATTCAGCTGACACACCGTGATATAACTGAAATACTCCCACATGAAGTTGACATACCGTGATATAACTGAAATACTCCCACATCAAGCTGACACGCCATGATATAACTGAAATACTCCCACATCAAGCTGACACACCGTGATATAACTGAAATACTCCCACATCAAGCTGACACACCATGACATAACTGAAATACTCCCACATGAAGTTGACATACCGTGAAATAACTGAAATACTCCCACATCAAGCTGACACACCGTGATATAACTGAAATACTCCCACATCAAGCTGACACACCGTGATATAACTGAAATAAACTTTAAGAATTTTTTGTTGATGACATGTTTCTATTGGGTGGAACTTGTTGTTACTATGGAGACCTATGTCATGCCTCCATCCGTAGCAACCTTGACCAGGGCGTGAGGTGAGCGGGCCTGGTAGTAATTTAGAAGGCCACGACCCTGTAACTCTGAGTCCCCAATCGGGACAATTTATTGCCGTTAATACCTAGGAGACCATCCCAACCAATCGGTCAATCCTACCATACAAGTAAACGGTTTATAGGATATATGTTATTTCGGTCAATGTTTGAAGACATAAACTTTAATATCATATTAAGTCTGGTGTTATCTATGCAAAAATAAACCAATCAGGTAAACTTGGCATCCTGATCCTATAAATATGCAAATGAGGAACTACTTTCAAACTCCATATATCAATGTGATACCTGATTTCTTAATACACTGTTGACAACGTTCCCAATATGTAGAAAGGGGTTTCCAATGTGCCACTGAACAATGGCGACAAACATGACAGCGAGTGATTTAACTGACATTATATGATAAACTAGCCGGTTCACTCAAAAAGTGAATTCATGCGCAGTTCAACAGCTTCTTCGTTCGTGACCAACTCGTGTTATTCCGGGACAAGCCGAAAGCGACTCGTGCCCCTCTCATGGCCATTTTTGAGACTGGGTTCCGTCTTAGCGCAAACGGGCATACCTAAAACAATTGTCAACTCGTTGCGTAATGGTTCACATATATTTTCCCATATATTATATATATTTCAGATGCCATTTAAAGCACATCGGGACGTGCGGAATTATACAGTATGATTGAACACATTTAACTGTGTCTTGGGTATATTTTTAGGTGCAAGACATATGTAAAATCAAAAATTATTTCTGAAGGTATCTTTGACAAAGAACTCGAAATCATATGCGCATTCTGATTGGTTTGCCGTATTTCCGCACATAACATTCATCGATAGGGGGACGAGTCTTCTTGCAGGTTACGGAAAGGGGCGAGTGGTGACGAATGCTTCTTCGAATTCATTGAGAGAAATTGCGTCTTGAACATCCGCTATTGTAAGAATATTATTACATGACACAGGCTTTTACCCTCGTATGTGTCCGTATCGGAAAGGCTCTCATAATACAATCATTTTCTGAAAAAAATATATACGATACCGAAAAACACAGAGGTAACGATCTCTATTAATCTTTAACAGGAGGCGAAGATCAATTATAATCACAGTTCCAAAACACATTCCACTTCCACAAGACATGATCACCAAGCCTGACCACCCAGCATAGGTTGGAAATAACAGGTTACCACTGTATGAAGTTCCATGGCGTCAGAAGGACACCAGTCCTGTCTGTCGGGAGCGCTCTGGTAGCCTAGTGGTTAAAGCGTTCGCTCGTCACGCCGAGGACCCGGGTTCGATTCCCGACATGGGTACAATGTGTGAAGCCCATTTCTGGTGTCCCCCGCCGTGATATTGATGGAGTATTGCTACAAGCGGCGTTAAACCACATTCACTCACTCAGGACATTCGGCGTGTCCAGTGAAAATTAGGTGTATGATGCAATTAGAGGTAAAACTGCTTCTCTAAATATTTCGTGAATCTTGTTTTTCACAGAAGTTCCCCAAATATCAATGATCGTTCTGTGAGCTCACACGCAGCAAAGGCTAACATTTAGTCCGAGAAATAGAGTTATCTTATTTAAAATTATATATCTACAAACTCCAAAATACAACCTAATTGAGCCCAGAACATTGCATAAGTTCAGGCATAGGCAATCGAAAATTGCCAAATCATTCTAGATTTGAGTTGGATCAATTTTTGTAGGGTCAGGGAGAGGGACAAGGAGTGTAAATGCAACATTATGAAAATAAGGTACTCGTCGTAGAACGTCAACATCATGGTCGTCATCATCTTCCCGAGTCAAGGGAATTAACTGACTTTAAAAGTCCAGTTTCCACCCTTGCCGATCTAGGCAGGAATTGTGGAGCTATATTTTGGCTGGACTAACGAGTCTATGCATAGTTCAATCAATATCGCGTCACAAAATCGAAATCCGGTTCGTAAACTGCCTTGCAGATATCGGTCGATTGCAGGATTTGAAAAGCATGTGTACCGCCAACTCGGCGTCAGCACATATTATCCAAATCTTTTCATGTTTTTAATCAAGGTGCTCGCGTGATTTGTTGCCCTTCGCGAGGTAAGACCCGTTTTGTTACAATATAGATTTTGGTTATTGATCAGATCGTGGAAACTGGACTTTTACAGTCAGTTAACTCTCTGGCCTAGGGAAGATGGGTCGCGAGGGATTATTTTTGGTTTTGATTTGTGTTTTGTTTTCATCATTGCAGAGGAATCTTGATGACCTCGAAGTTGATGTTGAGAGACTGGTGAAGCGACACATTGACCACCAGATGGACACGCGACAACTGCTGGGTCAGGGGGGAATTGAGACGCTGGTCAAGCAGATGATCGCTTCGGAGGTACGCGGTATTACCCTCGTCACGTGCTGTTACTTTCATCACGTGATAACTCATTTCATGTTTCATGTAGGCCTGTGTTTAAAATCTTGATATGAACTAACCAATGCTCATTCTTTATGGATATACTAGCCTGAATTTGCTTTGAAATTTTCAGATCAATAAATATTATTAATTACCGTATTCGACGTAATAAGCGCCCCGCTCTAATAAGCGCCTATGGCGATATTTACAAATATATTGGCTAGTGAACAATCCCAATTAGCACCCCTTCCGATTGATCAATGTACACAAGACATATTTATTCTTATAATACGTATGTTATATAAACCCTTAATTATGGGTACAAATTAAATTCTGGAAAAATATATCTGTCGTATATAAACATTTCAGGCTGTCAGCATAAACCACGAAATGTAAGATCTTTCAACTCTTTTGTTTTTCACCAAAATAATATCTAATAAGAGCCCCCCATTTCTAATTTTGAGAGCGCCCTGGGCGCCTATTATGTCGAATATGTTGTATAAGCCTATACGTGTGACTTAGCGATTATAAATCAATCAGTGGTTATGCTCTGGGTTCCAGGCCCAACTGGTACAGTCTTACTGCGAGAACTCCACCTTAGTCTGCCCGGCCGGTGAGTGTTAGACGTCTGAAAGAAGAGTGAGTGAGTTGGGTTTAACGCCGCTTTTAACAGTATTCCAGTTATATCGCGGCGTGTCAGCTTAATGTGGGAGGAATGCCCGAAGTGATGCAGGTCTCAGACGTTTACCACTTCGGTGAAGCCCACGAGCAGGGGTATGGTGCTCACAAACCTAGAAACATAATCGGGGAGAACCGGGATTCGAACCCACAATCATAGGTGTCTGGTGTGCCCAAGGGACGCAACTCTTGCACAGCAATTCGCGGCGCCTCAGACGACTGGGCCCCCGTCTGAAAGAAGAATCCACTTCAATGGACACTTTGCGTAAATCCGCAAAATACTTAACTGACGGTGTGCGCACCTGTTTTACGTTAATCAATAAATGCAAAATATTGCAGTCAATACTGAAGTCAGTTCTTATAAATAAATTAACACTATTATTACATTTGCAAATTCAATCTGTATTTTCATTTGGTGACAAAGGGTCACACGACCTTCCTTAAAATACGGTTTTGCCCTGCCGCGTAGAGATCAAGAATCGTATTGCCCTGTGTGATTAAGCCATTAGACTCAAGGGAATAATTTCAGCCAATCAGCGAAAACGTAACGCAAGGCTTGTTGTGCATCCTTTAACTTCCCGTGAGTTCTGCTTCAATTATTATGTAGTAAAACAATTATTGGCCACAACTCGGACAATATCATATTTTATGGTCCATAAAACACGATAATGCCCTCATGGATGGTCAATAAGTAATAAGAATATTCACCCAATTAACACATAAGAGCTGGACAACTATGCGAAATGAGTTACATCGTTCCATCAGCGCAAAAAATGCACCAAACGCCTGGCCGATTCTATTACCAGTCAAGCAGGAGATTGTAGTCCGCTAGAGGGCGTGGCCTATTTTTGAGGTTTCTGGAAGCATAAACGCAAGATAAACCTTGATTAGCCAATCAAATGCCATGGAATCACTTCCAATTTATTTATCAGCCCATGGCCACCACCGGGGATTTATATGGGTTTTTCAATTACATTGATTCTGAAAAGGGAGATAAACGTTGGTGACCAAAGTAAGATTACTTCCCCTTCGGGCTGTTGTTTGTATAGGGTACATTCGCCATTACCCGGTGGGGATCCCGGTTAGATACGTCACAAGTACCATGACTTTGTTTGTTTATTTGTTTGTTGATTGGTTAGTTAACTCAGCAATATTCCAACTAGTGACGGCGGTCTGTAAATAATCGAGTCTGGACCAGACAATCCAGTGACTGATATCATGAGCATGGATCCACGAAATTGGGATACGATGACACGCATCAACCAAGTCAGCGAACCTGACCATCCAGTCCCGTTAGTCGCATCTTATGCCAAGCATGGGTTGGTTAAGACCTTTTCTAACTCGGATCTTCACGGGTCAGTACCCTATGCTGGTCTTGAGAGGTGTTCAATAGATCGGGTGGTCAGGCTTAGTGACTTTACACTGTACGTGGCTCATCGTATCGATCACTGGATATCTGGCCTCGATTATTTACACTTTGTCGTGAACAACAAGCACTCCCTGATTTGATTGGCCCTGGCTCGAGTATTGGCCACTCACCCTTTAATTGCGGGAAGTTTGCTGATTCTGGCGTAAATTTGTTTTGTTTGTTTGTTTGCTTAACGCCGCACTCAGCAATATTCCAGCTATATGTCGGCGGTCTGTAAATAATCGAGTCTGGACCAGACAATCCAGTGATTAATATCATAAGCATCGATCCACGCAATTGGGATCGATGACATGCATCAACCAAGTCAACGAGCCTGACCACCCGATCCCATTAGTGGCCTTTTACGACAAGCATAGTCACCTTTTACGGCAAGCATGGGTTGCTGAAGACCTGTTCTACCCCGTAACTTCACGGGTCTTCTGGCGTAAAACAACATTCACTCACTGTCGAATACAATGTGGTGTATGTCATACATAACTCTGGCTGCTCATAAACACTGTGTTTGTCTTTACAGGTGAAAAGGGCGAGAAAGGAGATGCAGGTAGGTGACCTCAGAAGAACTTTCTGGGTATATCAGGTGACCTCGGAATAACTTTCTGGGTATATCAGGTGACCTCAGAATAACTTTCTGTGTATTGTCAGGCGACCTGAGAATAAGGTCGGTATTGTCTCGTCAGATGATCTCATTAAAAACATGTTGTGTAACGTCAGACATCTTCTCAATCCAATGTCATGCTACCCCAGGAGAATTTGCTGTGTATTGCCGAGTGGCCTCAGAATAACTTGTTGAGAAGTGTCAGGTGATCTCAGAATAATGTGTTGCATAATGTCGACTGACCTCGGAATAACCCGAATATATGGTGATAGAGTTCAGAGGGCGATGAGTATAGGCTGATAGAGCTGAGAAGGGGATAAGTATAGGCTGATAGAGCTGAGAAGGGGATAAGTATAGGCTGATAGAGCTGAGAAGGGGATAAGTATAGGCTGATAGAGCTGATAAGGTGATAAGTATATGCTGATAGAGTTGAGAAGGTGATAAGTATAGGCTAATAGGCCTGAGAAGGGAATACGTATAGGATCATAGAGTTGATAAGAGGATGAGTATAGGCTGATAGAGCTGACAGGGTGATAAGTATAGGCTGATAGGCCTGAGAAGGGAATGAGTATAGGCTGATAGAGCTGAAAAGGTGATAAGTATAGGCTGATAGGCCTGAGAAGGGGATGCGTATAGGCTGCTAGAGCTGAGAAGGGGATGAGTATAGGCTGATAGAGCTGAGAAGGAGATGAGTACAGGCTGATAGAGCTGAGAAGGGGATGAGTATAGGCTGATAGAGCTGAGAAGGGGATGAGTATAGGCTGATAGAGCTGAGAAGGGGATGAGTATAGGCTGATAGAGCTGAGAAGGGGATGAGTATAGGCTGAGAGAGCTGAAAAGGGGATGAGTATAGGCTGATAGAGGTGATACGTATAGGCTGATAGGCCTGAAAAGGGAATGAGTATAGGCTCATTGAGCCGAGAAGAGGATGAGTATAGGCTGATAGAGCTGAGAAGGGGATGAGTATAGGCTGATAGAGCTGAGAAGGGGATGAGTATATGCTGATAGAGCTGAAGAGGTGATAAGTATAGGCTGATTGGCCTGAGAAGAGGATGAGTATAGGCTGATAGAGCTGAAGAGGTGATAAGTTCAGGCTGATAGGCCTGAGAAGGGGATGCGTATAGGCTGCTAGAGCTGAGAAGGGGATGAGTATAGGCTGATAGAACTGAGAAGGGTGGAATAGAATAAGAGGTCATTGTTTGATATGCTCTGCGGTCTGTAAGAAAGACTGCCTTTGTTCTCAACGCGTTTCTCTGTGCAGGAAACAAGGGGGACCTAGGCCAGAGCGGCTCACAGGGGTTCCAGGGCCTGCAGGGACTGAAGGGAGAACCCGGAAGTGCAGGATACAACGGCCCCGGCGGCCCCAAGGGAGAGGTGGGGAGTCAAGGTAGTCACGTGCACATTGCCTCCTGTGGTGTCTTTCTGTGATTGTTTGTTTGTTTATTTGTTTGCTGTTTAACGCCGCCGCACAATATTCTAGCTGTATGACGGCGGTCTGTAGATAATCGAGTCTGGACCAGGCAGTTCAGTGACTGACATCATCAGCCTTAATCCACGCAACTGGGATACGATGACATGCATCAACCAAGTCAGCTAGCCTGACCACCCGATCCCGTTAGTCAGACAGAAATAAACTGCAGAGTAAAAGGAGGAATACACCCATGTTTAACAGTGGCTGCAAATCATACAAACAGGAAATGGTCATTCCATGTATCAGAGCTCCAGATAAGCTTTTGGTGTTGTGGGTATTTTACCCATGCATTTTAAAATCATTGGGTATCAGTAATTCTATCTGCGTATTCAAATTTCTGTTACCCACTAGTTTTTACACATGTGGGTATTTAAGTTAAATATTTAAAAACACTATTCATCTAGTCCCTGCAAACTGGTGTCGTGTGGGTTCGAGAGCTTTATAGGACTCAAAAATACCACGATACTTCCACAAGAAAGTGTGATGGCAAATGATCATGATGTAACTGTCATCGTGGAGTTTGGCAAGGTTGACGGAATGCCCGTTTATAATTTCAAAATAAGTTGCTGATTTGCTAATCGAATACGCAGGGTTACTTCGCAATATTTTGATGATACGCACAAGTTTTATTTTTGTAGCGTATCTGTAATGTTCGTTGCGTATTTGATACGCTTGGATTATATTTTACTGTGTATTTCTGCATTTCTGATGCGTATTTCACGCAGATACGCAGCTTATCTGGAGCTCTGAATGTACTGAGGGTGGATGTCTTGAATGCGTTTATTAACGCATGATGAAACATGAATACCTACAGTTAGAAACGTCCATTCATTCTGGCTCACGTTCATGGATCATGTTAAGGTTTGAGAGCACGGGGTTCTGTTTTCCAAGGTCGATCACCCCAGTCACAAAAACGTACACACCGGAAGTTCAAAAAACATACAGCAAAATACAATGGGAATATTGCGGAACGAAATGTGTCCGGAAGATAATACGAAATAGGATTGCTTAACCTTATGTGCTTTCTCACACATGATTTTGATGAAATATTGTTCAAATTGGTGTTAAACCTATGCATTTTCTCGTTACTCTTATCCTACAGGCATTTCAGGCACGAAGGGCGAGCCGGGCGTTAACGGTCAAACTGGTCTCGCCGGACCTAAGGGGGACACAGGCGAAAGAGGTTTGTTTGTTTGTTTGTTTGTTTGTTAACGCCGCATTGAGCAATATTCCAGCTATATGACGGCGGTCTGAAAATAATCGAGTCTGGACCAGACAATCCAGTAATAGACATCATTTACGCAATTGGGAAACGATGACATGCATCTACAAAGTCAGCGAGCCTGATCACCCGATCTCGTTAGTCGCCCCTTTCGACAAGTATAAGTCAGCTTTTACAGCAAGCATGGGTTCCTGAAGATATGTTCTAACCCGTAACTTCGCGGTTCGCGACAAAGGTGGTATAATCGATTATATTGAAAAGATTTATATTGTGGTCGAGAAATTAAGCAAAAATAAGAAGGGGGGGGGGGGGGGGGGGGGGGGCGGCTATAATGTTGTTGTTTTTTGTTTGGTTTGTTGTTTTACGCCGCACTCAGCAATATTCCAGCTATATGACTGCGGTCTGTAAATAATCGAGTCTGGACCAGACAATCCATTGATTTACATCATGAACATCGACCAACGCAATTGGGATCAATGGCATGCATCAACCAAGTCAGCGTGCCTGAGCACCCGATCCCGGCGACAAGCATAGTCACATTTTACGGCAAGCATGGGTTTCTGAAGACCTATTCTACCCCGGATCTTCCCGGGTTCCAGCTATAATGGACAGGAAGACAACATTTCCAACAAAAGATTTTTAGGGCTTTCTTTTGCGTGTCAGTCTGTTTTTCCACGTTGAATTTCTCGCAAACTCTTTCGTAATCAATGGGACCGGCCGCCATGTTGTTGATACCACCAACCCAACATTGAGGCTCGTTTGCAACTCGCGTTCCGATTGGTTCGTTAGACTGATTATACTGAGGATCGTTTGCAACTCGCGTTCCGATTGGTTCGTTAGACTGATTATAGTGAGGATCGTTTGCAACTCGCGTTCCGATTGGTTCGTTAGACTGATTATAGTGGCAGCCTGAAAATGACAATCAAGAGCAGGTAATTTGAGATCTCGAGAATCCATGGGTTATTATATCTCACTTTACATTAAAATACCAGCTTCTGATTGGTTAAGGTGCGGGCGATTAGTGTCCACGTAGTTCGCTCATGAACCCTGCTGAGAAATAAATCGGAACACACCTTGCGTAACTTACTTATCTCGCAAAAGTATCGTTGGGACAAACAGAACCGATCTTTATCCGAATGCATTGGGTAAACTCGTTCGTTTGCGTCGTCTGCTAGCTGTCAACATGGCTGAATCAAAGGTTTTTCTTTGTCGGTGAGATACATTCGTTCTCAAGAGATCTCGAGGGGTATGTTATTAGTTATGATGCCCTCAGTGGCCGTGTATACGGTGTCATATTAGTTAGCTTCAACATATTGGGCGAAGAGACACCATAACAAATTTATCATGTCGAAAGGTTTACACAATTTGGTGTCCATATTGCAAATGTCATGTCGGTATTAATGACAGGACCAGTATATACTAGTATGTTTCCGACACCATGCTTTAATGTAAACACAAACGTTAACAATGGAATATATAATGCACTACATGTGAACGGTTCAACAAGTATTGAAGCTAAAATGGATAGAATTATCATAAAACTGCCCGCATGTTAACAAAAATCTGCGGTCCACTGTAACTTGATAGCAGTCCGTGTTCCCCTGACGACGGGCTGCTATTCATAATATTGCTATGTGACGTCATTGGCGTCACGTTTCTTGTTTGTGACATCATCCTTTTGTAAATCAGTGACCTACGTTGTAAGCTTTGTTTCTTTAATTCACGAACGTGGTTTCTTTAAAGAATAATGTATTTGCACATCACTATTTATTACATTGAAACAATGTCGAATAACGAGTTTCGGTTCCTTAATTTCCATGTGAAATATGTGAGATGTTTGTTGGAAAATCCAAAGAGGCTGTTACTGACGGTACACATTCTCATATAAGGTCAGCAACAACCATCTTGGATTTTTGCAGACGGTATACGGGCTCATGGGTCAGTAGTTTTGCCCTCTAATTGGTCAATCTCACTGTGAGGCATCATAAAGGTTCATATGGGGTCAGTAGTTTTGCCCTCTAATTGGTCAATCTCACTGTGAGGCATCATAAAGGTTCATATGGGGTTAGTAGTTCTGCTCTCTGATTGGTCAATCTCACTGTGAGGCATCATAGAGGATCATATGGGGTTAGTAGTTCTGCTCTCTGATTGGTCAATCTCACTGTGAGGCATCATAAAGGTTCATATGGGGTTAGTAGTTCTGCCCTCTAATTGGTCAATCTCACTGTGAGGCATCATAAAGGTTCATATGGGGTTAGTAGTTCTGCCCTCTAATTGGTCAATCTCACTGTGAGGCATCATAAAGGTTCATATGGGGTTAGTAATTCTGCCCTCTAATTGGTCAATCTCACTGTGAGGCATCAAAAAGGTTCATATGGGGTTAGTAATTCTGCTCTCTAATTGGTCAATCTCACTGTGAGGCATCATAAAGGTTCATATGGGGTTAGTAGTTCTGCTCTCTGATTGGTCAATCTCACTGTGAGGCATCATAAAGGTTCATATGGGGTCAGTAGTTCTGCCCTCTAATTGGTCAATCTCACTGTGAGGCATCATAAATGTTCATATGGGGTTAGTAGTTCTGCCCTCTAATTGGTCAATCTCACTGTGAGGCATCAAAAAGGTTCATATGGGGTTAGTAATTCTGCCCTCTAATTGGTCAATCTCACTGTGAGGCATCAAAAAGGTTCATATTGGGTTAGTAATTCTGCTCTCTAATTGGTCAATCTCACTGTGAGGCATCATAAAGGTTCATATGGGGTTAGTAGTTTTGCCCTCTAATTGGTCAATCTCACTGTGAGGCATCATAAAGGTTCATATGGGGTTAGTAGTTTTGCCCTCTAATTGGTCAATCTCACTGTGAGGCATCATAAAGGTTCATATGGGGTTAGTAGTTTTGCCCTCTAATTGGTCAATCTCACTGTGAGGCATCATAAAGGTTCATATGGGGTTAGTAGTTTTGCCCTCTAATTGGTCAATCTCACTGTGAGGCATCATAAAGGTTCATATGGGGTTAGTAATTCTGCTCTCTAATTGGTCAATCTCACTGTGAGGCATCATAAAGGTTCATATGGGGTTAGTAGTTCTGCCCTCTAATTGGTCAATCTCACTGTGAGGCATCATAAAGGTTCATATAGGGTTAGTAGTTCTGCCCTCTAATTGGTCAATCTCACTGTGAGGCATCATAAAGGTTCATATGGGGTTAGTAGTTCTGCCCTCTAATTGGTCAATCTCACTGTGAGGCATCATAAAGGTTCATATGGGGTTAGTAGTTCTGCCCTCTAATTGGTCAATCTCACTGTGAGGCATCATAAAGGTTCATATGGGGTTAGTAGTTCTGCCCTCTAATTGGTCAATCTCACTGTGAGGCATCATAAAGGTTCATATGGGGTTAGTAGTTCTGCCCTCTAATTGGTCAATCTCACTGTGAGGCATCATAAAGGTTCATATGGGGTTAGTAGTTCTGCCCTCTAATTGGTCAATCTCACTTTGGAGCATCACAAAGGTTCATATGGGGTTAGTAGTTCTGCCCTCTAATTGGTAAATCTCACTTTGAGGCATCACAAAGGTTCATATGGGGTTAGTAATTCTGCCCTCTAATTGGTCAATCTCACTTTGAGGCATCACAAAGGTTCATATGGGGTTAGTAATTCTGCCCTCTAATTGGTCAATCTCACTGTGAGGCATCATAAAGGTTCATATGGGGTTAGTAATTCTGCTCTCTGATTGGTCAATCTCACTTTGAGGCATCATAAAGGTTCATATGGGGTTAGTAATTCTGCTCTCTAATTGGTCAATCTCACTTTGAGGCATCATAAAGGTTCATATGGGGTTAGTAATTCTGCTCTCTGATTGGTCAATCTCACTTTGAGGCATCATAAAGGTTCATATGGGGTTAGTAATTCTGCTCTCTGATTGGTCAATCTCATTTTGAGGCATTATAATGTGTGATGAACCCTGTGTGTGAGTCTGTCTACCCCGAGCCGTCACGTCACAAACCCCTCGAGATCGGTTGACAACTGTAGGCTAGTTTCACCGCGGTACCCGGAGACAAAGAGGATGGCCGCATCCCTTCAGCCCGGAATAACAGGGTTTCTATGTGATATTCCCATGTTCTGTTGCCAGGCGACAGAGGGCTCACAGGGTTCTCCGGGCCTCCAGGACCAAAGGGGGAGAGCGGAGGCTTTGGGAGTGGCAACGGCCCTCTCCCCCAAGAGTGCTGTCTTCGACTTTGTGAGTAAAATAAGTCACATCAATCAATCAAGTTTTATCATTTCTAAAAGTAAGTACACACAAGTCCGACATCCTCTTGTGCTTAATTTGAATTCTGCTTAAGATAAACCTCTTGGTATTCAACACGTTTTCACTTTTGTTTAATTTAGACAAATCGAAAATTCACAAACAGACTAGCAATGAGTCAGCCCTTCGCCTAACGTACGGTTAAATGTTGCACGAGCTGTCAAGTGACGGGCCCGCCCATCCAATCATAGGCCCCGTCCATGTCTATCACTGTGTCCCTCCCCTGTCTATCACATTGCCCCGCCCCTGTCTATCATTGTGTCCCGCCCCTGTCTATCACTGTGTCCCGCCCCTGTCTATCACATTGCCCCGCCCCTGTCTATCACTGTGTCCCGCCCCTGTCTATCACTGTGTCCCGTCCCTGTCTATCACATTGCCCCGCCCCTGTCTATCACCGTGCCCCGCCCCTGTCTATCACTGTGTCCCGTCCCTGTCTATCACATTGCCCCGTCCCTGTCTATCACATTGCCCCGCCCCTGTTTATCACATAGCCCCGCCCCTGTTTATCACATTGCCCCGCCCCTGTCTATCACTGTGTCCCGCCCCTGTCTATCACATTGCCCCGCCCCTGTCTATCACTGTGTCCCGCCCCTGTCTATCCCATTGCCCCGCCCCTGTCTATCACATTGCCCCGCCCCTGTCTATCACTGTGTCCCGCCCCTGTCTATCACTGTGTCCCGCCCCTGTCTATCACATTGCCCCGCCCCTGTCTATCACTGTGTCCCGCCCCTGTCTATCACATTGCCCCGCCCCTGTCTATCACTGTGTCCCGCCCCTGTCTATCACTGTGTCCCGCCCCTGTCTATCACATTGCCCCGCCCCTGTCTATCACTGTGTCCCGCCCCTGTCTATCACATTGCCCCGCCCCTGTCTATCACATTGCCCCGCTCCTGTCTATCACATTGTCCCGCCCCTGTCTATCACTGTGTCCCGCCCCTGTCTATCACATTGCCCCGCCCCTGTCTATCACATTGCCCCGCCCCTGTCTATCACATTGCCCCGCCCCTGTCTATCACTGTGTCCCGCCCCTGTTTATCACATTGCCCCGCCCCTGTTTATCACATTGTCCCGCCCCTGTCTATTGTTATGCTCTTATTTTCCAAGGTGTGAGACGCCTATCATGGTAGAAAATAAATAATGATGAAGAATATTCAACAATCTATGAAATATTGCTGACTCACTCACGCAGATAGTAAGATACAAAGTGTATATCTCTAATGCGACAAATCCACACCCTTAATCATGCTCAACCCGCTACATAATTATCCCAGTAAATGGATCTGTGTGCACTCGATTCTCATTCTCAGCTCCCTGGGGAGTGTACACCCCAGGCAACCTGTGAGGCGCTAGAAGGTTAACAGTCACATTGGCATCTCATCCAACCGGGTACCCATCCATTGCTGGGTGAACAGATGCTGTGTTAAGATGACATAGTGGCAGATACAGATGTTATCCGCTGCAACTTGGTTATGAAATATTTTAAACATTTTCCAGCTTCCCCTAAACAGATTGGATCAAAGGCGTTGACTGTCTACGGTGCAGTCGGTGACAATATGCTGCTCGGTTGTAAAGAATCTGGCTATCCACCCCCAACGGTAGAATGGATCCCTCCGCTAACACAGCTTGGAACGACTCGTTACGTACAGTCAAAGGATGGGCTCACTTTGATGGGGGCGCAGCTGTCAGACAATGGAAGGGTGTTCACCTGTGAAGTGACCAACATGTTTGGTAGTTCTGTCACACGTTACCAGCTGGACATTTCAGGTCAGTGGTGTTCGTCGAGGGGAAGTTGATCGCGTAGTTACAATGTGCCTTCTGTCTGAGTGTACCCTTCACCGATGGTGTGGATCTCTGCTCATTCTTTCAACCACTGGTTTGTCTAGCCCAGCAGGGTAGAACAATATTCACTAACCTTTTTGTTTTGGTTTGTTGTTTAACTCCGCACTCAGCAATATTCCAGCTCTATAACGGCGGTCTGTAAATAATCGAGTCTTGACCAGACAACCCAGTGATTAATATCATGAGCATCGATCCACGCAATTGGGATCTATGACATGCATCAACCAAGTCAGCGAGCCAGACATCCGATCCCGTTAGTCGCCTTTTACGACAAGCATAGTCGCCTCTTACGACAGGCAGAGTCGCGAGTTAAGGCAAGCATGGGATGCTGAAGACCTTTTGTAAGCCGGGTTTTCACGGTACGTTCACTTACTAGAAACGGTTTTTTATATCGGTTGCAGTGTAAAACATATTGGTGCTTGTAGTGAGAGGTTGACAATGGAAACTCGGGAGTCCGGGTTTGAATTGGTCCCTAAAAACCTTTGTTTGTCGTACGAGGCGACTCAATAGATCCCAGGCTAAGTGACTCGGCTGATTGTGTGGCATCGAACACCGACTGCGTTGTTCATAATATCAATCACTAGATTGTTTGGTCTCGAATATTTACGGGCCTTCGTCATATAGCATGAATATTGTGGAGTGGGACGTTAAACAATAAACACACACATGCAGACACACTCACGCACTCACGCACGCACGCAAACGCACGCGCGCGCACACACACACACGAAACCTGCATGAGTCGGGCGTTCTCCCCACATCAAGCTGACACCTTCAACTGAAATGCTGCTCCGCGGTGTTGACTCACAATTGACTAACTCACTGGGTCGGAGGGTAGCCCAGTGGTTAAAGCGTTATCTCGTGACGCTGAAAGCCCCTGATCGAACCCCGCGTTGATACGTGTGAAGCCTATTTCTTGTGTCCCCTGCTATGATATTGCTTTAATACTACTCAAATCGGCGTAAAACCACACTCACCTACTCACTCACTCACTCACTCACTCACTCACTCACTCACTCACTCACTCACTCACTCACTCACTCACTCACTCAGCTCAACTCAACTCAACTCAGTTCCGCTCCACTCACTCACTCACTCGCAATCGATTCACTGATAACTTCTACATGCTGCCTGTCTTACGCAAATCGGCGTAAAACCATACTCACTCACTCACTCACTCACTCACTCACCCACACAGCTCACCTCAGCTCAACTCAACTCAACTCAGTTACGCTCCGCTCCGCTCCACTCACTCACTCACTCACTCACTCACTCACTCGCAATCGATTCACTGATAACTTCTACATGCTGCCTGTCTTACGCAAATCGGCGTAAAACCATACTCACTCACTCACTCACTCACTCACTCACCCACCCACCCACACAGCTCAGCTCAACTCAACTCAGTTCCGCTCCACTCACTCACTCACTCACTCACTGTGTAGCAATCGATTCACTAATAACTTCAACATGCCTCCTGTCTTGTAGCCCCAGTCAGCGTGTCGATTACACCGACCACCTCAAACTTCACTGAAGGCAGTCCAGGGGACATAACTCTGACGTGTTCATTCAATGGCTACCCACCACCAACAGTGGCGTGGTTGCACGTCCGGGACAATGGTCAGACGGAGGTCGTCAACTCCAACATTGACAGCAGCAGACAGGGTGTCAGCGTCCTTACCATCCCCTCCCCCACGACGACGGATGGGGGGAGGTATGTTTGTAGGGCGGCCACAGCCAACGGGGGCAGAAAGGAGGCGTCTTCTACTCTTACTGTTTTTGGTGGGTCAAAGGTCGCAAGCAGGGCGATATATACTGAACGGTGAAGTCGAAACACACAATGTAATACAAATATCCCCATGATATCAATGATCCCTAACTTTTTTCGCTCAGTATATACTAATATGCTAAAATAACGCAAATATGATATGCAAATAGAATGTATCATGGATGCAAAGAGTGTCAAAATGGGGAAATACATATTTGTTTCTTTCAAAATAGATAATTATTATGAAATGAATTTCATGGGTTTTAATTTCAATTCTTAAGTTTGTAGACAGCAATCTCCATGTCCACACAGATCCGAATAGCTTGATTTCTCCCTCTGAAACTTCTTCAGGGGCGTGAATGAAACGAATCATATTTTGTTCACCATATACCATAGTTTTGATGTAAACATTGTAATTTGGCATTTGTCTTTGTTGTAATAGTATTAGAAATAGTAGTGGTGGTTGTAGTAGAAGTAGTAGGAGTAGTAGTAGCAGAAGTAGTTGTAGTTGTCGTAGTAGAAGTAGTAGTAGTAAGAGTAGTAGTAGTAGTAGTAGTAGTAGTAAGAGTAGTAGTAGTAGTAGTAGTAGTAGTAGTAGTAGTGGTAGTAGTAGTAGAAGTAGTAGTAGAAGTAGTAGTAGAAGTAGTAGTAGTAGTAGTAGTAGTGGTAGTAGTAGTAGAAGTAGTAGTAGAAGTAGTAGTAGAAGTAGTAGTAGTAGTAGTAGTAGTAAGAGTAGTAGTAGTAGTAGTAGTAGTAGTAGTAGTAGTGGTAGTAGTAGTAGAAGTAGTAGTAGAAGTAGTAGTAGTAGTAGTAGTAGTAGTAGGAGTAGTAGTAGTAGTAGTAGTAGGAGTAGTAGTAGTAGTGGTAGTAGTAGTAGAAGTAGTAGTAGAAGTAGTTGTAGTAGTAGTAGTAGTAGTAGTAGTAGTAGTAGGAGTAGTAGTAGTAGTAGTAGTAGTAGTAGTAGTAGTGGTAGTAGTAGTAGAAGTAGTAGTAGAAGTAGTTGTAGTAGAAGTAGTAGTAGAAGTAGTAGTAGAAGTAGTTGTAGTAGTAGTAGTAGTAGGAGTAGTAGTAGTAGAAGTAGTAGTAGTAAGAGTAGTAGTAGTAGTAGTAGTAGTAGTAGTAGTAGTAGGAGTAGTAGTAGTAGAAGTAGTAGTAGTAGTAGTAGTAGTAGTAGTAGGAGTAGTAGTAGTAGTAGTAGTAGTAGTAGTAGTAGTAGTAGTAGTAGTAGCAGCAGCAGTAGTAGTAGTAGTAGTAGTAGTAGGAGTAGTAGTAGTAGTAGTAGTAAGAGTAGGAGTAGTAGTAGTAGTAGTAGTAAGAGTAGTAGTAGTAGTAGTAGTAGTAGTAGTAGTAGTAGTAGTAGTAGCAGCAGCAGTAGTAGTAGTAGTAGTAGTAGTAGGAGTAGTAGTAGTAGTAGTAGTAGTAGTAGGAGTAGTAGTAGTAGTAGTAGTAAGAGTAGTAGTAGTAGTAGTAGTAGTAGTAGTAGTAGTGGTAGTAGTAGTAGAAGTAGTAGTAGAAGTAGTAGTAGTAGTAGTAGTAGTAGCAGAAGTAGTTGTCGTAGTAGAAGTAGTAGTAGTAAGAGTAGTAGTAGTAGTAGTAGTAGTAGTAGTAGTAGTAGTAGTAGTAGGAGTAGTAGTAGTAGTGGTAGTAGTAGTAGAAGTAGTAGTAGAAGTAGTTGTAGTAGTAGTAGTAGTAGTAGTAGAAGTAGTTGTAGTAGTAGTAGTAGTAGTAGTAGTAGTAGTGGTAGTAGTAGTAGTAGTAGTAGTAGTAGTAGCAGAAGTAGTTGTCGTAGTAGAAGTAGTAGTAGTAAGAGTAGTAGTAGTAGTAGTAGTAGTAGTAGTAGTAGTAGTAGTAGGAGTAGTAGGAGTAGTAGTAGTAGTGGTAGTAGTAGTAGTAGTAGTAGTAGTAGTAGTAGTAGTAGTAGTAGTAGGAGTAGTAGTAGTAGTGGTAGTAGTAGTAGAAGTTGTAGTAGTTGTAGTAGTAGCAGTAGAATTAGTAGTTGTAGTTGTTGGAGTAGTAGTTGTAGCAGAAGTAGTAGTACATGTATTTGCATATATTGTCTTACAGGTCCCCCTCACTTCGAGAACATCCCCCAGAACCAGAGCACGACTACTGGAACCACGATCACCCTACACTGTGACGTCAACAGCGTACCTCCCGCCACCGTCACGTGGATCTACCCTCACGTGCGTACACCGCGTGCACAGTATCATTGACGCAGCAGCACGGCATGTAGGGTTGTCTCCCCTTCTCTACGGGGATGGAGGCCTTTTTGTAGGGACTTGACGTTTGTACAGATTTGCTGTTCATATTTTTTGTCATACAGACTTGTTGCCATTTTCTATAAACAAGTTGGACTAGGTGCCAAGAGCGAGTGATGTTCGTTTTCGAAGTAGAAAAGCTTGGTCACACCGTTGCCATTTCTGTACAGGCATTCAAGTCTTTCTTTCACGGAGTCGTTTAAACTGACGCGAGGGCCATGTTTCATTGGTGGAACCACACCTCCTCCAACCAACTGATCATTGAAAGTTCTCTCGATTATTACATTAATCACAACCCCACACACCCCACCCCCACCCCCACAGCCCATTAAGCAGCCCGACTAAGACACTCATCGGCTAAGCCGCCCTGGTCACCACAATAACCTCGTTAAACCGCCCCTCCACTTTCCACACCCCCGTCAAGCTCCCTCAAGCTTCTTTACGCACCCGACCCGTGAAGATCGGGGGTAGAATAGGTCTTCAGCAACCCATGTTTGCTGTAAAAGGCGACTGTACTTGTCGTAAGAGGCGACTAACGGGATAGGGTAGTCAGGCTAGCTGACTTGGTTAATGCATGTCATCGTATCTCAGTTGTGTGGATCGATGCTCTTGATGTCAGTGACTGGATTGTCTGGTCCAGACTCGATTATTGACAGACCGCCGTTATATAGCTGGAATATTGGTGAGTGCGGCGTGAAACGACAATCAAACAATGGCCACCACCCACCCGCCAACCCACCCGGACAACGCCCACACACCCGTTAAAACCTCTTCACCACTACGTACCTCCCGATAAACCAACCCCACAAACCTGAAGACGCAACTGTTGGGTCGTTCATCAACGTTCACTTTCAATCACGTTCATCAATAGTCCGGATGAACAAATGATGTTCAAACATGTTGGATATGTACAATTTCCGAACTATCAGGGTTTTGCTATTCCAGAATGACAGCCACCCCCGGTTCAACGTCAAAGTCAACACTGACAACTCCATCACGATCAACAATGCTGACAACGAGAACGAAGGCGTGTATACCTGCATAGCTCGCAACCAATATGGCGTCATCCAGACCAAAGCGAGGCTACAGATCGTCCGTGAGTAAGCCCTGGCGTTAATTGGAGTGGGTGTGTTGGCTTCAGCGCAGCTTTTAGAATTTTCACGAATTTTATATTTAGTGGTATTTTTAATTGTATGACATTTGACAAAGGTTGTACTTTAAATAGAACGGTACTTTACCTACAATGGTATTTACACAGGAAGGTATTTTGAACAATGGTACATAACGTAGAATAGTATTTGCCATTGAATGGTAGTATACATAGAGACAAAGTGTACATAGAGAGGCATTTGCCAAAGAGGCTTATTTTAACAGAGGTATATGCATAGTGAGGTATTGTTTATAGAGGTATTGTACATAAAGAGGTACTGTTCACACAGAGGTGTTATACATTGAATGGTATACATGTATCGCACTGCAGAGGATACCCGTAAAGATCAAGGGTAGAATAAGTCTTCAGCAACCCAAACTTGTCATAAGAGGCGACCATGCTTGTCGTAAAAGGCGACTAACGGGATCGGGTGGTCAGGCTCGGTGACTTGGTTGATGCATGTCATCGATCCCAATTGCGTGGATCGATGCGCATGATGTTAATTACTGGATTGTCTGGTCCAGACTCGATTATTTCCAGACCGTCGTCATATAGCTGGAATATTGCTGAATGCGGCGTTAACCAACAAACAAACTAACCATAACATTTCTGTATCTGACTCATCTTCCCGAGGCAAGAGAGTTAACTGACTATAAAAGTCCAGTTTCCACCCTTACCGAACTAGGCTGGTATTATGGAGTTACATTTTGGCTGGACAAATGAGTCTATGCATAGTCCAATCAAAATCGCGGACCGAAATCGAAATCCGGTTCGTAAAGTGTCAAGCAGATTTCGGTCGACTGCAGGATTTGCAAAGCATGTGCACCGCTAACTCGTTGTCAACAGATATTTTCTAAATCTTTTCATGCTTTTAATCAAGATGCTCACGTGATTTGATGCATTTCGCGATGTAAGACTCGTTTTATCACAATACAGATCTTGATTATCAATCGCATCGTCTTGACTGGGCGCCACCGTTTTGTTTGAAGCAAATGCAAGTGATACGAGAGGTTGAATCTGATTGGTCAATAGGAGAGGCATAGAAAGGACATAACTCGTAATAGCCACTGGTGGCGCTACGATCGAGCCAAGGAATTCCAGCCTAGTTCGGCAAGGGTGGAAACTGGACTTTTATAGTCAGTTAACTCCCTTTCCTCGGGAAGATGTATCTGACTACTTGTGGGCAATATTTAGGTTTGGTGAGGTCTTACATTATTGTGGAGAAAATGACGCTGATGTTTTATTAACAATGTCGATCTCTTAACAACGAATGGAGAAACCAGGAGTTCCGTTCATATAAAACCTGTCTCGTCCTTTGTAGACAGTGTAGAGGTGACACTGACCCCTACTAGCACCTCCCTGCAGACCAGCCCCGTTGTGTCCCTGGACTGCAAGACCACGGGAGACCCCACCCCCAACAGCACATGGTCCAAACTGGACTCGTCGATCGACAAGACCGACCCACGTTACATCACCCTCGGGGGGGACTTCCTGATCACGGGGGTGACTCCGGCCACACAGGACAAGGACTCTGGGGTATACATATGCACGGGGACGAACAGCATGTCCACCGTATCCAAGAAGGCTATAGGTGTGTTCTATGCGTGGAGCAGCGGAACTGTTGCATTTGTGTACTGTTGCGGTATTGTTGCTATTCTTTTGCCATATTATTGCTGTACCATTGCGGTGGTCTGAAGTGCACTTATCATCGGGTGGTGCAGCCGCCTAACTGATGCTAACACAACACTCCAACGCCCACGCGAACCGTCCGTGCCCTACTCCCGCGCCCACGCCACGCGTACACGTTATGCTCCCACGTCTACACCACACGCCCACACAACACTCCAACGCCCACGCGACACGTCCACGCCACGCCTCCACGCCCCCGCTACACGTACACGTCACGCTCCGACGCCCACACCATACGCCCACACAGCACGCCACACGCCCACTCCACACGTCCATGCCCAACTCCCACGCCCACGCTACACTTACATGTCACGCTCCCACGCCCATACCACACGCCTACGCCACACGTCCACGCCGGCATCACACGCCAAGATCACACATCCACACAATACGTCCACGACGCACACATGCGGGCCACGAACCCACGCCACAGGTCCATGCCACATGCTAACACCACACGTCCACGCCACACGACAACACCATACGTCCAAGCCACACAAATGCACGCCACGCACCCAACGTCCACGTCCACGCCACACGTCCATGCCCCCTTCCCACACACAGCCCCACGCCCACGCTACATGTACACGCCACGCTTTCACGCCCACATCATACGCCCGCACCACACCCTCACGCCCACGCCATATTCCCACGCCCACGCCACATTCCCACGCCCACGCCACGCCACAGGACTACGTCACGCTCCCACGCCATCGTCACACGCCTACGCCCACGACACACATACACGCCTACGCCCACGTCCAAGCCACACGTGCACGCATCACGCCCACAGCCACGACCACGCCCATGCCACCTATCCATGCCACAGTCTTGTGTTGGTTGCCGTCGGTTGATGGTATAATTCACTTTTTTTACTGGGCCTCATCCAGAATTCGTTAAACTGAATTTGCTTAGAGTTACTTCCCTTCGTAAATCCACACTAGAAATAAATGTGTAATAATTCATGTTCGCCAACTTTAACTGCACCCAAAACATTGTTATTCCATGACACAACAACAAGCAACACGCTGTACCCCGACACCAGTTGGCTTATCACAAAATTACACGATGTGGAACAGTTTAGGATATACACAGACTAAAAAACAAGTTCTTGTAATTTTCAGTTTACAAAGAAGTTCCGGTCGTGGACTGCTCGACTACGTTCCAGACATGCACAGGGCCCATTGGCGTTGCTTGTGGGTCAGTATTTTACCTGTATCTAAAGCTTGTGGGTCAGTATTTTATCTGTATCTAAAGCTTGTGGGTCAGTATTTTACCTGTATCTAAAGCTTGTGGGTCAGTATTTTATCTGTATCTAAAGCTTGTGGGTCAGTATTTTATCTGTATCTAAAGCTTGTGGGTCAGTATTTTACCTGTATATAAAGCTTATAGGTCAGTATTTTACCTGTATCTAAAGCTTGTGGTCAGTATTTTACCTGTATCTAAAGCTTGTGGGTCAGCATTTTACCTTATCTAAAGCTTGTGGGTCAGTATTTTATCTGTATCTAAAGCTTGTGGGTCAGTATTTTATCTGTATCTAAAGCTTGTGGGTCAGTATTTTACCTGTATCTAAAGCTTGTTGGTCAGTATTTTACCTGTATCTAAAGCTTGTGGGTCAGTATTTTACCTGTATCTAAAGCTTGTGGGTCAGTATTTTATCTGTATCTAAAGCTTGTGGGTCAGTATTTTACCTGTATCTAAAGCTTATAGGTCAGTATTTTACCTGTATCTAAAGCTTGTTGTCAGTATTTTACCTGTATCTAAAGCTTGTGGGTCAGTATTTTACCTTGTCTAAAGCTTGTGGGTCAGTATTTTACCTGTATCTAAAGCTTGTGGGTCAGTATTTTACCTGTATCTAAAGCTTGTGGGTCAGTATTTTACCTGTATCTAAAGCTTGTTGGTCAGTATTTTACCTGTATCTAAAGCTTGTGGGTCAGTATTTTACCTGTATCTAAAGCTTATAGGTCAGTATTTTACCTGTATCTAAAGCTTGTGGGTCAGTATTTTACCTGTATCTAAAGCTTGTGGGTCAGTATTTTATCTGTATCTAAAGCTTGTGGGTCAGTATTTTATCTGTATCTAAAGCATGTGGGTCAGTATTTTATCTGTATCTAAAGCTTGTGGGTCAGTATTTTATCTGTATCTAAAGCTTGTAGGTCAGTATTTTACCTTATCTAAAGCTTGTTGGTCAGTATTTTATCTGTATCTAAAGCTTGTGGGTCAGTATTTTACCTGTATCTAAAGCTTGTGGGTCAGTATTTTACCTGTATCTAAAGCTTGTGGGTCAGTATTTTATCTGTATCTAAAGCTTGTGGGTCAGTATTTTATCTGTATCTAAAGCTTGTGGGTCAGTATTTTACCTGTATCTAAAGCTTATAGGTCAGTATTTTACCTGTATCTAAAGCTTGTTGGTCAGTATTTTACCTGTATCTAAAGCTTGTGGGTCAGTATTTTACCTGATCTAAAGCTTGTGGGTCAGTATTTTACCTGTATCTAAAGCTTGTTGGTCAGTATTTTACCTGTATCTAAAGCTTGTGGATCAGTATTTTACCTGTATCTAAAGCTTGTGGGTCAGTATTTTATCTGTATCTAAAGCTTGTGGGTCAGTATTTTACCTGTATCTAAAGCTTGTGGGTCAGTATTTTACCTGTATCTAAAGCTTGTGGGTCAGTATTTTATCTGTATCTAAAGCTTGTGGGTCAGTATTTTATCTGTATCTAAAGCTTGTGGGTCAGTATTTTACCTGTATCTAAAGCTTGTGGGTCAGTATTTTACCTGTATCTAAAGCTTGTGGGTCAGTATTTTATCTGTATCTAAAGCTTGTGGGTCAGTATTTTATCTGTATCTAAAGCTTGTAGGTCAGTATTTTACCTGTATCTAAAGCTTGTTGGTCAGTATTTTATCTGTATCTAAAGCTTGTTGGTCAGTATTTTACCTGTATCTAAAGCTTGTGGGTCAGTATTTTACCTGTATCTAAAGCTTGTGGGTCAGTATTTTATCTGTATCTAAAGCTTGTGGGTCAGTATTTTACCTGTATGTAAAGCTTGTGGGTCAGTATTTTATCTGTATCTAAAGCTTGTGGGTCAGTATTTTACCTGTGTCTAAAGCTTGTGGGTCAGTATTTTACCTGTTTCTAAAGCTTGTGGGTCAGTATTTTATCTGTGTCTAAAGCTTGTGGGTCAGTATTTTACCTGTATCTAAAGCTTGTGGGTCAGTATTTTACCTGTATCTAAAGCTTGTGGGTCAGTATTTTACCTGTGTCTTAAGCTTAATTAGAAGCCTACATTTAATGGAGTGTTGAAACTGGGTTTGGGGGCGTCAAGGGACCATACAACAGTTACCTACACGCATTGTCTTTCCCTCATGGTCAATGTGAACCATGACTCTACAGCTCGCCGGTCCGGGCTGCTAAGTCAAGGAGTGAGGGTCTGACGATGGTCTAACTCTCCCTATAAGCATTCATGTACTGGCGCGCACACACAAGGATTAACACAACACAAGGTTTGATACTCAGATAAATTTACAAAGCTTTCAGTCCATGATAGCGATTCCTCTCGGTCAACTGCAAAGCCCGCACTACACTGCTAGTGTTGAAGGTATATTTTAAAAGTGTTCGAGTCTGACCCGCGTTTGCCACGTGTGAGGTGAGGTGAGGTGAAATTGGGTTTAACTTCACGTCCAAGATTATTGCACTTATATAGCGACGTGCCTCACGTGTGTGTGTACTAGTCCGGACTGATGGCGATTTATAGTGCTAGCTCACTGAGCTGCCATGCCGCAGTTTAAATGAATACCCCACTCAGACACAGTATACTGACTACGAGCCTACCAGTCCTTGTTTTAGCCCCTTAATGCTTAAAGCCACAGTTTAACATGGATACCCCATTCAGACACACCATACTGACAACGAGCCGACCAGTCCTTGTTTTAGCCCCTTAATGCTTAATACTGCAGTTTAACATGAATACCCAACTCAGAAACAGTATACTGACTCCGAGCCGACCATAAATCGGCTTCAGTCCGGACTAGTACGAGCAGCCACACAAACACACACGTACATAAACGTCGCTATATATGTGCAATAATCTTTGACGCGACGTTAAACCCCATTTCACCTCATACCACCTTCTTGATGAGCGGGTGAGTATGTCACTAATTTCTTACTCAACTTGAACCAATTTTAGAAGAACCTGTAAACGTTTGAAACCTGAGTAGGGTCTCATTGGTGTGTTTTATCCCCCAGCGCCAAGTGCCCTGCAGGCTGTGCTTCCACGCCAGGAATGCTGTTTGGATATAAAGATTATACAGCAGTAAGATTTTAAGTTCCAACACCACCTCCTTGGTGTGGCTTGTGGCGTGTGGCGTGCGGCGTGTGGGGTGTGGGGTGTGGGGTGTGGCGTGTGGCATGGGACTTGTGGCCTGTGATTGTGGCGTGTTGTGCGTGCGGCGTGTGGGGTGTGGTTTGTAGCCAGTGGGGAGTGGCTTGTGGCATGGGACTTGTGGCGGGTGACGTGCGGCGTGTGGGGTGTGGCCTGTGGCCTGTGGTCTGTGGCCTGTGGTATGGGACTTGTGGGGTGTGACTTGTGGCGTGCGGGGTATGGCTTGTGGCAGGTGGGGTGTGGCTTGTGGCAGGTGGAGTGTGGCTTGTGGCCAGTGGGTTGTGGCATGTGGCCTGTGGCGTGTGACTTGTGGCGTGTGGGGTGTGGCTTGTGGCGTGCGGGGTATGGCCTGTGGCGTGTGACTTGTGGCGTGTGGCTTGTGGCCAGTGGAGTGTGGCTTGTGGCCAGTGGGTTGTGGCATGTGGCCTGTGGCTTGTGACTTGTGGCGTGTGGGGTGTGGCTTGTGGCGTGCGGGGTATGGCTTGTGGCCTGTGGCGTGTGACTTGTGGCGTGTGGCTTGTGGCCAGTGGAGTGTGGCTTGTGGCCAGTGGGTTGTGGCATGTGGCCTGTGGCGTGTGACTTGTGGCGTGTGGGGTGTGGCTTGTGGCGTGCGGGGTTTGGCTTGTGGCCTGTGGCGTGTGACTTGTGGCGTGTGGGGGGTGGCTTGTGGCCAGTAGGGTGTGGCTTGTGGCCAGTGGGGTGTGGCTTGTGGCGTGTGGCGTGTGGCGTGAGGCATGTGGCGTGTGACGCGTGGTGTGTGGCTTTTGAGGATGTAGATCCCTGTGGTTCCAGGTTCGGACTCGTCTTGTGTAAGAGGCGACTTAAAGGATTGGGTTATCCGGCTCGGTGACTAAGTTGATGCATGCCAGCATATGACAGTTGCATAGATCGATGCCCATGATGTCAATCACAGGATTGCCTGGTCCAGACTCGATTATTTACAGACTGCCGTCATATATTTCAGTTTGAACATTGCTGAATGCGGCGTTAAACAACAAACAAACAAACAAAAACATACATGGTTACAAATCCGAAAAACAAATACACAATCTGACCAGATTTTATTCCGTCGTCAGAACTCCGGACTGTGCCAAGCCGCTATCCAATCAGGAGCTGTGACTGACGCCGGCGGGTGGGTCACGTGGTCTATGAGAGATGGATCGTACCTGAATTTCCAGGGGGTGACACAGAACGGCATCACCAGTACCGCGTGAGTAAACCAAATCTGGCGTCCTCGTTAATCAGTGTTTATGATCGGATTAGAGCATAATAATGATAAATTATCATAAATGTGTGAGTGAGTTCAAATTTAACGCCACACCGGCATTATTGCAGCGATAGTGACGAAAACAAGTGTTTTTGTATATAGGAGTGCGTCATAAATACAAAGTTCATATAAAAGCACATTTGTCAAACATATTTTAACACAACAATATTATTATGACAGAACTGTTTGATATGCATTTTTTAGAAGTTGATGGATGACAAAGTAGACACAATTTATGGATAACTTATGGTTGTAAAATAAAAAAGTTGTTATCTATAAATTGTGTCTATTTTGTTATTTACAACTGTTTAAAACACGGTCTATACGCCATCAGTAACCAAAGCTAGGCCACTTCGCTGGGACTGTTGGTTGCATTCGTGACCAACTCGTGTTATTCCGGGACAAGCCGAATAGCGACTCGTGCCCCTCTCGTGGCCATTTTTGCAACCGGGTTCCGTCTTTGCGCAAACGGGCATACCTAAAACAATTGTCAACTCGTTGTGTAATAGTTCACACATATTTCCCCGTATATTATATATATATTAGATACAATTTAAAGCAGATCTGGACGTGGTGACTTATACAGTATGTTTGAACACATTTAACTGTGTCTTGGGTATATTTTTAGATGCAAGACACATGTAAAATCAAATATTATTTCTGAGGGATTCTTTGAAAAAGAACTTGAAATCATACGCGCATTCTGATTGGTTTGTCGTATTTTCGCACATAACATTCATCGATAGGGGGACGAGTCTTCTTGCAGGTTACGGAAAGGGGCGAGAGGTGACGAATGTGTTGGTTGGTGGTAAATGTCATTAATGATTTAAAATGGCGTTGGGTCTAAACACAGTCCATGTTGTTGAGTGTACAAGCTTCAGTGTGGGGCACAAGAGCCTTCAAAGAAAAGCAACCATTAACATCCTGGTTAGAATTGATATTCAGCAACCCATGCTTGTCGCAAGAGGCGACTAGGTGGTCAGGCTCTGTAACTTGGTTGATACATATCCCACCGTATCCCAATTGCATAGATCGATGTTCATGATGTCAATCACTGGATTGTCTGGCCCAGAGAGATCACAAGCTTGTAGCTGGAATATTGCTGAGTACGGCAACAAAAAACAAAAACAATAAAGAACCCTGTGTATCCCGTCAGCTAAAAAAACGAATAAAACGTCTTTATTATGACAGCCACTCGCAATTAGTGCACGTGTACCGCAACGTTCATACAAGTGTGTGTGTGTGTGTGTGCGTGCGTGTGTGTGTGTGTGTGTGTGTGTGTGTGTGTGTGTGTGTGTGTGTGTGTGTGTGTGTGTGTGTGTGTGTGTGTGTGTGTGTGTGTGTGTGTGTGTGTGTGTGTGTGTGTGTACGCGTGCGTGCGTGTGTGGCTGGCTGGCTGGCTAATTGTACTGGTCCGGACTAATGCCGGTTTTATAATGCAAGCCCACTGCGATACAACCTCGAGCGTGCCAGCCCTCTGTGTTATCCCCTATATACCGAGCACAAGACAGGGTAACAATAAGTACCATCTTATGACGTCAAGTGAATGAAGTTAGGTATTGATAGTGTTCAACTTTGGTGAGTGAGTGAGTGAGTATGGATTTACGCCGTTTCAGAATTATTCCAGCAATAATCCACCAATATTCCAGCAATAATCCACCAATATTCCAGCAATAATCCACCAATATTCCAGCAATAATCCACCAATATTCCAGCAATATCACGGCGCCAGACACAAACACATACATTTCGGCTTCACACGTTATACCAATGTGGGGAATCGAATGCATGGATTCGACGTGACGAGCGAATGCTTTAACCTCACCATCCTGCACTTACCAACGATGTCTTGTATGTTCAGGGAGTCAATAAGACAGCTTCATGAAAAGCTACATGACCTCCAGAAATCACTATTCTTGTCTTGCTCTATTTCAGGACTGGTCCGATCCATGCGGCAGCGACCGTGTTTGTTTGAAATAAACGTCATTTACAAACGTCGTTCAGAGTTGCATAATTTGTTTAAAATTTCAATACGATATTGGTTCAACGACTGATCTAACCATAGCGTGCATACTTCCTTTCAATAAGTTTAAGAGGAATTTAAAATTTTGTGGTGAACTATTGCGAACGTCTATTCTTGGTACAAGCGATATTACATGGCCATGACTCGTTTATTCCTAAATGCAATATTACAGCTAAATGACGGCGGCCTGTAGAAACAATCGAGCCTTGACCAGAGACAATCCAGTGATTGATACTGTGAACAACGATCCAAGCTGTTTGGGTACGTTGACACGCCATCAACCATGACATGATCACCAAGCCTGACCACCCAGAATAGGTTGGTAGGGAACAATCCCCACGAGTCGGACACTTGGGAGCGCGAACGACCGTAATAACAGGTAACCACTGTATGAAGTCCCATGGCGTCAGAAGGACACCAGTCCTGTCTGGTTCTGGGCGGTCGGGTAGCCTAGTGGTTAAAGCGTTCGCTCGTCACTCCAAAGACCCGGGTTCGATTCCCGAGATGGGTACAATGTGTGAAGCCCATTTCCGGTGTCCCCCGCCGTGATATTGCTTGAATATTGTTAAAAGCGGCGTAAAACCATAGTCACTCACTCACTGTCTGGTTGTATGTCCGAAACGGATCATCGGTTTCAGTGAGGAAGTGAATTGGGCTGAATGCCATTTTGAACAGTTACGATTTCGGTTTTAGCACGGCGTGTCGGCTTGATGTCGGGGGAGGGCTGCAGCACTGTTTGTTTGTTTGTTTGTTTGTTGTTTAACGCCGCCCTCAGCTATATGAGAGCGATCTGTTAATAATCGAGTCTGGACCAGAAATTCCAGTGATTGATATCATGAGCATCGATCAACGCCATTGGGATACGATTACATGCATCAACCAAGTCAGCGAGCCTGACCACCCGTTCCCGTTTGTTGGCCCTTACCACAACCATAGTCGCCTTTTACGGCAAGCATGGGTTGCTGGAGACCTATTCTACCCCGGATCATCAGGGGTAGCGCAGGTCATGAATTGAGGCAAGACGATTACAACTTTAGTGAAACCCACGAGCGCAGGTGTGGTGTGGACAAACCTGGAAGCATGCTCAGTTCGAGTCTGAGATTCTCACCCGCGGTCAAAACGACTGGTGTCCTGCACGTCAAAGGGAGACAACTCGTGTCGGTGAATTGGGGCCCTTTTACATGACGAGGTCCAAGCTCCTCACACCGCTTGTTACATTCCCGGTATCACCATGTCCAAGCGGCCATTACTGGTATCTTGACCATTTAACCTCAAACCCAGAATTTGGTGATATTAATTTTATTGTGTATGTCTTTGAGAGTGTCATTTTTGTTGATTGGGAAATGGTCTACGACTGACTTTCTATGATTCTGATGAGTTGTCGTTTGTTTGTTTGTTGCATAAGATTGGTGAGAGCTTTCAGATCAACTTCCCCCTTGCATTTACTCTAAACTAAATACATGCTAGTTGAAATGATATTTGTCTGCTGAGATATTGGGGACGTTCCTGTTATGAAATTAATTTTCAAAATTTGACTTAGAATCACTGCGTAAATCGGCCCTCACGGTAGGTGATAATATTCCGCAACTCATTGTTTAGGGTAGGAACTTATTCAAACTCAGATATATGCATCAGCCACAAATGAAATGCTGGTCTGGTTCTGTTCCACTGTTATAAAGACAGTCCCGAGGGGATCACTGATGACCATTTTTTAGTCAGACGGTGATGAAACGGACATAAAATCTTCTCATGTCTCGGACGCTTCATCAACGGAGGCAGGGCTTGTGCATGTTTGGTTTGTTTGTTTGTTTTGTCACCCAGCAATATTCCAGCTATATAACGGCGGTCTGTAAATAATCGAGTATTGACCAGACAATCCACTGATTGACATCATATGCATCGATCTACGCAATAGGGATCGATGACATGCCTCAACCAAGTCAGCCAGCCTGACCTCCCGATCCCGTTCTAAAGGCGCCTCTCACGACAAGCATAGTCGCCTTTTACGGCAAGCATGGGTTGCTGAAGACCTATTCTACCCCGGATCTTCACAGGTTGCTTGTAATTGAGTCGGTCACGACTGTCAAAATGGTGAAAAAGCATCGCTGTTCTCAGGGCTGAAATGGGTCCACTGGCTGCCAGGGGCCACATCCTTGATGGATGCAATGGCCGCGCGTGATATGTTAGACTAACATCTAGTCTCTGAAATGAACATATCGTACAGAAATAACAGTTGTTCAGTTATCTTAATAAAATTATAATGAAAGGGAGCTCAGTGACTCATTTTCAGGTCCTGATACTACAGTAATCTAGACTTGCCAAACATTATAGACTTGCATGGGCTGTATTTGTAAGACAGACTAGTGATATGCGACCGTACGTCGTGTCATGAGCTGTGCGGTGTGAGACGGGACTTCTGAGGCTTCTGGATTGTTGGCCAGAAACACGGGTTGTTGGCTGTGAGAGGTTGAGGGTTGTGGGTTGTGGGTTGTTGGTTGTGAGTGAGTAAGTATGGCTTTACGCCGCTTTTAGCAATATTCCAGCTGTATTACGGCGGGGGACACCAGAAATGGGCTTCACACATTGTACCCATATCGGGAATCAAACCCGGGTCTTTGGCGTGACGAGCGAACGCTTTAACCACTAGGCTACCCGACCGCCCGATGTTGGTTGTTGGAAGTGCAATGATGACTGATGCCCGAGAGGTGTGGATTGAGGTCCCTGATACGAGGGTTGCGGACCACTGGGAACTGTGAGACACAGGTTGTGAGACGTGAGACACAGGTTATGTGACGTGAGACACAGGTTGTGTGACGTGAGACACAGGTTATGTGACGTGAGACACAGGTTATGTGACGTGAGACACAGGTTGTGAGACGTGAGACACAGGTTATGTGACGTGAGACACAAGTTATGTGACATGAGACACAGGTTGTGAGACGTGAGACACAGGTTATGTGACATGAGACACAGGTTGTGTGACGTGAGACACAGGTTGTGTGACGTGAGACACAAGTTATGTGACGTGAGACACAGGTTATGTGACGTGAGACACAGGTTGTGAGACGTGAGACACAGGTTATGTGACGTGAGACACAGGTTATGTGACGTGAGACACAGGTTATGTGACGTGAGACACAGGTTATGTGACGTGAAACACAGGTTATGTGAGGTGAAACACAAGTTATGTGACGTGAAACACGGGTTGTGAGACGTGAGACACAGGTTATGTGACGTGAAACACAAGTTATGTGACGTGAGATACGGGTTGTGAGACGTGAGACACAGGTTATGTGACGTGAAACACAAGTTATGTGACGTGAGACACAGGTTATGTGACGTGAAACACAAGTTATGTGACGTGAGACACAGGTTATGTGACGTGAAACACAGGTTATGTGACGTGAAACACGGGTTGTGAGACGTGAGACACAGGTTATGTGACGTGAAACACACGTTATGTGACGTGAGATACGGGTTGTGAGACGTGAGACACAGGTTGTGAGACGTGAGATACAGGTTATGTGACGTGAAACACAGGTTATGTGACGTGAGACACAGGTTGTGATGCGTGAGACACGGGTTGTGAAACATGAGACACAGGTTGTGAGACGTGAGACACGGGTTGTGAGACGTGAGACACAGGTTGTGAGACGTGAGACACAGGTTATTTGACGTGGAACACAAGTTATGTGACGTGAAACACAAGTAATGTGACGTGAAACACAGGTTGTGAGACGTGAGACACAGGTTATGTGACGTGAGACACAGGTTGTGTGACGTGAGACACAGGTTGTGTGACGTGAGACACAGGTTGTGTGACGTGACACACAGGTTATGTGACGTCAGACACAGGTTGTGTGACGTGAGACACAGGTTGTGAGACGTAAGACACAGGTTATGTGACGTGAGACACAGGTTGTGAGACGTGAGACACGGGTTGTGAGACTTGAGACACAGGTTATGTGACGTGAGACACAGGTTGTGTGACGTGAGACACAGGTTGTGTGACGTGAGACACAAGTTATGTGACGTGAGACACAGGTTATGTGACGTGAGACACAGGTTGTGAGACGTGAGACACAGGTTATGTGACGTGAGACACAGGTTGTGTGACGTGAGACACAGGTTGTGAGACGTGAGACACAGGTTATGTGACGTGAGCCACAGGTTGTGTGACGTGAGACACAGGTTGTGAGACGTGAGACACAGGTTATGTGACGTGAGACACGGGTTGTATGAAGTGAGACACAGGTTGTGTGACATGAGACACGGGTTGTGTGACGTGAGACACAGGTTGTGTGACATGAGACACGGGTTATGTGACGTGAGACACGGGTTCTGTGACGTGAGACACAGGTTGTGAGACGTGAGACACAGGTTGTGAGACGTGAGACACGGGTTGTGTGACGCGAGACACCGGTTGTGTGACATGAGACACGGGTTGTGAGACGTGAGACACAGGTTGTGAGACGTGAGACACGGGTTGTGAAACGTGAGACACGGGTTGTGGGACGTGAGACACGTTATGTGACGTGAGACACAGGTTATGTGACGTGAGACACAGGTTATGTGATGTGAGACACGGGTTGTGTGAAGTGAGACACAGGTTGTGTGACATGAGACACGGGTTGTGTGACGTGAGACACAGGTTGTGTGACATGAGACACAGGTTGTGTGACGTGAAACACGGGTTGTGAGACGTGAGACACCGGTTGTGAGACGTGAGACACAGGTTGTGAGACGTGAGACACAGGTTGTGTGACGTGAGACACGGGTTGTGTGACGTGAGACACAGGTTGTGAGACGTGAGACACAGGTTGTGAGACGTGAGACACGGGTTGTGAGACGTGAGACACGGGTTGTGTGACGTGAGACACGGGTTGTGAGACGTGAGACACAGGTTGTGAGACGTGAGACACGGGTTGTGAGACGTGAGACACGGGTTGTGTGACGTGAGACACAGGTTGTGTGACATGAGACACGGGTTGTGGCACGTGAGACACAGGTTGTGAGACGTGAGATACGGGTTGTGATGCGTGAGACACAGGTTGTGAAACGTGAGACACGGGTTATGTGACGTGAGACACAGGTTGTGTGGCGTGAAACACAGGTTGTGAGGCGTGATACTTGTGCTGTGGGACGTCAATTGAAGGTTTACGGGTTGTGAGACGTGAGACACAGGTTGTGTGACGTGAGGCACCGGTTGTGTGACATGAGACACGGGTTGTGAGACGTGAGACACAGGTTGTGAGACGTGAGACACGGGTTGTGAAACGTGAGACACAGGTTGTGGGACGTGAGACAGGTTATGTGACGTGAGACACAGGTTATGTGATGTGAGACACAGGTTATGTGACGTGAGACACGGGTTGTGTGAAGTGAGACACAGGTTGTGTGACATGAGACACGGGTTGTGTGACTTGAGACACAGGTTGTGTGACATGAGACACGGTTTGTGTGACGTGAAACACGGGTTGTGAGACGTGAGACACCGGTTGTGAGACGTGAGACACGGGTTGTGAGACATGAGACACGGGTTGTGAGACGTGAGACACCGGTTGTGAGACGTGAGACACAGGTTGTGAGACGTGAGACACGGGTTGTGAGACGTGAGACACGGGTTGTGTGACGTGAGACACAGGTTGTGTGACATGAGACACGGGTTGTGGGACGTGAGACACAGGTTGTGAGACGTGAGAAACGGGTTGTGATGCGTGAGACACAGGTTGTGAAACGTGAGACACGGGTTATGTGACGTGAGACACGGGTTCTGTGACGTGAGACACAGGTTGTGTGACATGAGACACAGGTTGTGTGACGTGAGACACGGGTTGTGTGACGTGAGACACAGGTTGTGTGACATGAGACACGGGTTGTGTGACGTGAAACACAGGTTGTGAGGCGTGATACTTGTGCTGTGGGACGTCAGTTGAAGGTTTAAGGGTGGGGAGGGCTCAGCTAAATATGATACAGTCCCAAGACAAATCTCGATGGCCGTCATCCCCATCCCCACCCCGGTATACTAAATGACCAGTCCCTCAGTAAGTATTTGACAATGTATGCCAAGATGCTGCTAATTAATACATTGGTTTATTCAAACAAACTAAGATTGTCTGATGTCTCTCAATCTTGTCACGGCAGTCCTCTATAAATTATTCTTTAAAGTGCTGCTATATTTTAAACACTTTAAAACGCTCAAAATGTTTTTAAAAAATAATTTATGTTTTGACATCCACAGACTACTTTAAAGTAGTTTTATATTGATTTAGATGCAGTAATTTTACAATAACTTTGAAAACTGATCGTCTTGACACGGCGGACTATAACCAGGAATGTGTAAACATCGTAAATCTAAAGGCTTAGACGTCACTGCAAAAACGTCTTTTCATGCTGAACACAAAACGTACCTCGTCACTTGTCTCACAATGTATAGGTCCAAACATGTTTCGAAATGTGTTCAGCAGTTACACATGTTTAGCGTCTTAACGTGTTAAGATTGAATTCCAGTATTGTCCAGGGTATATTATATACACTGCATTCTGTTCAATCCCCCGATCACAGGATTTTTTAACGATATCATACAATCATATTCATGAACCAAACCAACCTTCAAGGTCGGTGTTATGTTACACAATAACACTGGAAATATTGTTCATAGTGGAACAACTTGTAATTATGAATATGATATGTCTTGATCCGATTACTTGTGAAACCTTATTTTAATAATATACATCTTATTGATATTTGACTTAAGGCCCTATCGTCCTCTTTGCACTTTGTCATAAACACGTTAGATTATTAGGATAATATAGAACGATATGCACTTTGACGTAAACACGTTAGATTATTAGGATAATACACAACGATATGCACTTTGACATAAACACATTAGATTATTAAGATAATACACAACAATATGCACTTTGACGTAAACACGTTAGATTATTAGGATAATACACAACGATATGCACTTTGACGTAAACACGTTAGATTATTAGGATAATACACAACGATATGCACTTTGTCATAAACACGTTAGATTATTAAGATAATACACAACGATATGCACTTTGACGTAAACACATTTCAAACATGTTTTATTGCGGAGAGGCGATACCTCATTTCATGTGTTTAGACCTGACAAATGTTTAGATAGGACATACCAAATGTATATTCCGTTTGCCATTTAAACACATTGTCTAGATCTAAACATATCTGGTATGTGTTTACATTCTACACAGTGTCTGTTGAAAATTAAATGCGTGTTTACTTGTCTGATATCGTTACTCTAAAATTAGGACAAAATATATCTCTATGCTTGTTAAAGAGCAATACCCCTTTCAAACACTTATAACTCTCTTCGAGAACAATAAATGTTTGAGCTTATAAATCTCTTCGAGATCCGGTAGAATAGGTCTTCAGCAACCTATGTTTGCCGTAACAGGCGACCATGCTTGTCGTAAGAGGCGACTTACGGGATCGGGGGGTCAGGCTCGCTGACTTGGTTGATGCATGTCATCGTTTCCCAATTGCTTGGATCGATGTCCAATATGTCAATCACTGGATTGCATGGTCCTGACACGATAATTTACACACCGCCGTCATATTCCTCGAATATTGCTGGGTGCGGCGTTCAACCACAACCAAACAAACAAATCTTCGAGAACAATAACATAGTTGTTACATGTAACACTTCCATTTTTATTTACATCAAGTAAATAAATTGTTGAAACCTAGAAACAATAAATGTAAATTTGTACCTATAAATCATTTGCACTGAGTGTATTTTGGGGCCGGAGGTGAGGTGAGCTAAAATGTTTTTTTAAATATCGCGTTCAAGATTATTTCAGTTATTTTGAGACGTGCGTGCACGTGTGTGTCTGGGTGCTTGTGCCAGTCCGGACTGATGCCGAGTTTATAGTGCTAGTTCACTGAGATACCTTGCCGCAGTTTAACATGAATACCCCACTCAGACACAGTTTTCTGACTCCGAGCCGACGAGTCATTGTTTTAGCCCCTTAATGCCGCGCACCAGGCAGACTAACAACAAGTAACATATTTTATCGTCTTTTGGTATGACGCGGCCGGGAATCGAACCCTGCACCTTCCGCTCTCCGGGCGGACGCTCTACCACTAGACCACGGAGGCGGCCATTTGGAGCTTGAGTCTTTATAGTGAATAAAATCTAACTCTGACGTAGCTGAAGCATTTTACAAGTTTTGGCAACTTTGGAGATATAAATTGTGAAAGAATTTAGTGAGGACACTAGAAATGGGGGATCAGTTTTCAACTTTCTATTTCTTATTGCTATGATAACCTCTATATATCTGTTTGTTTACAACCCCTACTTGGTCTTCTCAAGGTGTGTGAAAACATAACATTATATGTCATAACAAAGACGCATTGTAAGTCATTATAACACTTGTCACGTGCACATAGTCCCGACAAAATGGATCTGCTTGTATATTATTAGACTACATCTAGTCTCTGAAATGAACATATCGTACTGAAAAAGAAAAGTTGTTCAGTTATCTTAATAAAAATATAATAAAAGGGAGCCCAGTGACTCTCTTCATTTTCTGATACTGCAGTAATCTAGACTTGCCAAACATTATAGACTTCCATGTGCTGTATTTGATATATATTTGTATCAGGGTCTGTAAGACAGACTAGTATATTATCTATATCTTTCACTCACTGGACGATTTACAGTAAACTACGGTCATAACGAACTCAAAGGTACCACTAATGTTAGTTCGGTATAACCGTAGTTCGTAATAAGCATATATACAATATTCAATGTATATACATTATTTGGCTGGGACAAAAAGCAGTTCGTTATATCCGTCAGTTCGTTATAAGCGTGTTCGTTATAAACAAAGCTTACTGTATTAAAAGAATCACCTTTTTATTATTCACAATTTTCTTTTTAAACTCACAAATGACGTAAATCTTTTGGAACTACTCCCGGTGTGATTCCGGGTGATATAGGTCCCCCAGTCACCTCGTCTGTCGTAAGAGGCGAGGCTGATACATGTCATAGTATGCCATCTTATCCGTGTCAATCACTGAATTGTTTGGTCAAGACTCGGTTATATACAGACCGTCTTCAACCAGCTGCAGTATTGTTGAGTGTGGCGTTATACAACTTACATATAAATTGAACATATGTGCAATAACAACCTTTAATTTGAATAGACAGTAACACGTCCCGGAACGCTCGGACACACACACGCACACACACACACACACACGCGCACGCACACACATACACGCACGCACGCACGCGCAAAGATACACACAGACACACACACGCACACACACACACACACACACACACACGCACGCACGCACACACACACACACACGCAAGCACACACATACACGCACGCACGCACGCGCAAAGATACACACACAAAGGCACACAGGGAAACAGACTGAGACACAGACACAAACACGCAGACACACACACACACATAGAAAGACATGGCCACATGGTCACACACACACACACACACACGCACGCACGCAGACACACACACGCAGACACACACGCAGACACACACACACACACAGAAAGACATGGTCACACACACACACACACGCAGACACACATACACACACATAAAAAGACATGGTCACACACACACACATACACACACATAGAAAAAACATGGTCACACACACACGCAGACACACACACACACATAGAAAAACATGGTCACACACACACACGCAGACACACACACACACACATAGAGAAGACATGGTCACACACACACACGCACGCACACACACACGCAGACACACACGCATAGAAAGACATGGTCACACACACATACACACACACATAGAAAGACATTGTCACACACACACACACACACACACACACACACACACACACACACACACACTATACGAGTGCAATAACCTTGAACCCGACATTAAATCATATCGCACCTCACCTCACCTCACCTCACCTCACCTCACCTCACCTCACCACACCTCATCTCGTCTGTATGTACTTGTAACGCTCATGAAAGACACTCGACACAGCGGCTCATAACACTTGTAACGTGACCCTGCGGTATATGTCACGTCGTCTCGCGACCAACTTAATTATTTTCTATGATTACCTTCAAAACAGATAACATTTTACATTTGAAACAAGAATATGCAACTAGAATTTCAACTTTTGTTCTGAAACCTTCAGGGAAAAATTCATAATGCATCCGAGGGACGGAGAATATTCTAATTTCTAGTTTTCTAGAACATGTTTAACTGCACGAGACAATCCCGGACACATCGTTGAGTCTTTTGTAACCAGTCATTACAATGTCACGTAAACCACCGCGTCACGTGCACACATACAGGATTGGTCTTACGTTGCCTTGATTTAAATCTAAACAGCATAACATAGGTTGATGAATACAGACGTGTTTTCCTGAATTGTCTATCCGGGAAGTCCTGCGCGTGGATGCGTTCGCGCAGACAAGCTTGTCAACGGCTCGCCCATTGCTATTCATGCTGAGAGCCTCACGACCATTAACACACAGAGACTGTGCAAGTTTGAAGTAGTTTTTTTATCCCAAGTAGGTTATGTATGCATGTTCTCTTGTATTGTCACGGTTAAACATGTTGCCAGTTCATTCTGAAGGACATTTGGGAGTATGACAGGAGTTAGCTCACCTGGCCAGATGGATTCTACACAGGGCGAGTCCCTTAACTGATTTAATTCTCTGAACTGAGTGAGTGAATATGGTTTAATGCCGCTTTGAGTATTGTTCAAGTAATATCACAGTGTGGAACACCCTATATGAGCTTCACACATTGTACCCATTTTGGTATCCGAACCTGGGTCTTCGGCGTGACGAGCGAACGTTTGAACCACTAGACTACCCTACCACTACCTTCTCTGAACTGAATGAAGGAATGGACCTGGATCTTTATGGGCCTCAGGGTTTCAACACCACAGCTGTGCCTGTGGGTTTCAACACCACATCTGTGCCTGTGGATTTCAACACCACATCTGTGCCTGTGGATTTCAACACCACATCTGTGCCTGTGGGATTCAACATCACAGCTGTGCCTGTGGATTTCAACACCACATCTGTGTCTCTGGGTTTCAACACCACATCTGTGCCTGTGGGTTTCAACACCATATCTGTGTCTGTGGGTTTCAACACCACAGCTGTGCCTGTGGGTTTCAACACCACAGCTGTGCCTGTGGGTTTCAACACCACAGCTGTGCCTATGGATTTCAACACCACATCTGTGCCTGTGGGTTTCAACACCAGAGCTGTGACTTTGGGTTTCAACACTACAGCTGTGTGCCTGTTGGTTTCAACACCACATCTGTGCCTGTGGGTTTCAACACCACATCTGTGTCTCTGAGTTTCAAAGAACAGCTGATCCTGTGGATTTCAACACCACAGCTGTGCCTGTGGATTTCAACACAACAGCTGTGTGCCTGTGGGATTCAACATCACAGCTGTGCCTGTGGATTTCAACACCACATCTGTGCCTGTGGGTTTCAACACCACATCTGTGCCTGTGGGTTTCAACACCACATCTGTGTCTGTGGGTTTCAACACCACAGCTGTGCCTGTGGGTTTCAACACCACAGCTGTGCCTGTGGGTTTCAACACCACAGCTGTGCCTATGGATTTCAACACCACATCTGTGCCTGTGGGTTTCAACACCAGAGCTGTGACTTTGGGTTTCAACACTACAGCTGTGTGCCTGTTGGTTTCAACACCACATCTGTGCCTGTGGGTTTCAACACCACATCTGTGTCTCTGGGTTTCAAAGAACAGCTGATCCTGTGGATTTCAACACCACAGCTGTGCCTGTGGATTTCAACACAACAGCTGTGTGCCTGTGGATTTCAACACAACAGCTGTGCCTGTGGGTTTCAACACCACAGCTGTGCCTTTGGGTTTCAACACCACAGCTGTGCCTGTGGATTTCAACACCACAGCTGTGCATGTGGATTTCAACACCACAGCTGTGCCTGTGGGTTTTAACACCACAGCTGTGCCTTTGGGTTTCAACACCACAGCTGTGCCTTTTGGTTTCAACACAACAGCTGTGCCTGTGGATTTCAACACCACATCTGTGCCTGTGGGTTTCAACACCACAGCTGTGCATGTGGATTTCAACACCACATCTGTGCCTGTTGGTTTCAACACCACAGCTGTGCCTGTGGGATTCAACACTTTAGCTGGGTCTGTGGATGTCAAGACAATATCTGTGTTTCGGCAAAATGGTACACGATTCAGACCTGCATCACTTTTCATCCACTTTTAAAATAGGAAAAAACTCACTCACTCACTCACTCACTCTACCCTACCCTACCGCTCCCTTCTCTGAACTGAATTAAGGAATGGGATTGGATCCTTATGGGCCTTATCCTCACTCACTCACTCACTCACTCACTCACTCACTCACTCACTCACATATCCACTCAGTGAAAGGGCATTGATCTCAATAACTGTAGTCAGTGGTAAGTCTGATCCATCATTGACAGACCGACGTCACAGAGCTGGAATATTGATGAGTGCGGTGATGAACAAACAAACAAACCAACAAACAATATACAATGAACCAACACACACCCGGACTGTTAAATCACTCCGAGCAGCACATTTATGTGACAGATATATCCTGTTGATGTTGCAAGTTGACAATAGCACTAAGAGAAGATGAATAAGATATGTGACACTTCAGTTTTCTCAAGCGGATACCACCGAGACAAGAGTCGGACTGTCCACTGCCCACTCATACGCCGAGAGGCATTAATCACCAGCGAATTGAATCACAACCTCTGACGGATTTGAGAGCGATATTTTAATAACGGGATTAACAAAGGGACGTAACTGTCTCCCCAACAACAGGATGATGGATGGAGTTCCGTTTTATCATTGTGTCCAGTAATCAGGTCACAGTGACATTTGACGTTTGTCGCTATTATATCTCATTGCAAATATAACATACACACGTTGCACGCCCCGCTCGATTCGTGACCAACTCGTGTTATTCTGGGACAAGCCGAATAGTGACTCGTGCCCCTCTCTAGGCCATTTTCTGCGACTGGGTTCCGTCTAAGCGCAAACGGGCATAACTAAAAAAATGTCAACTCGTTGCGTAATGATTTCCCATATGTCATATATATTCCAGATGCTATTTAAGACACATCGGGACTTAATTGTATTATACAGTATGATTGAACACGTTTAACTGTGTCTTGGGTATATATTTAGATGCAAGACATATGTAAAATCAAAAATTATATCTGAGGGATTCTTTGACGAAGAACTTGAAATCATACGCGCAATCTGATTGGTTTGTCGTATTTTCGCGCATAACATTCATCGATAAGGGGACGAGTCTTCTTGCAGGTTCCGGAAAGGGGCGAATGGTGACGAATGGCCCCGCTCTCCAGTCATTGTGATAGGTCAGTTTGATATAATAATTTCAAGTACGCCGTCAGTACACTTGGTATCTTGTATCTCATGAGTTGATAAAAGCGGAAAAACTCCGAGGCTTGCCGCGTCATACCAAAATACGTTAAAAGATGGTACTTGTTGTTACCCTGTCTGGCGCTTGGCATTAAGGGGCTAAAACAAGGACTGGTCGGCTCGGAGTCAGTATACTGTGTCTGAGTGGGGTATTCATGTTAAACTGCGGCATGGTATCTCAGTGGGCTAGCACTATAAATCGGCATCAGTCCGGACTAGTACAAGCAGCCACACACACAGACACACGTGCATGCACGTCGCTATATAAATGTAATAATCTTGAACGCGACGTTTACCCCATTCCACCTCACCTCACTTAAAGATTCAAACCAGCTCTAGTGCGTTATACGCGAGGACACAACCCAGCGGGCCACTTGTCATCAGCTGTGATGACCTCCCTCCTAGTACGTGAAGCTGTGTAACACTGTACCCCGGCGTGACCAGTGGCTAAATCACCACGGCATGTCAATGATGACAGACGAAACAACAGTTTAGCTTCCGGTAAATCCAATATGTTTGAATCTAACCGTATTGCCGTCTTGGAAAACATGTTTGCTTCACGTTTTACAAAAGTTAACAAATGCTTGTTGTGCATGCTGGAACACCTTGTTGCTCCTAGCATGAATTGAGCGATATATTTAAGTCGGAGAGATAGAGAGAGTGAGAGAGAGAGTGAGAGAGATAGAGAGCAAAGGCTAGAGACAGAATGAGAGACAGATAGGGAGAGAAACAAAGATACAGAGTGAGAGACACGGAGAGACAGAGAGAGTGAGACAAACGGGGAGAAACAGAGAGAGTGAGAGACACGAAACCGGAGAGAGACAGAGAGAGAGAGAGAGACGCGGAGAGGGAAAATGTTTGTATGCTGGAAACTGGACGATAATAACTCTCTGGTCTGTATGACAACGCCGTATGTTCATGCAACACCGTGTTGCTCCTTGAATGAGTTGAGTGGGGATATATTCGAGTCGGTAAGAGAGAGAAAAAGAGAGACAGAGAGAGAGACACAAAGTGAGAGACACACTGACTCAGAGAGACACGGTGAGAAACACAGGGGAGAAACAGAGACACACAGAGTGATATAGAGTGAGAGACACAGAGAGAGAGAGACACAAAGTGAGTGACACACTCACTCAGAGAGACAAAGTGAGAAACACAGGGGAGAAACAGAGACACACACAGAGAGTGATATAGAGTGAGAGACAGAGAGAGAGACACAAAGTGAGAGACACACTCACTCAGAGAGACAAAGTGAGAAACACAGGAGAGAAACAGAGACACACAGAGAGTGATATAGAGTGAGAGACAGAGAGAGAGACACAAAGTGAGAGACACACTGACTCAGAGAGACACGGGGAGAAACACAGGGGAGAAACAGAGACACACAGAGTGATATAGAGTGAGAGACAGAGAGAGAGACACACAAAGTGAGAGACACACTGACTCAGAGAGACACGGAGAGAAACACAGGAGAGAAACAGACACACACAGAGTGATATAGAGTGAGAGACACAGAGAGAGACACAAAGTGAGAGACACACTGACTCAGAGAGACACGGAGAGAAACACAGGAGAGAAACAGACACACACAGAGAGTGATATAGAGTGAGAGACACAGAGAGTGATATAGAGTGAGAGACACAGAGAGAGACACAAAGTGAGAGACACACTCACTCAGAGAGACACGGAGAGAAACACAGGAGAGAAACAGAGACACACAGAGAGTGATATAAAGTGAGAGACACAGAGAGTGATATAGAGTGAGAGACACAGAGAGAGACACACAGTGAGAGACAGAGAGTGAGAGATAAAGTGAGAGACACACTGACTCAGAGAGACACGGTGAGAAACACAGGAGAGAAACAGAGACACACACAGAGTGATATAGAGTGAGAGACAGAGAGACACACAAAGTGAGAGACACACTCACTCAGAGATACACGGTGAGAAACACAGGAGAGAAACAGAGACACACACAGAGTGATATAGAGTGAGAGACAGAGAGAGAGACACACAAAGTGAGAGACACACTCACTCAGAGAGACACAGTGAGAAACACAGGGGAGAAACAGAGACACACAGAGTGTGATATAGAGTGAGAGACAGAGAGAGAGACACACAAAGTGAGAGACACACTCACTCAGAGAGACACAGTGAGAAACACAGGGGAGAAACAGAGACACACAGAGTGATATAGAGTGAGAGACAAAGAGAGACACACAAAGTGAGAGACACACTGATTCAGAGAGACACAGTGAGAAACACAGGGGAGAAACAGAGACACACAGAGTGATATAGAGTGAGAGACAGAGAGAGAGACACAAAGTGAGAGACACACTGACTCAGAGAGACACGGTGAGAAACACAGGGCAGAAACAGAGACACACACAGAGTGATATAGAGTGAGAGACACAGAGAGTGATATAGAGTGAGAGACACAGAGAGAGACACACAGAGTGATATAGAGTGAGAGACAGAGAGAGAGACACAAAGTGAGAGACACACTCACTCAGAGAGACACAGTGAGAAACACAGGGGAGAAACAGAGACACACAGAGAGTGATATAGAGTGAGAGACAGAGAGAGAGACACAAAGTGAGAGACACACTGACTCAGAGAGACACAGTGAGAAACACAGGGGAGAAACAGAGACACACAGAGAGTGATATAGAGTGAGAGACACAGAGAGTGATATAGAGTGAGAGACACACTCACTCAGAGAGACACGGTGAGAAACACAGGGGAGAAACAGAGACACACACAGAGTGATATAGAGTGAGAGACACAGAGAGTGATATAGAGTGAGAGACACAGAGAGAGACACACAGTGAGAGACAGAGAGAGAGACACAAAGTGAGTGACACACTGACTCAGAGAGACACAGTGAGAAACACAGGGGAGAAACAGAGACACACACAGAGTGATATAGAATGAGAGACAGAGAGAGAGACACAAAGTGAGAGACACACTCACTCAGAGAGACACAGTGAGAAACACAGGGGAGAAACAGAGACACACAGAGTGATATAGAGTGAGAGACAGAGAGAGACACACAAAGTGAGAGACACACTCACTCAGAGAGACACAGTGAGAAACACAGGGGAGAAACAGAGACACACAGAGAGTGATATAGAATGAGAGACAGAGAGAGAGACACAAAGTGAGAGACACACTGACTCAGAGAGACACGGTGAGAAACACAGGGGAGAAACAGAGACACACACAGAGTGATATAGAGTGAGAGACACAGAGAGTGATATAGAGTGAGAGACACAGAGAGAGACACACAGTGAGAGACAGAGAGAGAGACACAAAGTGAGTGACACACTCACTCAGAGAGACACAGTGAGAAACACAGGGGAGAAACAGAGACACACACAGAGTGATATAGAATGAGAGACAGAGAGAGAGACACAAAGTGAGAGACACACTCACTCAGAGAGACACAGTGAGAAACACAGGGGAGAAACAGAGACACACAGAGTGATATAGAGTGAGAGACAGAGAGAGACACACAAAGTGAGAGACACACTCACTCAGAGAGACACAGTGAGAAACACAGGGGAGAAACAGAGACACACAGAGAGTGATATAGAATGAGAGACAGAGAGAGAGACACAAAGTGAGAGACACACTGACTCAGAGAGACACGGTGAGAAACACAGGGGAGAAACAGAGACACACACAGAGTGATATAGAGTGAGAGACACAGAGAGTGATATAGAGTGAGAGACACAGAGAGAGACACACAGTGAGAGACAGAGAGAGAGACACAAAGTGAGTGACACACTGACTCAGAGAGACACAGTGAGAAACACAGGGGAGAAACAGAGACACACACAGAGTGATATAGAATGAGAGACAGAGAGAGAGACACAAAGTGAGAGACACACTGACTCAGAGAGACACGGTGAGAAACACAGGAGAGAAGCAGAGACACACACGCAGAGTGATATAGAGTGAGAGACAGAGAGAGAGAGAGAGTCACAGAAACAGAGAGAGTGAGAGAGAGAGTCACAGAAACAGAGAGAGTGAGAGAGAGAGACACAGAGACAGTAAGAACGAGAGAGAGGGCAGAGGGGTGAAGGGTGAAGGAGACGTTGAGCGGCATAAGATTCCTCTGAGAGATAACGGCACATTTGTGCATGATGATAACATTCCCAGTGGGGGAATGCGTGAGACAAGGTGACTGTGAGAGTAAAGGGGGAATACCTGCGATTGTCTTACGGCAATAACATTAAATTTTAAAGGCGGGGGACAAAGAGAGATAAAAGGAACAAAAATCCATGACAACTATTTAGTATACAGAGGGAAAGAGGAATGCGTGGTGCACAGAGAGAGAGAGGGGAATGCGTGGTGCACTGAGAAGGGGAGGAATGCGAGGTGCACAGAGAGGAAGAGGAATGCGAGATTTACAAAGATGAAGAGGAATGCGTGGTGCACAGAGAGGAAGAGGAATGCGAGGTGCACAGAAAGGAAGAGGAATGCGAGATGGAGACAGAGGAAGAGGAATGCGAGGGGCACAGAAAGAAAGAGGAATGCGAGATGGAGGAAGAGGAATGCGAGGAGCACTGAGAAGAGGAAGAATGCGTTGTGCACAGAGCGGAAGAGGAATGCGAGGAACACTGAGAAGAAGAGGAATGCGTGGTTCACAGAAAGGAAAAGGAAACACTGACTCAGAGAGACACGGAGAGAAACACAGGAGAGAAACAGACACACACAGAGTGATATAGAGTGAGAGACACAGAGAGAGACACAAAGTGAGAGACACACTGACTCAGAGAGACACGGAGAGAAACACAGGAGAGAAACAGACACACACAGAGAGTGATATAGAGTGAGAGACACAGAGAGTGATATAGAGTGAGAGACACAGAGAGAGACACAAAGTGAGAGACACACTCACTCAGAGAGACACGGAGAGAAACACAGGAGAGAAACAGAGACACACAGAGAGTGATATAAAGTGAGAGACACAGAGAGTGATATAGAGTGAGAGACACAGAGAGAGACACACAGTGAGAGACAGAGAGTGAGAGATAAAGTGAGAGACACACTGACTCAGAGAGACACGGTGAGAAACACAGGAGAGAAACAGAGACACACACAGAGTGATATAGAGTGAGAGACAGAGAGACACACAAAGTGAGAGACACACTCACTCAGAGATACACGGTGAGAAACACAGGAGAGAAACAGAGACACACACAGAGTGATATAGAGTGAGAGACAGAGAGAGAGACACACAAAGTGAGAGACACACTCACTCAGAGAGACACAGTGAGAAACACAGGGGAGAAACAGAGACACACAGAGTGTGATATAGAGTGAGAGACAGAGAGAGAGACACACAAAGTGAGAGACACACTCACTCAGAGAGACACAGTGAGAAACACAGGGGAGAAACAGAGACACACAGAGTGATATAGAGTGAGAGACAAAGAGAGACACACAAAGTGAGAGACACACTGATTCAGAGAGACACAGTGAGAAACACAGGGGAGAAACAGAGACACACAGAGTGATATAGAGTGAGAGACAGAGAGAGAGACACAAAGTGAGAGACACACTGACTCAGAGAGACACGGTGAGAAACACAGGGCAGAAACAGAGACACACACAGAGTGATATAGAGTGAGAGACACAGAGAGTGATATAGAGTGAGAGACACAGAGAGAGACACACAGAGTGATATAGAGTGAGAGACAGAGAGAGAGACACAAAGTGAGAGACACACTCACTCAGAGAGACACAGTGAGAAACACAGGGGAGAAACAGAGACACACAGAGAGTGATATAGAGTGAGAGACAGAGAGAGAGACACAAAGTGAGAGACACACTGACTCAGAGAGACACAGTGAGAAACACAGGGGAGAAACAGAGACACACAGAGAGTGATATAGAGTGAGAGACACAGAGAGTGATATAGAGTGAGAGACACACTCACTCAGAGAGACACGGTGAGAAACACAGGGGAGAAACAGAGACACACACAGAGTGATATAGAGTGAGAGACACAGAGAGTGATATAGAGTGAGAGACACAGAGAGAGACACACAGTGAGAGACAGAGAGAGAGACACAAAGTGAGTGACACACTGACTCAGAGAGACACAGTGAGAAACACAGGGGAGAAACAGAGACACACACAGAGTGATATAGAATGAGAGACAGAGAGAGAGACACAAAGTGAGAGACACACTCACTCAGAGAGACACAGTGAGAAACACAGGGGAGAAACAGAGACACACAGAGTGATATAGAGTGAGAGACAGAGAGAGACACACAAAGTGAGAGACACACTCACTCAGAGAGACACAGTGAGAAACACAGGGGAGAAACAGAGACACACAGAGAGTGATATAGAATGAGAGACAGAGAGAGAGACACAAAGTGAGAGACACACTGACTCAGAGAGACACGGTGAGAAACACAGGGGAGAAACAGAGACACACACAGAGTGATATAGAGTGAGAGACACAGAGAGTGATATAGAGTGAGAGACACAGAGAGAGACACACAGTGAGAGACAGAGAGAGAGACACAAAGTGAGTGACACACTGACTCAGAGAGACACAGTGAGAAACACAGGGGAGAAACAGAGACACACACAGAGTGATATAGAATGAGAGACAGAGAGAGAGACACAAAGTGAGAGACACACTCACTCAGAGAGACACAGTGAGAAACACAGGGGAGAAACAGAGACACACAGAGTGATATAGAGTGAGAGACAGAGAGAGACACACAAAGTGAGAGACACACTCACTCAGAGAGACACAGTGAGAAACACAGGGGAGAAACAGAGACACACAGAGAGTGATATAGAATGAGAGACAGAGAGAGAGACACAAAGTGAGAGACACACTGACTCAGAGAGACACGGTGAGAAACACAGGGGAGAAACAGAGACACACACAGAGTGATATAGAGTGAGAGACACAGAGAGTGATATAGAGTGAGAGACACAGAGAGAGACACACAGTGAGAGACAGAGAGAGAGACACAAAGTGAGTGACACACTGACTCAGAGAGACACAGTGAGAAACACAGGGGAGAAACAGAGACACACACAGAGTGATATAGAATGAGAGACAGAGAGAGAGACACAAAGTGAGAGACACACTGACTCAGAGAGACACGGTGAGAAACACAGGAGAGAAGCAGAGACACACACGCAGAGTGATATAGAGTGAGAGACAGAGAGAGAGAGAGAGTCACAGAAACAGAGAGAGTGAGAGAGAGAGTCACAGAAACAGAGAGAGTGAGAGAGAGAGACACAGAGACAGTAAGAACGAGAGAGAGGGCAGAGGGGTGAAGGGTGAAGGAGACGTTGAGCGGCATAAGATTCCTCTGAGAGATAACGGCACATTTGTGCATGATGATAACATTCCCAGTGGGGGAATGCGTGAGACAAGGTGACTGTGAGAGTAAAGGGGGAATACCTGCGATTGTCTTACGGCAATAACATTAAATTTTAAAGGCGGGGGACAAAGAGAGATAAAAGGAACAAAAATCCATGACAACTATTTAGTATACAGAGGGAAAGAGGAATGCGTGGTGCACAGAGAGAGAGAGGGGAATGCGTGGTGCACTGAGAAGGGGAGGAATGCGAGGTGCACAGAGAGGAAGAGGAATGCGAGATTTACAAAGATGAAGAGGAATGCGTGGTGCACAGAGAGGAAGAGGAATGCGAGGTGCACAGAAAGGAAGAGGAATGCGAGATGGAGACAGAGGAAGAGGAATGCGAGGGGCACAGAAAGAAAGAGGAATGCGAGATGGAGGAAGAGGAATGCGAGGAGCACTGAGAAGAGGAAGAATGCGTTGTGCACAGAGCGGAAGAGGAATGCGAGGAACACTGAGAAGAAGAGGAATGCGTGGTTCACAGAAAGGAAAAGGAATTCGAGATGCACAGAGAGGAAGAGGAATGCGAGGAGCACTGAGAAGAAGAGGGATGCGTGGTGCACAGAGAAGAAGAGGAATGCGTGGTGCACTGAGAGGAGTAATAAAATGCGAGGAGCACAGAGGGGAAGAGGCTGCAATCCACGGCAAGTGGTTGGGATCGTGCTGAGGAGGGCGATATGGCAGAACGAGGTCTGCACACTTTCATATTAACCCCTCCGCGCATCGTTACCCGCTAAATCTTCCAAATTGAGTGAATAATTTGTTTCGCATGTTCCCGTCAGGACCCGGGGGTCACCGCGGGCTGTCCGGCCTCCTGGGGGTGTCATGTGACATGCGACCTCGCCGCGCTACACCTGGCTGACGGCTCCCAGGTGAGCATTCACCAGTTGTCTCACAGCGAGACGGATCATCTCCCCAAGCACGTCCTGGATGACTCGTTAACTCTCGCTGCCCCGCGACTGTCATAAACAAGCACCAACATCTTTAACACCTGTACGGAGGAACAGACGCGCTTTGGAACCTAAGTGGTAATAGTGCGAAGTGAGGGCGTTACTGATCGCCCGTCCATTGCGAGAAGTGTAACGGTACCATGGCGAATGGGGTAGAACGCATGGACTTTTCTGACATGCAAAAGTACAACAGTGAATCCAATTTGACAAATGGAAAGAAAAGCAAAAGCGGAGGATGTTACGTCAGCACGGCAGTTGGGTTTGTGATGGTGCTGTTGGTCATCGCGATCGCCGTAGGAGTGGGGTTGATTGTTCATTTTGCGGGGGGTCAGAAGACAGTTGTGTGTAGCTGGCCCCCCTCTAACGGGGCACAGCAGGGGCAACAGGGGGGGAACAAGGGGACGACGACCCCCAGCTCGGATTATGTGAAGACCCAGTGCAAGAAGATGGCCATGGATGGGGAGATGGAAATATGTAAGTATCATATTCATAAAATATAGGTATTGATAATTAATAGTTAATTATTAATCAGCGGAATTACTGGGTTACGGTGTCGTCAAATGAAAATTCCCCAGTGTAATACTAGTATAAGTACAATTTTAAATTTTGATTAATGTAGGGGCGCGGCGTCCTCGTGGAATACACGTATATACCCCTTACGTCATGCGCGCATTGCAAAGAGCAGTTAAAGAAAGTATTGAAGTTGACTTTGTCAAACATATGGACTTGTATGCGTTTTGTTGCACTGGAGGCCTAGGGACTACAGTTACAGATTGTCATACCAGACGCTGCGTGTTGAATGGGGCCCCCCTGGGCCGACAATTGTCGCCTTCTGTACTCACGAATATTCACAATGGTTGTTTAACGTCCCTAGCCATGTTCCGAATAACATGTACGTTGTATTTTCATTTAAAGCGAACGATCGTGTATAAAGCATGTGTATTGAGCGTAGACATGCTCAAGCATTGTCAGTGTCAGTTTTGTTTGTAACGAACTCAAGGGGACAGATGAAATCACTTCGTTATAACGTAATGATGCTGCCGTATATAGGTCACTGTTACAAATGCTCATGTGTGTCTTCCGAAAATATGTTTCAAAATGTGTTCTTATTTTGACCAGTTTGTTGTTTGACGGGGGCGGCTGGGTAGCCTAGTGGTTAAAGCGTTCCGTCGTAAGGCTGAAGTTCCTGGTTCGATTCCCAACATTGGTATGATGTGTGAAGCCTTCTGGTGTCCCCCATTGTGATATTGCTGGAATGTAGCTAAAAGCGGCGTAAAGCCATACTCACTCACTCAATTGTTGTTTAACGCAACACCCAGCAATATTCCAGCTACATGACGGCGGTCTGTAAATAATTAAGTCTGGGCCTGACAATCCTGTGATTGTTAACCTTCCAGCGCCTCACAGGCAGCTTGGGTTGTATACTCCCCAGGGAGCTGAGAATGAAAATCGAGTGCTCACTGATCCATTGACCGGGGTAATAATAGTGTAGCGCTATGAGCATCCACTTGGTGAATGGAATCTGACGCATTATACATGCACTAATTATGATTATGATTATGATTATTATTATTAAGCAACGTCCCCCAATGCTGAGGTAAGGTAACACACAATCAACCAAGTCACCGAGGCTGACCAGCTTCTGGGTCTCTGTTCTTACCAGCAATACCCACGTTTTGTTTTCTCGTTAAGAATGGAATCATCCTGTTTATTTTAAAAACAGAAATATTAACTGGAAACGACCACAGCAGTTTGACGCGGAGTGGTGTTGTGCCATTTCCTACATTCCTGGGTGTCCGCGTGTGTGCTCGTTCCGGGCAACTTCTGTGTGCTTACTGTCAACACCCTTCCAGTCACCAGACCTTGCTCAGCGCTAGCTGTGTTGGTTTGATCGGGCTGGGTTTCCTCATGATATCAACCACTGGTTGCACGCGGCCCTGTGTATAGCGCACAGGTCACAAAACACGTGAAGTTAAGAAACGTCGGTCGCGGATAGTAGTTGGGTGGGTACCCGGTAGGATGTGACGGTGATGTCACTGTCAACATTCGAGCGCCTCACAGGCTATTGGAGATCTTTACGTATTTTCTCAGTATTTCTCACGAACTTGATGGTTCTTCGAGGTCAACAACAACTAGAACCTGTTGCCCCCGATCCGTCATTCTTTACAACGAAATTGCTTAAGGGATGCATGTATTTTATCTTGTACAATGTACAGTATTCCACATGCATGTACATAACTACCTTAGCCTACCTGCTTATAGGTACACTTTATGCGTTCGTCCTAGGGCTACTGCTTGCTATTTTCTGAATATTTGATTCAATTATCTCTCACCCAATCAGACAAAAATTGAGGTTAGAACGCGTACTGTGTGAACTTTCACCAGAATGTGCTTCATGGTTTAAGTTGGGCAACGCACTGCAGGTCACATTTGGATAGTACAATGTGGATGGAGCCCAAACCCAGGTCACCCAGGATTCAGAAAGGGATGCGTGGGGTTGGTTTCAGGTGCGTGGGGTTGGTTTCAGGTGCGTGGGGTTGGTGTCAGGTGCGTGGGGTTGGTGTCAGGTGCGTGGGGTTGGTTTCAGGTGCGTGGGGTTGGTTTCAGGTGCGTGGGGTTGGTGTCAGGTGCGTGGGGTTGGTGTCAGGTGCGTGGGGTTGGTTTCAGGTGCGTGGGGTTGGTGTCAGGTGCGTGGGGTTGGTGTCAGGTGCGTGGGGTTGGTTTCAGGTGCGTGGGGTTGGTTTCAGGTGCGGGGGGATGGTGTCAGGTGCGTGGGGTTGGTGTCAGGTGCGTGGGTTGCTGGTGGATTGGTGAGAGTTGGTGTAAGGCGGGATGAGTTTAATCTGAGGCGGGGTGAGTTGGTGTGAGGCGGGGTGAGTTGGTGTTAGGCGGAGTGAGTTGGTGTTAGGCGGGGTGAGTTGGTGTTAGGCGGAGTGAGTTGGTGTTAGGCGGAGTGAGTTGGTGTGAGGCGGGGTGAGTTGGTGTGAGGCTGGGTGAGTTGGTGTGAGGCGGGGTGAGTTGGTGTGAGGCGGGGTTAGTTGGTGTGAGTTGGTGTGAGGCGGGGTGAGTTGGTGTGAGGCGGGGTGAGTTGGTGTGAGGCGGGGTTAGTTGGTGTGAGTTGGTGTGAGGCGGGGTGAGTTGGTGTTAGGCGGAGTGAGTTGGTGTTAGGCGGAGTGAGTTGGTGTGAGGCGGGGTGAGTTGGTGTGAGGCGGGGTGAGTTGGTGTGAGGCGGGGTTAGTTGGTGTGAGTTGGTGTGAGTTGGTGTGAGGCGGGGTGAGTTGGTGTGAGGCGGACTGAGTTGGTGTGAGTTGGTGTGAGGCGGAGTGAGTTGGTCTGAGTTGGTGTGAGACGGACTGAGTTGGTGTGAGACGGAGTGAGTTGGTGTGAGACGGAGTGAGTTGGTTTGATGCGGGGTGAGTTGGTGTGAGTTGGTGTGAGACGGAGTGAGTTGGTGTGAGTTGGTGTGAGACGGAGTGAGTTGGTGTGAGGCGGTGTGAGTTGGTGTGAGTTGGTGTGAGACGGAGTGAGTTGGTGTGAGTTGGTGTGAGACGGAGTGAGTTGGTGTGAGGCGGAGTGAGTTGGTGTGAGGCGGGGTGAGTTGGTGTGAGTTGGTGTGAGACGGAGTGAGTTGGTGTGAGTTGGTGTGAGACGGAGTGAGTTGGTGTGAGGCGGGGTGAGTTGGTGTGAGTTGGTGTGAGACGGAGTGAGTTGGTGTGAGTTGGTGTGAGACGGAGTGAGTTGGTGTGAGTTGGTGTGAGACGGAGTGAGTTGGTGTGAGGCGGAGTGAGTTGGTGTGAGGCGGTGGGAGTTGGTGTGAGACGGAGTGAGTTGGTGTGAGTTGGTGTGAGGCGGAGTGAGTTGGTGTGAGGCGGAGTGAGTTGGTCTGAGTTGGTGTGAGACGGAGTGAGTTGGTGTGAGTTGGTGTGAGGCGGAGTGAGTTGGTGTGAGTTGGTGTGAGACGGACTGAGTTGGTGTGAGACGGAGTGAGTTGGTGTGAGACGGAGTGAGTTGGTGTGAGTTAGGGTGAGGCGGGGCGAGTTGGTGTGAGGCGGAGTGAGTTGGTGGGAGGCGGAGTGAGTTGGTGTGAAGTGGGTGCGTCAGTGTGAGGTCGGTGGAGTACAAGTCGGCTGGAGTGAGGTGAGGGGTGGATGGGTATGAGGTGAGGGGTGGGTGGGTTGGTGTGAGGCGGGGTGAGTTGGTGTGAGGCGGAGTGAGTTGGTGTGAAGTGGGTGCGTGAGGAGTGAGGTGAGGGGTGGGTGGGTGTGAGGTGAGGGGTGGGTGGGTTGGTGTGAGGCGGGGTGAGTTGGTGTGAGGCGGGGTGATTTGGTGTGAGGCGGGATGAGTTGGCTGGGTTTTGAAGTGGGGTGGGTTGACGTAGGCTGGTTCCTAGTCGGTTGGTATGAGTTGATTGGTTGGTTTGTTGTTTAACGCCGCTCTCAGCAATATTCCAGGTATATGACGGCGATCTGTAAATAATCGAGTCTGGACCAAACAATCCAGTGATTAATATCATGAGCAGCGATCAACGCAATTGGGATTGATGACATGCATCAACCAAGTCAGCGAGCCTGACCACCCGATCCCGTTAGTCGCCTTTTACGGCAAGCGTAGTCACCTTTTACGGCAAGTATGGGTTGCTGAAGACCTATTCTACCCTGGTTCTTCACGGGTCGGTATGAGGTGATGAGTGGGTGGGTTAGTGTGAGGTGAGGGGTTTATATTTTCCGCTCTTTTCTTCGTTTGTGTTACACAAAACTTAAGGAATGAAGTATTCTTATCCTCAACGACCTGACCCTACCGCTGAACACAAGGTGCGTTGCATTATCGCCTATTGCAACCATTGCCCTGACGTCACTTGAAAGTAACATGAAATATTGAGATTACAAACATGAACATCAGATAGCTTGTTATATCAAGTGGTTCAGGATGCAGGTGTACACGTCAGTACAACGTCAACACGTGGTGAAAGTAACAGGATATATAAGGTTTTTTTATAGTTGTTACGTACGTGTGCTTGGAGTGAGTGAGTGAGTGAGTGAGTCAATGAGTTGGGTTTCCCGGTTCGCCCCGATTATGTTTCTAGGTTTGTCAGCACCATACCCGTGCTCATGGGTTTCACCGAAGTGGTAAACGTCTAAGACCTGCATCACTTCGGGCTGTCCTCCCGCATTAAGCTTACACGCCGTGATATAACTTATTTACTGTTCAAAGCGGCTTTAAACTATGTTCACTCGCTCATTTATTGGACCTATTTTAAGTATATATAGCTTTGCGGCATGTCGTACAAGAGCGTGATATTTTTACCTATCTCAACTATAAACTTATGCCAACAAGTGAATGCCCTATCGCCTGGTTAAAGTCATAAAACAGTAGACATAAATGCCGAAAATGAAATCCAAGTTCTTTTTCCGGGTTGTCGTAAAGAGGAATCGCGGTTACGAAATGGCACTTATCAGAGACCATATATCGGTATA